GTAACAAGCCTAGTGGGAAGGGATCGGATTCTAGGCAGAAGGGCCGAATATATATAAAGGTCGCAAAGATAGAGGGGCTATTGGGGTTATTAGAAAGGGAAGAAGGAGGGAAAGGAGCAAGCGATAGATAATATAAGATTCTTATATCCCGCAAAAGCAGTAGCGGGCCCGTATATATACTTTGCCTAATACAGGGGTTGCGGTTTCCGTATGCGGGTTTGCCGTTTGGTCGTTTACTAATTTAAATAAATTAAAAGCTTTTTAAAGCTAGAAATAATAATAGCTCTAAAAGATATATTATTAGAAATAATAAAATTTAATAATAATCTTTTAAAGTAATTAATAGTAAAGCTTTTTTTATATTAGCCGGTATTTTTTATTAAATAGCTGGCCTATAGTAGATTAACTAAATTAACTAGGCTAGCTTAATATTTTGCTTTTATCTAATATATATATTAGTTAAATTAATTAAAAATTTAATATTAATTAATTTATTATTAATCTTACTAGCCTTTAAGCTTAAAAGGCTTATAAACTTATAAGAATATCGAAAATAAATATAATAATTACCCGTAAAGCCATAAATTCGTTATTTAAGCCAGATTTTCCTAATATAAAATTATTTAAAATTTAAAATTAAACTATAATAATTACTTACCTATATCCTCAAACTAAGTACTTAATAGTATATATTCGAATATCTTTGGGATTTTTTTGGGGGGAGTCTAATATCTTTTGGAGATATTTAAATTAAAAGAGAGAAGATTATTTCTTAAATAGTTTAAGTTTAAAATTATTTCGATATTGAGTTAAATTAATTTTGATTAAGGATTACTAAAACATTTTCGAATATATTAAGTAAAATAAAGTAAATTTATAATTAAAAGCTTTTTAATAGGTATAGTAGTTGGTTTAATATTAATATTTGAAGTTTAGATATTAGAAAAATTATTAAGGAAAATAAGCTTCTTATATAAAGAAACTTTTAATTCTAAAGAGTTCTTAATATTTCTTCTAATTAAAAATTATATATTGATTTCAAAGTATTTATTATTAATAAAGGTTGATTTCTAATTATTTTATTTATAATTAATATAATTTATAAGGGAGTAGAAGTATCGAAAAATCGAGAAGGTTCTGGATACTTTACTTAGCTTAGTAAGTTGCAGCCCAGGCTACTACTAGGTGGCTATAGCCCTAATACGGTAAAGCATACTCCTAATACAGCTAGTACTATTACGTATTTAGTTACGTATTCTATTAATCAAATTAATTAATTAATAATTAATTAATCTAATTAGAATATAATTAGAATATAATTAATAATAAATTTCCTTAATTATATTAGATTAATATCTATTAATCTAGTCTAATCTAATTATTTAATATACTATATATATTATGTTTATTATTTAATCTTTACCGGAATTATATATATTGTTTTTGTTTTTGTTTTTATTATTAAACTTTAATTATATTAGAGAGGGAGAGGGAATGGGGGGAAATGTTCTATTAGTAAGGGTTCTTATCTCTAACTCGCTTAGTACTCCTTATAGGATAGTGTGGGAGGGAAACTGCGACAAGACAAAAACCCACATAAAGTATACCAGAGCGTAAAACGTGACTTGATAGCAAAACAATAAATCAAAAGCGTAAATAGTAAAGTATAAATAGTATACAGTATGCAAAAGCTCAATTAATTGAATACTCATAAAGGATTATTCTCTAAGTCTACAGAAAAACCAGCTTTCTTATGTGATTTCCGCAAGTCACGTGCAAAAGGCCACGGCCTTTGCCATGTGACCTAAACCTCAAAACCGCCAAAACAATACGATTTTCGACAAGTACGGCCTGCCGTACCACAATAGCGGTATGCAAATTATATCAAAATTTGGAAAGGCAAATCGGGTAGATTTGTATTATAATAATGCCTTAATTTTTTAGTCTTAAAAATTTACTAAGCTAAAGGGTTAATATCTTAGGATTAATTTCTAATACTTAGATACTATTTTAATACATTATATTATAAGAATTCTAAGGAAGAAAAAGAGAGATTTTTGGTAGAATACTACTAAAATCTCAGATTTATATATTACTATTTTATTATATATTACTATTTCGTTATATATAGCTATTTCGTTATATATTGCTTCCCTTACTTATAAGATATACTAAGCGAGTTAGAGGTAAGAAGTACCGAACAATTACTTCTATTAGTATTAAAATTTCGGACTTACTATAACCCGAAATACATATTATTAATATACTATTAATATTATTAATAAGCCATTAATATATTACTTTTCTCCCTAGTTAGTATATTAAAGGATTATTCAAGTTATTCAAGTTATTTATAAATTATTTATAAATAACTTAAATAAAATAAGAGTAATGAATATCTTAAATAATTTGAGTAAAATAGAATAATTATTTATAAATAATATAAATAACTATAAATATCTATATAGAAATTATATAGAAATTAATTAATTATAGTAAATTAATATATATTTAAATTTAAAAAAAAGGATTAAGGTATTTATTAAATAGTCTTATATAAGCTAAGCTAATACTTATATAAGGCTACTTAAATACAGATTTTCTATAATAAATAAACTAATTATTACTAAGGTTCGATTCGCTTACCAATTACTACTACTACCTAATTAGGTAGTAAGGTGGCATTAGGTAGTATTAGGTGCGGCCCCCCCCCGAAGCCGTACCCGATTAGGCTAGCTCAATCACGTATATAGATCACGTGTATTATTCAAGTTATTTATAATTATTTATAAATAACTTGAATAATATATAAATAAAATAAGAGTAACGGGTTTTTAGCTTGAATAAAATGAGAGTAATAGCTATTATTCTATTTTATTCTATTTATTTAATATACCACTCCTAATATAATTTAAAAATATAAAGTTTATATTTGAAGTATTATTAATTAATCTTTTAGATTTATCTGCTCTCGTATTATTTATATTTGTATTAGCTATAATTGTTTCTTAAATAATTATTTCATTACTTTAGAGATTTATATTATATTAAATAGCCATTATTTTATATAGTTATTATATTTGGCTAATATTCTTATTAAATTATTTCGGAGGTTAATTTAAATATAATTTATATAAAAAAGTATATTTTATACTTTTAAGTTAAAAGATATTAGTAATATAATTCTTAAAAATAAGGTTTTAAATTACTTAATATAATAATTTATTTCTATGTCTTATTACTTATTTATATCTTTTACTAGTTTTTACTAATAATTTATAAAAGCAATTTAGCTATATTAGTATTTTATAATATTTCTTACTAAATTTATAATATAAATGAATATAAACTAGTTAGCAAAAAGTAATATCTCTTTTATAAATTATTATTGCTTTATTTACTAAGATATTATTATATTAGTAATTATATATAAATATTTCTTATTTAATTAAAATATAATAAATTCCTCTAATTATATTATTTGCATTTATATATAGCTGCTAGCACTAGTAATATTTCAGTAAATAAAGGAATAATAGGTCCGACCTAAAAGGATAAAGCTGCATTTACGTACTCGAGCAAGCTAGAACATGCATACTTTAAAGATATACTTCTTAAGCAATTATAAGAGTAAGAAAGGGACGTGCTTCGTACTCGTCTTATGTGCGTGTACCGGGGGCTAAAGAATAGCCGAAAAATAAAGCCTTACCTTATAATAAAATTAAAAGAATTAGCCTTCTAAGTGCGGGGGAAGGGGACTAAAAGGAAATGAAATTCTCAATTAATAAGTACCCTTCCAGAGCTGCTCTGGAAGGGTGCTTATATGATTTAAAGAGAGTTGAGCGCGAAAAATTACTGCTTTGAGCGGACAACCCTGGTTTGGGAATGCTACACGAGCTAAACAGGGGGGTCTATAGGGATTATCAGGGGCACACTGTTTTTGTATCTATCTATGTGGTTAGGCACATGCACGCAGAAGCATCTACGGTGTTGTCGCGTGCATTACACCAGTGTGGGCTCCGATAAGCTCGATAAGCGACGATTAGATAATCGCGCTAATTTTTCGATAATCGATAATCGACCATCGATTACGATAATTATCGAACTAAGGCCTTGGCAATACTATAGGGCCACTACAGGGCCACTACAGGGCCAATGCGCTATATTTATAGGCCTCATACCACCTTTTCTTTACTATAGCAGAATTCCGATTTAGTAAAGGCGGTATAAGGCCTATAAATATAGTGCATTAGCCCTGTAGTAGCCCTGTAGTACTACCAAGGCCCTGGACCCACTATTATTAATAGATTTAGTACTATAAAGGCGGTCTAAGGCCTGTAAATATAGCGTATTGGCCCTGTAGTGGCCCTGTAGTGGCCCTGTAGTGGCACTGTAGTATTGCCAAGGCCCTGGGACCCACTATTATCAATGGAATTATCGATGGGCTCGCTTAATGGCTGGCTGGGCCCACTTTTATCGATGGAATTATCGATGGGCTCGCTCAATGGCTGGCTGGGCCCACTTTTATCAATGGAATTATCGAGGCGATGGGGCTCGCTTAATGGCTGGCTGGGCCCACTTTTATCGATGGAATTATCGATGATGGGCTCGCTTAATGGCTGGCTGGGCCCACTTTTATCGATGGAATTATCGATGATGGGCTCGCTTAATGGCTGGCTGGGCCCACTTTTATCAATGGAATTATCGATAACTGGATTAAATACTAGCTAGTCTACGTTATATAATAGACTATTAAATAAAAATTTAAAAAGTCTAATAGTATAGTAATAATAGTATACTTTTATACTAATCTTAATACTAATCGGTTTATAATTGAACTAGAAAGCCGTAATGGGGCTCGTTTAATGGCTGGGCCCACTTTTATCGACGATAATTATCGATATCGATCGTTTATTGATCGCTTAGCCGATAACGATTACTAATCGATAATTTCGATCGATAATTTATCGGAGCCCACACTGCATTACACCGCTCTCCCTACCAGAGTTCTCCATATCTATGGGCAGGATTCGACTCCGCGGATTCGACTGATTAAGGGAGAGGACCAATCCGGAAGCTACGTCTGTTTAAGCCACCGCTAGGGGTTAATCCGGCCATTATGTCTCACAGAATTGAGCAAAGATATCTTCGAACGGATATCCCATGGCCACTACTCCCAAAGGCTTTCCAAGATACTGCTCTGGCAACGAAACAACCCAGCCCAGGACTGTTGTGGGTTAATACATTATGCATCTTGCAGGATGGCCCTACGGACTGGCATCGTGAAGCCGCAGCTATGGCGTCCATATACCAGAATTCGCACATTACAATTACAGCAACGACATCTGAGAATTGCAACCAGGGTCTCTATTCCTCCTTAAACCCGGAATATGTAGCCAAAGAGCTTGGCCACCAAATCTATTTCCGTTCCAGCCTTCCTTATCCTATCAACGACTTCTCGTGGCAATATTCAGATTTCCCATAGATTTCCCGTGGGTGGGCCTTTCAAGAACGTTATTTATCCCCCAGGTTTGTGCATTTCACAGACAGCGAGCTGGTATTCGAATGTCGTGAAGAAGTTTGGTGCCAGGTGTGGGCTTTCCTAGGGCACTGTCAGAACCGAGCCAGCCTCCTTCCAATACCGCGTCAACCCTCGAGGGAGGCCCCACGCCTACTGGTTGGGAAGCTCTGCGCCAGCTCGACGACGACGAAAGTGAAGGGAGATCGTACTTCGTCAATCACAAATAAGAGGGAAACTTCTGGGGACAATCCGAGATATGGAATATTGGAGAAGGGGGAGGAAGAGCCGAGAGAGAACGGAGAGTTGCCAAAGATGTGGGTGGCGAACTTGAGTGAGAGTGGGAGGAAGTGCTTTGTTGATCACAATGCGAAGAGGACGACTTGGGATGATCCGAGGGTTAAAGCAATCTCTTTTGGTGTGTTGCTTCTGGCCGTGGGAGAGGCCTACGCAGTCGATTGGCTCCGAGAGGCCGCCACTTCGCTCGACTTGGTCCCAGAGGGACACTCGTTTCAAGGCGCCTATGATGGTCTCGTCGGACACCGGTTGTATTAAATTTGAACTGGTGATCATTGCTGCCTCCGGGGCTTTGAACCGTTGCGATTCGGCTTCGGACATGATATTGGCAGTAAGTGGAGTGGCGTTGAAACGAACGCTGCCAGAAAGTAGGAATGGCTCTTGCGGTATTGTGATTATAGAACTGCGGATCTCCTCTCTGGGGAGTAAAGAGAGGTCTTGATCGTCAATAGTGATAGTACCGGTGTGCTCGGGGGCGAGACGAAAAAGGAGACCTATCATTGTCGACTTGCCACTGTCTGTCCTACCGGAGAGACCGATCTTCTCTCCAGCCCTGATTTCCAGATTTATCTCGTGTAGGACGGGACTCGAATTGGCTTTGTAGCTGGCAGAGACATTGTGAAATGATACGGCGCCATCTTTAGGCCAATTTTCCGGAGGCTTTGACGCCTCGCTGGGAAAGGCCTCCGGCTTGATATCCGCTTCCAGTTGCTTGAGCCTGGCAACTGCACCTATTGATGTCTCCAAGCTGGTCCAGTGTTCAATTAGAGCTGCAACATTCTGCCCGAAATTTAGTACGTTGAGGAGGCCGACACCAACTGCCGCCCCTAAAGTTGTGTTCTTGAACTGTGTGCCGAAGCTCACCAGCAAAACTGCTATGCAGGCAACCACCATATCCATAACGAAGTTAAGCCACCGCTGAATACAGTAAAGTAGATAGAATGGCCGCTGTGACGCATCCAATCTGTCGAGGAAAGCCTTAAGTGATTTTTCTTGCCAGCCGAACGCTCGAATGGTGGCTAGCCCTTCAATTATCTCCGAAAACTGAGCCACCAGGGGAGACTGTAGTTCAAGATCGAGAACCCGGATTTGTCGACTGGTTCTCAGATAGAACTTTTGGATTGCGTACACCACTACTCCTAGGAACGGGACAAATGCAACCAAGTAATAGGCAGCGTAACACAACAGAGCAAGGCTCCAAAGGACCTCAAACATGTAATGGATAGATTGTAACAGCGCGATCGGAAGCTAATAATCAATAATGGAAATGCCTTGGCTAAAGCGGTTAAGGATGACACCACTGTCAATATCCATAAAGAAAGCCAATGGGGCTGCAAACACGACACGTGCAAGTATCCAGTGCAGACGCCGGCTCGCAAGTGGGCACATATTGACCAAAATAATGCTATTGAAAGTCAGTCGGTTTCAGTAACATATCACGCTTCCTATGACCCACCGCAAGTAGGTAATTTGTGTGATTAGTGCCAAAACAGGCAGCAAGAAAGCGATTGTTATGAATAAATCGGTGTGGCGGCCCTTCGCGGCGCTCCACCACTCGACAAGAAGCTCTTCATTGAAGTAAGCATTGGTAGAATTGTATGGTGCAGATACTCACGTATAAATCGATAGGACGGAACGGAGATACCTTCAAGAACCACGAAGAGTAATAGACGCCACAAGGTTAGTACCTTCCTGTAATAATTGTAGACTGAAAAGTCTCCAAGCCGCCTCGCATCGTCACCCGTGGTGGTAGCATGAGAGGGAGCAGTGACCGCTCGAGAGTTAGAATTTTCTTCTTCTGTATCAGTTGATTTTCTCCCATCTTTCTTTGCCTCTGCAATGGCCAATGACTTGAGGTATCCGTCTGTAGAGTCGAGCTCTGCGAAAGTGCCTTGCTCAATTACGTTGCCTTTTTGGCCAAGAGTAATTATGTGATCTGCTAAGCGGAGGTGACGAACTATCTTGATGAGACGAACTGTAGTCTGAATGCGTGGCTGTGCACTTACCTGCATGTGTGGCCAAAACGATAGTGGTTGCTTGCTGTCTGAAGAGACCAGACGTAGAGAATAGACGCTCGAATACCAAGCCCTCTGTTTTAGCATCCAAAGCGCTAAAGACGTCATCCAAGATCATTAAACCTGGCCTCTGGTAGACTGCTCGTGCAAGGGCAAGACGTTGCCGTTGTCCGCCGCTCAAGGATAGACCCCGACTTCCGATGACGGAATCTTCTCCATTCGGGAATTGCTGCATATCGACATTGAGGAGACAAGCCTGGAGGACACTACGGAGCCATACTTCGTCGACCTCATCCGAAGTCTTATCGGTCCCAGCTACGATTTGCTTGACTGTAGCATTTGGTAGCCATGCATTCTGGCTGCAGTATCCAATGATTTCATGATCCAAGCGAACAAAACCTTTGTTGCTTTGCAGCTCTCCAAGCAATCCAAGGAGAATAGTGCTCTCCCCAGCTCCTACTGGTCCGATAATCATGGTTATTGTGTTCCTTTTCAAGGTTGATGTTACAGAATGGACTACATCTGTATCCTTGACGTAGCCTAGGGATAGATCGCTGAGGAGGATTGCTTCCTTGTTCTGAACTCCCTTGCCATCTGATGGCATGGCTTCCAATTCAATGCCTGATGACTCTCGATCTGGAGATCCAACATCCATCCGACCGTTGAGCAATCTGTCATCCACTCGTTCCTCTCGAAGGAGATACTGCTGAATCCTGTCGAAGCACGCAAGGGAGGACATTGTGGAAGGAATCCTTGTCAACACCATGGATAGAGGCTCGATGGTAAGACTGAGTACTGATAGAATAGTGTAGGCTTGGGCGGCGTTTAAAGGCTGCCATCCACTGGCCCTGGCTCGAACAGAGTAGACCATTAAGACGAAAGGGGGCGAGAAAAGTCGAGCAAGGCCGCCAATAATATTCATCCAGATGACCGCCCGGCGTAATCCCTTCATGCGGTGCAGCTCGCGGATTCGGAGATGTTGCAAAAGCGACTGTAAACGTGGTCCAAGGCCCATCATCCTTAAGCTCTTCATATCGCAAAGTGCCGAGCCTGTAAGTCCAAGTCGTTGCTGAGTAGCTTCATTCCATATCTTGCGATAACTGACCATTTTCTTGCCGACCACAAAGTAATTGATGCACATGGAGATGGCAGCGAGAAAGAGTGGGACAATGAAGCCTACTCCAGCATACACCCATAATAGGTACATACCAATACCGACCTCGATCATGCTTGCCCATATGTCGTGTAGACCATCGACGGTAGTGGTAATACCACCAACATCAGCAGACATCAAACTCACGACAGGGGCATCTTGTGACCCGGGCCACTTTAAGCTGAGGGTTTTGGAATATATCATTGAGACCAAGGCCCCACGTATTACTGTAATACTTCGATACGTTGTATGTTTATATCTCCCTGTGGCAATCTGCTTACGATCAGTGACGAAAATTAAGCTATTTGCTCTCCATTGCCTACTGCTCGGCCCACATAGGTGATTGCGGTTGCACCAATGATCCCAAAGCCAATATTCTTATTATCTGCAGTAGACGGTTCACTGACGAATTTTACGGTTCTGTTGACTAGAAATGGCTGTGCATAGTTGAGCCCGATCAAGCAAAGTCGCGGAAGGGCAGGCGCTAGGAAAGGCCATTTCAATGCTTCGAAAGTACTCTTGACAAGGGGGTGTTTTGTATTCTTATCGACTGTAAAAATAAGTAAACCACCTTAAATGGATGGTTCCATGGACTTAGGTACCTCGATGCCATGCGTCTCGTGCTTCAATATTGAGCTTTTCTGACTGCAGAGCAGGATCTAGAGCATATAAGTCATCAAAGGCGAGAACTCCCCTGTAACCACTTTTTAAAAGACGGTTGAGCCACCAAAAGATGCTCAGATTGTAGACGCTGCTCAGCGCTTCTGGGGCTGTCCAAAGGTAAGGAGGTGCCAGAAATGACCCCTTTTCAATGGCTTCAAGGATTAGCAGTGTTGCCTTGGCCGAGAACGACGCGGAGAAAACACTGGCAATGGTCGTCAAACTGTGAATTGTCCATAGTGTTCTGAGCTGCACCGCATCTAAGAGAATCGAGAAGAACAGATAGATGTTGATAATGGTTGACGGATGGACCGACTCGATGTGCTCGAAGTGGGATAGAATGCAGGTGAATGCTGAGGCAACTAAAGAAGATACCGCGGCGGATATGGAAACTGGAGTGCGTTCTGTTGGCGAGAGGCACCAAAGTACCAGCAAGGCAAATTGGAGGGCAGCGTAGACTACTGCTAAAGCCTGGGATTATCAATTTCAAATCTTATTACGTGTCGACAGGCACACGTACGATTTTTGCAGCGTGAAAAGGCGTTGACAAAGTCTTGATATCGCGACGGAAAACTACTGCAACGCGAATTGGAGACAGAAGAACGAGGCGCAAAGATGGTACGAGAGAACAGAAGATCTGCTCGAAGTACAAAGTAAAGTCAAATTGACGGCATCCAGTAGCAACAGCAGGCCCAAACTCGCTGTCACTGCCAGGAAGACACGCCGGGCTTGAAGCTAATATTGAACCTGAAATATTCATCGTGCTGGAGAGTCGAAGCGTTCGAACCCAAGTTGTTGTCTATCGCGATTTTGAAAGGCTCGCATGAGGATGGAGAGAAATGCATTGAAGTAGAGGAAGACGGTTGCGGTGACATCTTAGTAACAAACCGTCTGTGCCCTAAATACGCCTTGGCTAAAGCGCGTTGTCCGCTCCCATTCGCTGAAACACCCTGGATCTACAGAGCTTACCTTCCCACTTGGGCGAATCGTTCGCTACCACGGGGAGCACCCCAGTCCCCCGAGTACCCCGAGTACCCCGAACAACCCCGATTTTCATCGATCACTCTCAATCCGGTATCGGAAACCTCATTCCACGTACGCATGATATATAAATCAAGTCGGAGTGGTAGGTATCATTCCATTGACTTCCTGCTTTAACATTGCCTGCTGCCTAGTCATCATCCTTGAGTTGCCGATCATGTCCTAAATGGACGCGGGACAACAGCTGCGACCCTATCCGGAAGCTGACCATTATTCGATATGCTTCATCCCCTCTTCTGGACTCAGAGTTGGGACAAAAAATTCATTCATTCGGTCTCGAATAATATTTGGAAAATATTGAGTTACCATTCAAAAAAACTCAAAAACATGAGCTGGCAGATGAATGGAACGCGTGGGCGTTTGATTTTCGCCTATCTATTGAAGTTGCGAGACTACAGCTATCAAGTATTGAAGCAGTATGTTCTACTTAGAGGACGAGGAGGTGGTTTTTCTTAGTCCAGCAACTTCACTTGCGAGCCTTGCGTTTCTTTCTCTCCAGGTTCTTCGTGCGATTCCTTGCAAGAGGCATCTGACAATTGCAAAACCCACACCTCTGCCCAGCGACAGTGCAAGGCGGATCCATACGACCGAACAGGATTTGGTGATCAACACACAACACCTTGAACTGATCATCTTGAGAGTCTTTGCCCATTGCGGTGCTTTGTGGATTGGTCCGCCGAGATTGCTTTGTGAGAGCTGAGACTTGAGGTTTTGCAGGTAGCTAGGCAATGGTAGCTGTGAGAGCAGTCGTTTGAATACTGAAGACCCGGATGATTATTCTGCGAGTCAAATGTGCTTTTTTTGAACGTGTTAAAACCGAAAAGATTGACGCCTATTTATCTCCTGTTCAACAAACAACAACTTGGTTTGAAGCGATGCAGTGCTTGCGAACACCGTTTGAAAACTTTCTTTGGACTACAAACTTCACTTCGAGTTTATACCAGCTGCTGGAAACTTCCACAATTTTGCAACAAGACGCAAATCATGATTCAAAGAAAAATTTTATCCCTGAAATAACGGCAAGATTGTATTGAGTATTGGCACAAAGCATAAAATGTTGTGCAAATTTGATTTCGGGATGTGACCTTGGTCTTTCGGGAGATGTAACTCCTAAGAAGTGAAATCGTGAACAATATACACACGGTATTTAAAAGAAAAGAATGTAGTGTTTTAAAGAAGCTATAATCGGCTGGAATATGGGGAAACCATTGGTTATAAATAGCCCTCCCCCACATGGGTGAACGTTAACCTTTCTTGGCAAGCGCGGCTCGTGCCGTGTTTCAGACGGCGCGTGGTGGCTTCAGCTGAAATTCCCTGAACCCTCGCCCTCCCCCCATCAGCTTTCAGCTGAGCTCCCCGGGGCTGTCACTCGTAAACGAAGCTGACACCTTCCTCCCAGCCTTCGAGATGGCTTCCCTTCTTTCCAAACATCACTCGTTCTCCCATCTGAAACTCTACATTGAGCATCATCAAGCTTTCCAGCATACCATCTAGAACCATAGCAATGGCAATCATCACTCTCTCGCCCTCACCCCAACCTCCTCCGCCAGTTCAAACCACCCAGGATATCATCGATGACTTCTGGCAGACCAATCTAGCTCCAGCAAAGCCGACCACCAGGCGTAAGCTCCTCGAAGATGTAGATCTCCAAGCTGCAGTCGTTCTCTAACTCACGCAAAGCTCCAACGGTCCTCCCCAGCAATGTCTTCGCACAGCTCGTTGGACAGAGTATGCCCCAGGGCGAGGTCAAAGGCCAAAGCATCGCCGTCTCCTACAAACAAGCAGTCCAAGACTGCATTGCCAAAGTCAAAACCATCGTCGCCGAATGCCGCCGAAACAACCAGAAATACACCGACCCTCACTTCGACCTCGACGATATGGAATACTGCCTGAAATCCCTCACTGCTACCTCCGACGCGCCGTCTGCCGACGATACAACTCAAGAAAACACTGTTACCTTCGATGTGACGCAGAAGGCTACATCAACCGGCGGGCCTATTTTCTGGGGAAACGTTCAGTCTGCTTCTGCAGAACAAGACGACCCTCCGAAGCCACACCCGCATGCGCGAAGAGAGTGGGAGATATTTTCGACAAGCCCCAATTCTTCGTCCATAAAGATGCACATGTGATGGATACGCGCCAAGGAGCTGAAGGAGACTGCTGGTTTATTTCATCTCTCGGCTGTCTGTGCGTCGACGTCCAGTTTCCCAAGTTGATCGCTAAGCTCTGCCCTCCTGAGGCACGGGATGAGAAGGTTGGCGTATATGGATTTGTCTTCTTCAGAGATGGGGAATGGATATCTGAGATCATCGATGACAAATTGTATATCAGAGCTCCTGATTATGACGACTGTGATGATGAGAGACGAGCGGTTTGGGATCGCTCTCACAGCCGATTGGATCCAGCTGTCTTGCGGGAAGAATACAGGAAGACATTTCAGAGCAATTCTGATGCACTCTTTTTTGGATCTTGCGCTGACCCGAATGAGACGTGGGTCCCCTTAATTGAGAAAGCGTTTGCCAAAGCACACGGGGACTTTAACGCCATTGATGGTGGATGGCCAGGGCATGTTTCTCTTTCAAGTCTTCCTGGCAATATACTAATTTTTTCAAAGGGAGGGAATCGAAGACCTCACGGGCGGTGTTACCACCGAGATTGTCTCCGCCGACATCCTCGACAAAGACCTGCTCTGGAATGAGGGTTTCCTTAGGGTCAACAAAGAATTCCTGTTCAATTCTGGTACTCGACAATACGGACATGCCGACCCCAATGAACTTGGGCGTCAAGGAATTGAGGACGATCATGCATACTCCCTCCTTCGAGCAGTCGACTACAACGGAAACCGCCTCTGTATGGTAAAGAACCCGTGGGGCGAAACCGAATGGAACGGACCCTGGAGCGATGGATCCAAAGAATGGACACCGGAGGCGATGAAAGCCCTCGAACACAAATTTGGCAACGAGGGTATATTCTGGATGCCATACGCCGACTTTCTTCGCCGATATGATCAGATCTGGCGGACTCGACTCTTTACTGACGACTGGAACATTGCCCAGCACTGGACTACCATTCAAGTTCCGTGGGCAGGAGATTACAATGATACGAAATTTGAGTTCGACTTGCCCAAACCTGCAACGGCTGTGATTGTACTGTCCCAGCTTGACACTCGCTACTTCATGGGCTTGACCGGTCAGTATACCTTCCAGCTCTCATTCCGTCTCCATAAATCTGGTGAAAAGCAACATATCATTCGAGGCTATTCAAGCGGAGACAGGTCTGCTACAACCGAAGTCGACCTCGAAGCCGGCACCTACGAAGTCCTCTTGCAGATCTCCGGCCAGCGTTTCGACAGTCTCCCGAAAGTTGAGGATGTCGTTAAACAGAACTGGCTTGCTCGCCGGGAGAAGTTGATGTCAATTGGCCTCTCGTATGATATTGCAAATGCCAAAGGACAGGGCGTGGAATCGGAACCGGAACCGGAACCGGAACCAACCGCCAGCGTGATGACGATGACAGCCGATGCTGCGCCATCGGCACCATCTGAACCTGCTGTGGCGGTGGATGCCAGCAATGTCGACGCAACTGGTGCTGCTGGGACAACCGTGGGTGCTGCTTTCACAGTTGATACAGAGCCGGATCCAGCGTCGGATGAGGCTCCATGGGATGCCGTCTGCGTTGTTGGACTGAAGGTCTTTACGCCTGGTATGGCAGCTGCGATTAGAGTTGTCAAGCCAACTGCTGCGGCACCTGCTGTGGGGAAAGCTAATCTGGATGTTGATGATCCTGAGAAGGACGCCACTGAGAAAGTAGCCAAGTAGGCAATATAGAGCGGCGTGTGCTGAGTGTTGGCATGTGATCCTCGAACTAGCATTCTGGAATTAATTCTTGGAGTTCTCAATGACATTGTACCAGTATCTATCTATCAAATTCATGCTATGCAATCAGCCAATACTTTTAGCGCATTCTATTTTATTTGGTTGCGCTCGAAATTAGCAAACTGATGATTTCCCTTGAAACAGATCTTAAACGCCAACGCATTTGATTTTGACATATTTGCTCATGATTCAAATGTAGAAATTTCGTTTTCTCTTTACGCGCTGGAGGTGTTAATAGTCGGACTTGACGTCGCGCTAAAGGGGCCCTTCCCTTTAGTCGGGGAAAGCGAAGTGTCCCGCACCGATCGCAAAAATTTCCAATTTGTATGGAACACCCATAGTAAAAATTAATCAATTTGATCACCACCAGCCCAAATTTCCCTGAAAATCAGTCAAATTCAACAGCAATGGCTCGCCTAAGCAACCTCCCCAAAAACACGCTTCTCCGTAATATGCCAGAGAAGGATAAGCTCCGTAAGGCTATTTAGTTCCTTAAGGCCAACCCAGAAGAGACTCCTGCGACTGCGGCACGCGCGTATTGCGTACGAAATGAAGATACAGTAAGGAAAGCGTGGCAGAGAGAGAGGAAGAAGATGGGGATAGTAAGAGTGCAAAAAGGGGGGCAGAATAAGATCCTCCGTCCTGATTAATACGCGGCATTAATTCAGTATGCGGTATCACATGCGATTAATAGCGGGAAAGGAGCTATAAAGCAAATAATATATAACTGCGCAATATAGATGCGAACGGAGAATAATAAAATAGCTCTATCTTGGAAATGGTTCTCTCAATGGCTAAAGAGCACTCCAGAACTCCATATAATTAAGACGAAGCCCATTGCGAGCCACCGTATCGATCTCTATACCGAATAGAGCCTCCGCGATTAGTTTGAGACTGAATATCGTCCGGTATTAGAGGAAACTGGTATATGCCATAGGGATCGGATATATAATATAGACGAGAAAGGCATACGAATTTGTATGCCTTTAGAAAAGGAAGTAGTGGTTCTAATTGGAATCAAGGAGATATATACAGGAATACCAGAAAATCGCATATCTCTTACGATAATTGAGTATATATCTGCAGATAGCAAGGCAATTCCTCTAGTAGTAATTGTCCCTGGAATTATAATTATGGTTTCTTGGTTCCATGAAAATATAACCGGTTATAAGGTTATTATAGTCTCTCCTATAGGATATACGAACGAGGGTATTTATATGGTTTAGTTAGACTATTTTATTAAGTATAATAACTGCGGTCCTGACAAGGAATGGCGTATTCTCTTGATTAACGGAGTAACTTGCTACCAAGCGGACGATTTTATCCTAAAAGCTACGTTTAATAAGATACGAATCGTCTAATTCCCCTCTTATTAAACCCACCTATTTTAACCATGCGATATTGGTATTTTTAGGAAATGGAAACACTACTAACAGGTCAATATTATGAATGCAATTCGCTCGTACGAGCCGGAATATAATGTCCAGTACTTCTTTTGCGATCTTCCTGGAATACGGGAGAAGATATTTACTATCCGTATGATCAAATACGCTTTTCAGAACGCTGGAATTTGGCCTGTCAGTTTCAAAGCAGTACGGAGAAAGCTCAAGGAGTATGGCAAAAAGGGAAGGAAAGATACTGGCCTTTAATTTCTGGAGTTTGGATCTGAATCGGAAACTGAATCGGACGCAGAAAACGCAGAAAACGCACGATTTACCACGCCTGCTCCTGCTCCTGCTCCTGTTTACGAATACCAATTACCTACCCTTCCAAAACCTCCTTCTTCATATAACGAATGCGTTCTACGGCTCGATAATCTTAACGACAAGATTCTGGATACTTTAAGCTCCTCCCCTCGCAAAGAGTATTTAGTCACAATTAAGGCTACCAAGAACCACCTAATGCTTGGAAGTTTATAAGAGCTGGATGCCCAGAATGCTCGTAAGGCACAGGTTGAACGTTATAAGGCTAAGCTAAATGTACGGCTTAGTTTCCAAAGAGGGGGGTGGTTAAATGCATCTGATACTCTGGAAAAGAAGAAGATTAAAGTGAGGAACGCAGCAGAGGAGGAGCTAAAGAAGGCTAAAAGACAGCTCGCAAAGGCTGAATTAGCTGAAAAGGAAGCTCTCAAAAGAGTAGGAATCGCCGCACGAGCGGCAGAGAGAGAGAGGAAGAAGAGAGTGAGAGATCTGGAGGTATAAGCAAAGAAGCAAGTCCTTGGAACCGATATAATTATTCCTCCCGAGCTCCTAATACCAATTCGCGATCCCCAAAACGAACCTACGGAAAGCGAGCTTGAAGCCATTCGAATTAAGCACTAATCACTTTATGATAAGGTAGCTAAGGAGCAAGCTGAATTCGATCGTGTGCAGGCCAAAGATCCCGCAATCTTTACCGATATCCCTATTAATCCTGCAATACTCGCATCTGAATAAGCTCACCGGGTAAAGGGGAACCCTCTTAGTCAATTATATATACGGGCAATATTAGAGGAGTCTAGGGGATCAGATAAGGAGGTAGAGGAGGCACGAGAGGGTATAAATGGTGGGGTTAGTGGGGAGGAGGTGATTCTGTATTCTTTACCACCTAGATCAGTAATATCGACTGATTCAATAGCTCAAAATGCAGATTTTGTAGCATTAGAGTAATGAGAGATTATATCCTCAATTGCGTATTAATTTAAGGGTTATTTGGTTGTGTAGTGCAATTCAAGTGTCTGCGATTGCATAGAAATTTTGGTGTGGTGCGGGACACTTCGCTTTCCCGGGACACTTCGCTTTCCCCGACTAAAGGGAAGGGCCCCTTTAGCGCGACGTCAAGTCCGACTATTAAGCCCCCGAAGGAAGCTGAATGTTCCCGAAGCATTCGCCCAATACAATCGGATGTGGATGTCATGGCTTGCAGCTTGCAGCTTGCATAAATCCGCGAGCCGCCTTTCATAATACAGTAGGGTGCCATAAGTATTCGCACAGGGTCTGTGCTCATCAGCCAATCACTTCTCTTAGAAGTCTCAGCGTGAATTGTAGTTGGTTGAATACAGTGGGTCCGCACGGGCCATGTGCGAATACTTATGGCACCCTACTGTATTGATGGAGCCTCCTGCCCCGCACTGCATGGGTCAATTTCTACAAATAAATCCGGGTCAATGGTACCCCGGTTCCGCTCCCCGTGAGCCCCTGAGATGTTCGCAATTGCAAAAAAAGCAAGTATGGTTGGTGTGCATATGAGCAATGTAGCCAGCTATTGTGGGCAACACACTTGAATCCACCATCGACGACGCCTCACAATCGTTATTGGTTGGGGACTGAAACTGTTTCCCAAGATGCACCCCAGATCACGGTGGCACCTCAGCTGGAGAACCAATACTGTATGTGTTGCTGCAATGGTGTAATTCCACGGCTGCTGCCGTATTGGAACGCCACTATGGTGGCGATTGCCCGATCGGAGAATCGGAGGCGCTCCCGCCCACCTCCCGAATGCATCACAAGGAGGTGATAAAGAGCGCAGCCTCGCCGTCGCAAATTGACAACGTCTACTCTATTTTTGTCGGATTTCGAGTTTTGGAACTCGCAGACTGCGAAAGATGTCCGACCATGATCACGGAGAAAAGGCACCATCGAACAATCAAGGGACCCGAGGAGAAGGATCAGCAAAGAGCGAGGCTCCCAGTGGGTATTGGGAGATGGCCAAGAAAGCAACCACACCGAAGATTAACAAGTATACTTACACACCTATCGATTTCCATAACGATATTCGAATCCTCAAGATTTTGAAAGGAAACCAAAATGACCCTTTGATGTGCATGCTCTTTCCAAGCGCAGTTCCTTCCTCGAGTCGGCACTCCAAACTCGAATTCTACCCATACACAGCTCTTTCATACTTCTGGGGCTTCGACGATGATGCTTCTCATCAGGTCGAGATGTTCCACGATACCGGAGTGCGTGAGGGTGTGGCCATTGTTCAACTAGCCACAAGCCGCGTATTTCATGTTCGCAAAAACCTGGATACGGCGCTTCGACAATTCAGATCTCCATACAGTGACGTCAATGTTTGGGTGGATGCTTTGTGTATCAACCAAAGAGACAATATAGAGAAGAAAACGCAGGTTTCGAGAATGAACGAGATATATAGTGAAGCAGAAGAGGTCGTCGTCTGGCTCGGCGAAGGGAATACCGAAACACGCAAGACATTCAAACTTCTGAGGTCAATCCTGAACTTGCAAGAGCTCGACAAGTTGATCAAGGATACAAACAAATATGAGCAGTGGATGTTGATCGTCAAATTGATGAGACTACCTTGGTTCACTCGACGCTGGGTAATCCAGGAATTAGCGTTGGCAAAAAAAGCGACAGTTCAGTGGGGCCCAGAGCGCATGCTTTGGAAGGACTTCGCTGATGCCATTGCTTTATTCATGACTAGACATGATGAGATCAAAGCGTACCTGGAAAAGCCGAAAACCTTTTCGGACAAACAAGACCACGATGCGCATCTGGGCCTGATAGAACCGCAAGCACTGGGTGCTAACACTCTCGTTGATGCCACTACGAACTTGTTCCGGAGATCTGATGACGGAAAAAGGATCCAAGATCGCCTCGTCGACCTGGAGGTCTTGGTATCCTCTATGTTCCTTGCCTTCGAAGCTTCGGAACCGCGAGACACCATTTATGCGGTCTTGTCCCTGGCCAAAGACACAATGCCCCGTCCTAAGTCCATCGGGCGTCCTCCGTGGATGGAAGATGCCAATTACTCAGCCGGGAAAATTTTCAAAGCCGTCTTTTGCCGTGTGGCATTCATCTATCAGTACTTCGGATCTGTGCGTGTGGCCAAAGAGCTCTCGCCCCCACCAGACCCATACTCTGTCTACTTGGACGATCGAATTGCACCGGACTATGAGAAGAGTCTAACAGACGTGTGCGCAGACTTTATGGAATACTGTATTGAGACGTCAGATTCCTTGGACATACTCTGTCGCCACTGGGCTCCCATGCCAAAGAGGCCCACGAAAAGTGAAAAAGTCAGATTGAGGATCGAAGGTCTGAAAGAGCAGACGGAACATAGACCAACCTGGATTCCATCAATTGAAGGACACGTTTATGGCGAACCCTTGGGCGTCTTTGAAGGAAGGAAGAATGCTGATAGTCTTGTGGGCTGCGTTGAAAGACGAAACCAGCAGCACTACGGAGCCTCTAAGGGTTTGAAGCCAGCAGTGATGTTTGGGAAGAACAAGGAAATGCCGCCTAATGACCAATGGTTGGAAGACGAATCAAATCGAAACTCAACAAGTAGGGAAGCAGAAGCCACAGCATCTCAGCGGCGCGGCGAAAAGCAAGCACGGCCGAGGTTGGACAAGTTCGACGGAACTCTTCATGTCAAAGGATTCAAACTGGACACCATTTCAAATCTATCTGGTCGCGTACTAAATGGAGTGATCCCGCATGAAGCGTTTGAGCTTGGAGGCTGGCCCAAAAAGTCGAAGGACAGCGAATACCCTGACGATGTTCCGGAGTGCATATGGCGCACTCTAGTAGCAGACAGAGGGCCTGATGGCACGAATGCCCCAACTTGGTATCGACGAGCTTGCCGTGAATGCCTCAACCACACCAACACGAATGGAGATCTGAATACCAACGAGTTCAAAGACCTTGCGCTTCCCGACACCCCAAGGACAATGAAGTTGTTTTTGGAAAGAGTGCGAGGAGTTGTTTGGTGTAGAAAATTCTTCTTGACCGACGGAAACGAGGAAGGAAATCGGGGAAATTATGGACTGGCTCCAGCTGGAGCTAAGGAAAACGACATCATTTGTATATTTTTCGGCTGCAGTGTACCAGTCGTTCTTCGTGAATCAAGGAAACAGCCAGGGTTATACCAGTTCATTGGGGAGTGCTATGTCCACGGGAAGATGGACGGCGAGTCTTTGCATCCTGATATCCCACCGCATCCATACACTGAGGTGCAGGGGTACACACTAATCTAATTGTAATTTTGAATGAAGAACCTCTTCATAGAATATTGCAAACACATCCAATCCATATCCAACACCCGGTGAGTCAACATTAACATGTAAAGATCATGGCAAACAAACTTTAGAGGCAGAACTTGATGCCCAAGGGGTGTATAGCCTGGTCGCAGGAAACTAGAAAACCAACCCCAGTGACTGTAGACCACGTTGCATAGGTAGCATGCTACTTTCGCCATGTGTTCAACGTCCGTCAGTCCTGGAGCATCAGCCGTAACTCAACAGTACTGACTCTGCAAGCGATCGAAATCTCTCCCAGTGAAAAGAATCGGAGCTTTAGCAATTCCTCATTGCGAAAGACACGGCTGAAGACTTTGTGCACCTGATGCAATCACGCTCTGCCCAGTGTGGCTTGCTGCATTTCCCGATGTGGAGGCCATACACACCATCTTTATGCATTGTCTGCACAACCAAGAAAAAGAAAACCCACACGGCAAGAGAGAATGCCCTCGTTCCCACGCGCGCCTCGAGAACAGGAGAGACTGTTAAGGCCGTGTTTGAAGTGAGGCTATATAACTGCATGTCAATGCTATTGTCAATTGCTGCCTGTACACTGCCCCTCGTAGCCTTTCCAAAACTGACCTTACTTTCTGGTGAGGCTGAGGGGTTCTCCCGAAGGCCAGTTCGAAGGGTGCCCCACTGGCCCCGAGCCACACCCTTCACAACAGTTTTATTCACACTCGCCAATAGACGTGACTTTCTGCACATCATTTGCCGCCCGGTTGCCACGTCCCATACCGTCAAAAGCAAAGCCGGGTTGGGCGGAATGTGTTCAGTCGCGAAACCCCAGCAAAACTTCCTCGGTTTTGGTTTCATCTCGGCAATACCACCAGGCTCAGCACATCAAGTTCGCTCACCGAGATCGGTATTCTGTCCGTTCTTCACGTCGAGGCTCGAAGATATGAGGATATGAAGGGCTGCCTGTCATCAAAGGATTAGAAGACACTGCAAAGCACCATCAAAGGCTTGACGAACCTGAGAGACGCGCTCACTGTGTCAACTGGGATCGAGCTTCATCAGACACCCCGCCGATCTCCTTGTTATCAACCTCACCCTACTCACCGCCTTAGCTACTGTAACTAGCACCATGGGCGCGAAATCTGTTCCAGTGGAAGCAATCGATGCTTCCAATTCAAATCCGACGCGACAACAACGAGCAGTGTACAGCTGGCACGAAGCGCGCAATAGCGACGCCGCTGATGACATCTTCTCGACTGAATGGTTCAAGCGCACCAAATCATTTTTGGAGAAGCATTCCAATCCAGACTCGCCAGATGTAAAGCTTGAGGATCTCAAAAAAGTAGAGGACCTGGAATTTTCCGCGTTCTTCATCCAGCATCCTATTCCGGCGTTTGCCTTATGGCAATTCCTTCAGGCTTGCTACTCCCTGGACCGTGTCGTTTGCATCAATCCACTCTCATACGAGGATATCAGACGTGCGGATGAGACTAAAGTCCAAGGATGGGAGAAATTGCTTCCGTTTCAGTACTTGAACGCTTCTTCTTCAAAGGATGGGAGGATTCGAAAGAAATGGATTGAGTCGATGGGGCAGCTCAAAAAGGAGATAGAAAGTAACGCGCTGGAAGGCGAGAGGCTTGTATCTCGGTTATATGATATGTATACGGGCATCGATAGACTGCAGTCTTCGCTGTCTGGGTTGCGACTTGGCTTCGGCGAGAGCCAGAAAGATTTGAAATTCAAGCGAGAGATGCTGGACAAAGCTGCGAATGTTGTCGAGGAAAGGTTGAAGATAACGTCAACGGTTCTGAAATTGGAGGGAAACCAGCCGGCCACGCCACGGGCAGATTGGGGCGCTGAAGAGAAACATACTCGTGAGTTCCCCTGGAATCTCAAATGCTCGCATTCTAACCAAGGATCGCAGATACGGAGCAAAACCTCCAGCTCACAGAAGTATCAAGATGCCGAAATGAAACCAACCCTCCTCCTAGTCAAGCTATGCGGTTACGGAAATCGAACAGACGTCTAAAGCAGCCACGGGCTGTTAGCCCCAAGAAAGTTGACCCTACAACGAATCCGTTGCAAGGACAAGGTGTGTACGCCCGGCCCAAAATATTGATATCAATGCTGATGATTTTTCCAGGATCGGTAACGAGAAACCCAATGCCATTGAAAGTGAAATATCTCATAACCTCTCTCCTCGCGATTCTGGCTCTATTGCTTGTTCTCTCCTTTATATATCATTAAGATACTAGTTTCCAAGAAGAGAATTCTTGCCTAGGTTTATTCAAATACGTTTACTTTATTGTGTTTCTTTATACCCGGTAATATGTACTGTGTCGATACGAAAGGTTTGACTACGTCCTAACTTTATATATATTTCGTTGGCGTTTTGGGATTCTGGGATTGTAATTTGGGATAATAATTGAACAACACACACATTTGGAGCAAGCTCTCTCGGCTAGGTTGGTTTCCACAAGTCGCCCAGCCTTCTCCGACACTACCACATCCCCATAGGTAAAAGAAATTGATTCTCCTATGTCTAATGCTCCAAAGGTTCTCGGCACACCGAGATCGCCTTTGACGTCGTGGGTGAATCTTGAAGTCGTTCTGATGTTCCCAAAGTCCCAACACTTTGAGATCCTTCTGGAAGTGAAGAGCGGTGACTGCTCGGGAGTCAGTGTCTTCCATTGCAGTAAGCGAATGCGTGCAGCCTTAAGTTGAAGCCCTTGCGGTGGATAAAAGATCTTCGTCCGCAATTTCTTCCTTAATTCCAGCATTCTATCGAAGAGTTGCCCTCTAAATATATTAACAATCAACCAATATGGCAGTATCAACTCAGTCATGGCATGACTCTTGTTACGAGTGATTGTGGTGATCGCTCTCGTCTCTTCTGATACTCGTGCTGCCACAGCAGCCGCGGTGCCGTGCATCTCGACGTCGTCCCAGGCTGGATACATGACCTCAATGGATGGAACATAAAAGCCTGCTCTACGTCTCCTCACGGCACATATTTCAATGAGTTTTTGATCAAAGGACAAGGATATGGTTATTCAGTGAATAGAGAAGGGCCAGTTGCGAATGCTATTGCCAGCCAACCGGCGGGAGGTCTGCAAGATCTGATTGAGAAGTGTCAGAGAATGAAAAGGTGCGTGATAAGTCTGGAAATTTGTCTATCCCTTTTATTATATGTTAATATTTGTGATTGTAAACAGGAGGCGCAGCTGCAAATGGCGGCGGTGATTTTATTGATATTAATAACAATAACCATTAGAACGGTGGCGGCTCTCGGTCATGAATTTCATCCACTTGGAAAGGTTATCAAATTGAACTACAACTTTCCATTTTCCTTGCCGGTAATTGCAACTTCCTGACATGCCTATCTTACAACTCTTCCCAACCATCCCCCTCCCCATCCAAAATCCTAACCCTCAAATCATCAACCGCAAACCGACAATCTGCACCATAACCCGCCAATCGCCAATCCGAAACACTACTCGCCTTAAGCTTAATCTCCATTATATGAACCCCCTTCCCCCCTCTATCAAAAGCCTCCATCCCCAAATACCAACTCCCCGTCCTCCCTGGCCCAAACCAAAAAAAAATCCAATCTGACCAGTAATCTACCACCTGCCTGCCGTCCAGCCTCCACCTATTAATCTCCATTTCTAACGTTTCATTCTCGTTTATGAAACCAAGGGCCTTAATTTTCATACTCAACAGCCAGAAACGCTGCGGAAAGGGGGATGTTTAGGACTTCGAAGGAAGGAGAGGGTCACGTTTTTGTAGGTTTGTTTGTTTGTTAGGATTCCCTTGGTTTCAATATTGCCGGGGTGGTGTGGTTTGCGGGTGAGGTTGTTGGAGGGAAGAGGTGGGCTTACGTTTAATGTGATATTATGAGGAGGTGTATGTTTATATGAACTCCATCCAGGGGATGTAGATTTTGCAGCTTTCCAGCAAGTCTCAAATCGTACTGAGCCGGAACTATCTACCTCAAAGACAGGGTGCTCGGAATTCGATGTTCCTCCCGTTGCCACTTTCTGCAGATTGTCCTTGGGGCCCTCTGCTTGCTCCCCAAGACCCCAACCCACACAAAAGATAGAGGTAAATAGAGTTAAATGAGCTAGGGAGCTCATTTTGCTGGTATCTTGATATTATATACTCAAAAGAGGGATGAAGTGTGGATATATTGCATAAAGTTATAATGCTGGCTAACCAAGAGACACACTTACATTCAACTTCCGGTATTTTGGTGGCGGGGTAATATCAATTCATAATTATTGGTTTGACTAAATGGTGATTGATTGTAGAGATGCAGAGCAGTGTCGCAGACGAAGACCTTGGTAGTTTGGGTGGGACAAGAAATCATATAAAGAGGGCCAATACTACGGGCTCGAGGGATGTGCCATATCGTGACTCCTTGGCATTGGTCACTGAATTGCGCTCAAGTTGCGTCCTTCCCTTTGAAACGCGAAGCAAAAGACATGTTCGTCTATAGAGTATCTTAGATTCGGAGAAGTGTGGGTACTGTAAGTGAATTGAAAATTTCTGTACCCCCTCAACACCATGCATGTACTGTCTGGTAACGCCATTTTTCTAATCCACCCTTTTCCAAATATGATCCAAACCAGATCCGCCATTCACTCAAGCAACAGTACTAACTGCCGGTGCACTCTGCCACTGACTACTCGCGGTCCCCGTAATCGTCGCTGTCGTCGCAACCCACAAATTATACATATTCGGCCCTCCACAACTCTGCTTCGCATCCCCCTTACAAGTCATCGTACACACCTTTGTCCCCGCCAAACTCGTCGGTTCAGGCGTCGGCGCCACACTCCCCGCATAACATTCTCGTCCATATTCGAGGCCGACGTAGGCGTATGTTGTTGCTGGTGTGGCGGAGAGACGGGCCAGAGCGGAGGAAATGCAGAGATCGGGTGTCATGCTGTCGTTGCTGAAGAGCTTCGGGAGGTTGTGCCCTGTGTATGGTCCGCCGGCGGGGTCGGCGAAGCAGCCGGCGGGTGAGAAGCCTCTGACTACAGTGGCTGTAGAGGTGGGTTTGGTTGTTGTTGCGAGGGTCGTAGAGGTAGAAGTTACGGCTGGTATTGAGGTTGTTGAGGATTGTGTCGAGGAGGTTGTGCTTGTTGGGTTTGACTCGCTTGGAGACTGAGAAGCGATTGTCGACGGCGGCACACTCGAAGAGCTAGAGCTCGATGGCGAGGTTGTGCTGCTCACCGAACTACTCAAGCTTGATCCGCCAACTGGGGAAAGATTATTGTACATTGACAATCTCGATGAACCACCACACTGATGAATGGTTAGCATACCTCACCCCCATCTGGACATGAAACTTACCAATTCGGTCCCGTCTCCCAGACACGTCAACGAACAAGTATTCCCACTCGTACTCACTGCACTTCCTGTCTGCAGGCTATTCCCACAAAAACATTCTCTACGATACTCTAGCCCAAACCAAGCAAATCCAGTACACTGAGCATAGCACATTTCAATCGTCATGCTATTATTGTAGTACGCTTTACCAGTCAGGGCACGGCCAGTTGTAGCTTCGGTGTAACAGCCGATATAAGAATATGCGCCGATGGTAGGCAGGTTCGTAGGTCCTGTCGGCTTGGGGGCTGTGCTTGCGCTAGTAGGCGTTGTGCTCGTCCCAGGCACGATTGAAAACGTCGAAGACGAAGTGGTTGGGATTGAGCTGATTGAAGACGAGAATGGAGAGACCGCTGACGAGGAGGAAGATGTAAGGTCTGTTGAAGAGGGTGTAAAGACAGCCGACGAGGAGGCGGAGGATGAGACACTGGAGCCTGGTGAAACAGGAAGGTCTGTTGAAGAGGATGTAGAGACAGTCGGCAAGGAGGCAGAGGAGATGCTCGTCGAGGTGGAGGTCAAGACACTGGAGCTTGATGAAACAGGGGGAGGAATCGAGTCGAGACCTGGGGTATACTTCGTGCGATCGTAATATACGGAGATATAAGTACCATCGCCGCCGCAAGCCTGCGAGGTATCGCCTGGGCAGCTGAAAGCACATTTCTTCAACGAGTCGGCGGTACTAACACAGATTAGCTGGGGAAAAAAACTAGAAATCAATCGCAACGACTTACTATCTTGAAGCTGCTGGCGGTTTGTTGCCACACCAACACTCGGTATCTATCTCTGTTAGCCTTCTGACCACAAGGGAGAATATGGCAAACTTACGATACTCCGTTCCAGCAAACTTATAGCCTGCATTAAAGCAAGTTGTCTGACAAACCCCATTCTCGTTACTCGCGATGTTGTACTGCTTCTGCAGCTGCCGTCCACTGCCATCAGAATAGCATCCAAGGTAAAGATACTCTGCGGAGCCGTTGGCGAGCAAAGGTCCAACTTGTCGAGTCACAATGTTTGCTTGGACCGCAACATCGTGGACGCCAAATGTGACATCGCTAGCCATTAGTCAGCTCCCAAAGCTGTTTCCAACGCAGCAGGCGGAAAGACTTACTCCGTATTCAAGATCCACACGTCGCTCACCGAATGATCGAGACGATTAACACCGAGAGGAGCAGCAACAATACTCACCTGTCCCTTAGCACAAGAATTAATCGGAACCACCTGCCCCTCGTGCAAATCCGTATTCGAATTAGGCGCTAGCAACTCCTGCTGAATAGGCGGTTTGCTCTTCGTGATCGTCAGACTCGACCCTCCAGAATTGCAAATCTGAATATATCTCGAAGTGGTACTCCCCGCTGCAGCATTCCCGAAATCCATAACAACAGGATTGGAGTAATCCCATCCGCCTTCGACAGTAGAGACTGAAATGTTGGCAATGGGGGCAGTGGATGCGGAGCCCGTTAAGAGGACGTTTTTATTTCCTCCTGTCGTCCAGAATTGAACGAACGTAGTGTATGCGCCTGTTGAAGATACAAGAAAGTTCAGCGGGACGGAAATTGATGCTCCCGTAGCCAGGATGTCGCCGACGTTAGGGAGTGAGCTAGAGCTGAAGCCGTTGCCGAGGTAGCCGTTTGTGATATTGTTCCATACGATTGGGCCGTCGCCTGGCATGATACTGCCTGTCCATGCTGAGCCTAAGAATTTCAAGCTCTGAGCACCGACATTGGATAGGATCACTGCTGCATCTAGTCCGGATTGGGAAGCCTGTGAACCGACGACGATACCTCCGAAGTCCACTTCTGGCGGGTTGATGGTGAGGAATGGGTCCTGGGAGACAGTGTTTCCGGTCAGTGAGATGGGGAGGTCGTTGCTGTACTTGGCAGGGACATTTGTTGTGTAGATATCGAGGTTGGTACCCGCGACACCGGGAAGTACTATGCCATAGGAAGCGTTCTGGGCATCGTTGATAGCAGCCTGGGTAAGGTTCCACGTCACTGGAAAGGAGAAGGTTTGTCCTGCCGAGAGAGCTCCCTTCGGAAGTGTTGCGTTTGAGCATTGGAATTCCTTTTTGCCGGTGGTGCAGCCATTGATGGAGCTAATTGCGATCAACGCAGTGCAGTTGATGGTTCTCGTGGCAGTACTGCCAATGGAGACATCTCCGAAATCAACAGGCGTGGAACAATTAAGGGGTAGGGCAACAGGGGATCCAAGGCATATGACGTGGCCGTTAGAATCTGAAGTGTAGAGTCTTGCGTCTCCAAACGCTGGTCGCTGGAATTTGTTCAAGCCTCCGGTTGCCGGTATATTAATCTGGGTTAACACCCCATTGACTGGCACAGCATTAAATGCTTGGAGGCCTGCAGAAGGATCGGAGATCCAGAGGATTCCAGTGCCCGGTTGATCTTTGTAAGTCGTGACCGTTGGAATCCCAATACCAACTCGCCCAGCAGCATTAGCTGCCGTCGCGCCGACTTGGGTGAAGACTGGCTTTCCCGCTGAATCCAAACCCATCTTGTAGGCCACCGTGGGATACCCAACAGGGGTAAAGTAGATGTAGCCTCCTTCCAGAGGATAGGACCCTGGGCCGCCGAAGACGGCTCCGGCACTAATGATGGTTTGAATAACGTTGTCAGTTCCTCCAGAACCCTGTTTGAAGCCTCCAAGGTTGTTGGCATCCAAGACACTGGAATTGTCAGTGATGAAACACAATAGATGCGATTTGGAACACTTACTAAGCTTTGCCATTTTTCCCGATGGTAACTGCCATTCTCGAGATTCCTGCTCCACTAAACGTTGTAGGGTCGAGAAGCATCACACCAGCGGATCCCAAGTCTCGATCTCCAGCATCCATAGATACATACTCGTACGGCTCAAAGTAATCGGACAAAGTAATCTTCCCGTTAGAAGAGACTGCAAAGTTTCCTACTACCTCGTCAAGGGTAGAAAGAGGAGTTCTCCCGGAGGCTGCCACATCGCCGTTGGCGTGACCAATTCCGTTTCTTGCACCTCTTAGCAAATATCTCCTAAGAATGTGCTGGTGGGAAGAGGACCTACCCTGTAGCAATGTAGATCCGACCACTGTCAGTTGCAATACCCATTCCACTTGCCCAGATCCCCGCTTTGCCGCCCTTCTGAACCATGATGTCAGGTTGAACCGGTGGGGCTCCAGGACTCGCTTCCATAGCATAAATGGAGGCGACTCCAACCCAAGGTAGCGTGCTGATGGAAACCAGCATTCCAGTATAGTTGAAGAGATCACAATGGCCACCAAAGGCACCAACTACATAGCCATTAATTAGGGTGAGGGATGGCCGCTGTAGGACCGTGCCTCCGATGAAGTATCTATCGAGGTGAGTACAGGAGGTGTGAGAGAAGTGGAAATTCATACCTAGTATTATCATTATCTGCCGGACGCCCGTCAACCAAAATCGGGAAGCCTGGCTTGTCTTGTAAGGTGAGAATATCGACAGCATAAAATTGATAGATGCCTTCCCAAGAGAATCAATAAAGTTCAAGCGCAAACATTGGGTGTCACTCACCATTTGCAACGCCGCCATTTGACGCTCCATTTTTGTAACCTTTTGAGAAGAAAAAGACAGTGTTCGTGTTTGGATCTATGATTGGGGTTCCCTGCGCAGGTATCAACAACGGCCGGGTTCCTCGCTCGCCTGGGAATACATACAACGATGCCAATGTAATCTGGGATGTCCGTGCAACCAATATCACTTTGAAGAAACGGCGGTTGAACAGTTCTCTGATTGAGAAGAGTCCCATTGACAGCATCGACAGTTCGAATAATATTCAGCGTAGATGCGAGGAAGACGAGTTGTGATCCTCCAGGTGGCGTATAAACCAAGGGCTTCGCATACCATTTCTCTTTATTGTTCCCATAAAAGTTCTTCCATAGCTGACCAAATATCGCAGATCCAACAGTCGCAGGGTGCATATTATGATTACCCATGTATCCCGATTGAGCCGGGTCGGCATCTTGAATTTCGTCCGTCGCAGCCAATGAGTGAACGAAGGTCGGCACCAGCGCCAGGAGAAGGAAAAGTTTGGGCCACATATTACCCCTCCACAGCTGCGATGCCTGCTGGGGGGAAAAAATAAAGAATGAGCGACAGTGGATGTAGAATCCGGGGCACAGGAGGTCAAGTCATCTTTATTGACCAGAAGGAGGCTGGAGAGGAACGGGAGTGGTGCGAGTAATGGCTTCCGCGAGGAGGAAACAGAAGGAAGGTCGCACGCGGCCACGATGGTCCACGCTGGCGGGACTTTCCACCATGCACGCTCCAGGAAGCTACCAAGCTTGACTTGTCCAAATTGCACGCAGGGTCAGGCTCACCTTGCAGTAGATGCTTGGCTGCTTGGCTGCTTGGCGGCTTGGCACGTAATCGGCTGAGGGGATCCATCCTGCCAGGATTCAGCCCACGGGGAGCGACGCGCCCTGGCACTCGAATCGGAGTTGAGGGTCTGCCAAGCGGGAGGTAGATTTAATATAAATCTGGCAAAGCCGCCTGCTCTGTGGGGCATGAGTCTGCAGCAGGACTGAGTCTGCTTTTCGTGTCTGCAACATGCCAGCATTAGCTTGGAGCTTGTTGAGACCGCACTATTGAACGCCAGTGATTGGTGCCCATCAAGCCTCCGCCCTGAGCTTCAGCCTTGGCAAACCAGTGAGGTTCAATTGAAATCCAAATAGCTTTCGCCCCTGGATTACTCGCTGAACGCGGGAGATTGGCGTTGATAAGTAAGGGCTTGCCTGCCTTGTTTGTCCTCGATGTCATCATGTCATCCATGTGCAACAGTTGAAGATGGGAATTCTAACCCCTGTGTATGCGAGTGAGACGAAGATCCCAGTGATAGGGAAACGGGGGAAAGTCTTGGTCCAAACCTTTTTGATAAGAAAATATCGGATCAACATCAATAGTGAACGAGAACGTGGCGGTAAGTGTGCTGCTGAAAGCCGAGCAATGGTACAGGTACTACTGTAGACACCGGCCTAGAATAGTTCGCGCTCAATGGTGCGGTGATAGGACCTGGTAAAGTGGGGCTGGCGATGACCGAGCGATCCAGAACCCCTCGATCGCCAGCTCCTGATCTTGTCGAGGCTGGTGCAGCTCTGGCCGGGGGGTCCCCAAGGTGTATATTGTTTACCCATGGCACAGAGCGCACGACATGAGTAATCATTGTTTGTAGGTTGTGGTGGAAGAGAAGTGTGGCGAGAGCAAGCAAAGTTCTGGCCCAGAGGAGGTCTCTGTAGTGCGCTAACTCGTAACCCTTAAAAATAGCACAGGTCGGGTCAGCCCTTATTCAGGCTGAGCTCGCTAAAGTCGGCCGCTCACGGCCATTAGATAATGCTGTAATCTTTCTTCCTCACTCTCGCTCTCATTAATCAATAAGAGAACTATATAGCACTGCAAAGAACATGAAGTGGCAAGTGCTTTCATGATTTTGCGTTCCGTATTAGTAAAATTGCCTGCATTTTGATTTCCTTGGAGTTAGTTTATACGTGTCTGCATTCCCCCTATCACCGAGGGAGTACTTTCAAAACCGCATTATCTAAATTAAATTGCCACTAAAAGACACAGTCTTATAGTTGAAGTCATGTTCTGCGCATCAACTTTCCCTTTATCACGTGATACAGGCCAACTTGGTAACCTCTTCTGAATCAAATCTCTCGCATTCCTCTTTATGGCAGAGCTATAATCATAGTTTCTTCACCATACAATACAGCTCGAAGTAGGTGGAACAAGGTCGGTGTAGGAGGTGCTACTAGATCTAAGTTTCGTAAAATGTCCATATGTCATAGAATATCCTCAATCCTGTTGTGACATTGCACTAAATAGAAGATCTTAGCGTATTTGAAGTTTATTTGAGAACTAAGAATATACTTTGGGAACTCCAAAGTTGCTAGCAATAATTAACAACAAACAACGTTAATCAGCAGCCAGAAGTAAGGTAAGGAGCTCTATTATACATTGTGTTTTCCCTCGGGCTTTTCCCTCAAATCTCGATCAAAGGAGGGCTCTTTTTTACAGCTCGCACGTTTGCAAGGTAACTCAAACACAACTTTCTTACCTTTAGCCCAAATAATGTTGATCAAAGCTAAATGGTAAATTTCCTTTGTTTTCCTTGTTGATTCATCTCAAAACGTCCATTTTTCACGATGATGCATAAGGGACAAGGCCGGAAAGAGCAACAAAGAAACTCGAAGTCAATATCACCTCGATTTTCGGGCGGTATGACGCTATCTCAATTCTTGCTTCGGCATCCTATAAATCTCTCACAATGAAGTTCAATTTCTTCGGCGCCTCCGGTCCGAAGCCAGCAAAAGAGACCTTCAGCAACCGCCGCAAACCAAAGTACACCTCCTCAAGCACTCTACCACCAGAGTCTACACCAAAAACCAACCTTCGCAAATGCCCTGAAAATGGCTATATTCCTCACTACCGCAACCTCGGTCTCAAATCGGGTGCATCAACTGAAGGAATCAAAGCCGAATGGCGCCGAACAATCCTACGTCTCCACCCGGACAAGATCCGCGATTCGGCACAGAAGAAAAATGCCACTGCAGCGATGATCTTGGTAAACGAGGCTTATGAGAAGCTGCACACGAAGGAGGATTGGTGGCGGGGGGCTCCAATGATGACACGATGATCGATTCCAGCGAGTATCTCAGGCGGCTTAGTGAGAAACTTAATAACGAAGTTGAAGGTGGAGGTTGCGAGGAGGCCGTACGAAGGCAACCGTGGTTCTGGGCATACAAAATGAACGCCAGTGTACCCAGGATGGAGACTTACTTTGTGGGGAGTACTGGGCAACTCTTACACATAATACAGTCGACAGCATACTCCCTGCGAGAATCAGTGATGCGGTCTGGGAACTCGTTGATATGGACTGGAGATATCCTATCCTTCCTTTACCAGCCTTTGACAAGTTGACTTTCTATGGCCCTTGTTTTCAGACATACACCGTTACACTTCCGGCTGTAAAAGCAGCAAAGACAACGCCTCCGCCCCTATGGTCAAGCTTCAGCGACACGGAGTGTAACACTCCCTTGAATCTCGAGTCCTTAGACACGGCTGCATTGCTAGTTCTACTCGGCACAATCCAATTTGGCTTCAGAAAACTATGGTTCGCTCTCATTGCTTACAGCTTCGCCTCTATCATCTTCTGCATCTCATTTTGCCTCTGGTGCATTATCTGGGCTGCGAAAAGAATTTTCTGGCTCTGTACTTGGCCGATCCGGAAATTATTCCTGGCATTTAGTTTCCTATTCCGTCTGGTGCTTCAAAAGCTTCCCGATATATCCTGGGTTTTTGAATATGTTGTTGATTTGGGGAGATGGCTGAATTTCTATCGCGTGCGTCGCAAAAATACGATTCACAGCACGAGAGGCGTGGCAGGACGAAGGTTTGATGGTAACTGTGCGAGCCGGGATAGATTGAGAAACATGTATGGAAAATGATGAAGAGAGCCTAAGTAACTAGGGGCCCGCCGGTAGAAGTCCGTATTTTTAACGATGTTTTCAAGTCTTACAAACCATAATTGCCCACTTCACTTCATAGATTTAAAACTTATGTGACTTAAGCACATACTATAAGAGAAGCTGGATTAAGTTTAGAAGATCTTTAAAACAGTTCTAAACATAAAATAAAAGCGTCGAAAATAGTTATAAGGTTAGTTTCTTAACTAAAAGTTCTAATATAAGCTAAATAAGTATATTAAAGAATTATTTAAGTTATTTAAGTTATTCGTAAATATTTATAAATAACTTAAATAAAATATAAATAATAAGTAGCTTAAATAACTTGAGTAAAATAGAATAATTATTTATAAATAATTATAAATAATAATTATAAGAAAGTCACGTAATTATAATAAATTAATATATATTTAAATTTTTAAAAAAGAACTAAGATATCTATTAGATAATATTATATAAGCTAAACTAATACTTATTTAAGGCTATTTAAATTTAAATTTTATATAATTATAAACTAATTATTCTCTTTGAAATCTTAATTTTTTTTAGTTTTAGAAATTCTTTAGTATTATTAAGATTTAATTTACTTATTAAGTACTATTATTACCTAATTAGATATCGAGATAGGGCTAAGTACTAGCCTTCCTAAAGCCTTACCTTACTAGGCTAGCCTTATTACATATATAAATCACGTGTATTACTCAAGTTATTTATGAATATTTATAAATAAAATATAAGTAATAAAGAGAGGTAAGAGGGAATATAATATATAATAGGAGATCGACTGGGAGCAGTGTGAGAAATGAATAGATTAGATTAGATTAATTGCTATTAATCTAATCTATTCATGAAATTTTCTCATTAATCATATTCTATTCACGAATTAATTAAGCTAATCATGAATATTCATGAATAACTTGATTAATGTACACGTGACCGCAGCACGTGACAGGCTAGCCTAATTAGGTAAGGATCAGGCTCTAGTGCTACCTTGCTTCTAGAGAGAAAAGCTCGCTAAGGCAGTGCTAGAGCAAGAACCTTACTTAATTAGGCTAGACTATCACGTGCTGTAATCACGTGTACATTAATCAAGGTATTCATGAATAATCATGATTAATTATTCTAATCTAATCAAATTACATAAGTATCACGTTAATCAAATTCTATTCACGCTATTCATGAATATTCATGAATTAATCAATTAATCAGATTAATTTTTTCGCACACTGACTGGGAGTAACCACGAATCAAGGAGGCATCGTACCGGTGAAGTGTGTGTTGGATTGCTTAATGTTCCCTTCGTGAGCAGGGCGAAGGCTAAATACAACAAGGAGAGAAGAACTAAGAGATCACGTGAGAACATGTGATCATGCCAAATGTCAGCCCAATCCCCACCACAGTAATAGGGTTTATGCTTGAATAAAATAAGAGTAACAGCCATTATTCTATTTTACTCTATTCATTTGACACACTGAGTGAAGTGAGCAAAAGCTGAGAAACTCCTGGGTCAATTCGCACGTGCATGCCAATATTTCCATATCATTCTCAATATTCACTCCTGCCTAGATAGCAACCCTCAGCTATGTCGACTTTTGATTAACGCCGCCAATCGCAAGAACACTAGTGTCATTATTCTCGCCGGTCTAGATTTGGTGAAGGCCACAAAATGGAAGACAACGGCCACTTGAGCCTCGGAGATGGAGTTAGTGGACAACAAAACCCGCGAAGGAAAGCCTCCTTGGTCTGAAGCAACACATGGGATATGTTGATGATATCGAACGCTACTTGGCAGCATTTGTCGCCTCAACCTACAATTGTGCCATTTCAAGGGGCCTCTCGGAGGGACAGCTCTGTCCACTCTTCTTTACGAGGTCCGCTCAGGAACCTTGACGGCCGCCTTCTCATTCCTCTTTCCTACCACCCACAGCACCCCCAACCTCCCTCACCATATCCCAAGTCACAAACGGCTCCCGCTCCCCAAACTGCACCAACTCCATCCCAAACCCCTTCTCATTCAGCGCTCTCCACCCAAACTTCTCATAAAGCCCCTTTCCCATCCTCGAACTGTGCACATAGCACCCCTCCCCCCTCCCATCCACAATTTTCACCACTTCCTCCACTAACATCTTCCCGATCCCCTTCCTCTGATACCCCGTTCTCACATCCAGCATCTCCAGTTCTGGCAACATTTTAATTGGTAGCGTATTCTTATGCTCACCACTCGTGCCGAGAAAATATTCCATAAAAGCTACGTTCGCGCCTTCGGGGAGGTCGGGCTGAAAGGGAGCCTCTTCGAACTCTCCTCCATCTTTGAAACATATATAGGCCACCACTTCAGCTGGAGAGTTTGCCTCAACGGCGACGGTGAAGTGATAATAGGGTTGAGCGAAGAAGTGTTTGGTGCGAGCGAGGGAGACGACGAATGCGTCGGCGGGTGGGGCGAGGCCGATGGAGTAGATTGGGAAGGAGATGTTGGTGTCGATGCCGATTTGGGCTATTGCTGGGAGGTCATCGGGTGTTGCTGGACGGAGGGTTATTGCTGACATTTTGTGGACTGTAAGAGGTGAAGAGTGAGAGCTAGAGTAAGGTAAACAGGGGTTGGTCTGTGCAAGCAAGGCGACGTCTAAGTAAGAAACCAAATACTAAATTTGGAATGAGGAAATGAATTGAAGTGATGAAATCACATTAAACGAGGAGCTTGCCAAGACTTTATATGTCTTAAGGACTCGCGCAAGACTCGGCGTTCGGGGCGGGGTTCGGGTGAGCCGTTGCGGCGGGTGAGAAGCCTTGGCTCAATCAACGCGATAGGGATATGTTCTTACCTAATTGGGCAGGTACAAATTGCATCCCGAATAACTTTGTCCCTGGACGCCCTGCCGAACAGATAAAATAATCAGGACAATAAAGACTCCACACGCTTCTGTGGCTCGGATTAAAGGCAGGACCAAGACGGCGACAAGCTCACGTCATCAGCCGACTGAGGACTCAGTGCCCGCAAAACCGATCCCTTGGATCAATCATCGCACCATGCGTTACCAATGTTCCTTGGGAGAATGGTACAATCGATTCCCTTCGTCACGAAGTAATAAACGAGCAAACGAACAACAAAGCACTCACGCTGAAGAAAATCGGGGCTGAAAAGCCTCCTACCTAACGCCCCCACTTCCCTCACCATATCCTAAGCAGTATGCCCCTCATCAACCCCACAATCCTACTGCTAACAGATTGGAGTCAGTATACTTCTTCCAAGTATTTTCAGGATTAGAATGTTCCAGGAGCTGTTGAACATTGTATAACCCCCTGCAACCAATACAAAGGCCGGGAGGGAATGATACTCCAAGGAATTGGACAGACCTTCAACTCGATTATAAACCCCTTCCCCTCCTCTCCTCCCATAATATCACGTCCCTGGGCTGAAGACCTGGTCTGGTAAACAGCTCTTTTTGGGTGTGTATGTGCGTCTAAAGAGAGAAGAGAGGAGCGGGGAGCTCGAGCTAAGTACAGGGTGCCACGCTAGGGCCAGGTCATGTGACGCTGACGTCACAACACATAACCCTCCACCCAAACCTCTCATAGAGCCCCTTCCCCACCCGACTACTCCTCACATACATTTTCTCGTTCCGCTCGTCCAACTACACAGCAACTTAGCCCTAGCTCTCTCATCTCTCACACCCATCAACACTAAAACAAGATCTTGCATACCTCTTTCACCACCTCTTCAAGTAACAACGCACCAATCCTCTTCCTTTGATGCCCCGGCTTCACGCCAAGGACTTCCAACTCCGCCATCCCCTCAATCCTCAGATCTTTCTGAAGCTCCCCATTCTTCCCCAGAAAATACGTAATCATGCCCACATTCGCACTTTCTGGAGACTGGTATTTGAATTCCGGGTCCTCGTGGTCACCGCATTCTTTCCGCATTCTTTCTAGATCACAAAGCCAGCCACCTCTGCCTGCATGGCGACTAGGAAATGGTAGTGCGCTAAAAAAAAAAAAAAAGAGTAATTCATAGCGGGAAAGGAGGATCGGGCAGGTGTTTGAGGAATTGCTCCATGCTAGGCGCGCCATGTGGTGGTGGGGGTATGTTGCTATGTCGAGGGTGGCGATTTCCGGGAGAACGGTGGGTAGGCCGGGGCGGAGCGTGATGTTGTGGTTCATTTCGAGAGAAGGAGAGGTGTGATGGTGAAGGCGAAGTGAGATGAGACGGAAGATAAATAAACAGAGTTTGATCGTGGGAATAGAAAGCTGTGGAAGCGCTTGCCGGGAATTATATATGTTAAGGACTACAGGACTCGTACGAAGGGGACGGAGTGATGCAGGTCGGCGGCGCGGCCCCTAAATGAACTGCAGAACCTCATAATACAATGACTAGCCATACCAGAAAGACCCTTACCGCACCTAGAACTTCAGAGGGGGTACTGTAGTAGCCCGTATGAAGCTCAGGTCATCAGCTTATTCCACTCTCATGGCTTCAGCGAAGACCAACTGGCAAAAATCACTAACGAAAGAAAAGATTGGACCCAGCACTTCATAAATATTCCTACCAAGCCGTGCGGCCACTCTAGAATTGCCCCTCGGTGTTCCCTTCTCCCATGCCCTTAGTACTGCTGCTTCCACTCTGGATCGACCCCAGAATTCCGTCAATATACTGCGCACCGCTCCACTTCTGATGCGTCAAAACATCAACACCTAATTCCTTCTCTCTCTTTTGCACAAGATTGACATAAGCCAACATTCCATCCTCCTTAAATCCTTTGCTCAATTCATTCGTGATCACAGCCCCGCTGTGTAATCCAGCGAGAGAAATAAGTTGAAGTACGAACCCATGCTTGGCGATATCCCATATGAAGGATTTCAATGTTTCGGGCGAGAAGCCATGGCCCATCCAGTTGAAAGATGGTGAGAGGTTGTAGACGAGCCCTTTTCCTGGGTGATTTTCACGAATTTCTCCTGAGAATTGGGCTGCGTTGGCGACGCTTGGATCGCCTGTCTCGACCCATAATAGATCTGCGAAGGGAGCGTATTCGATGGCTCGCTTTGTGGCTGCTTTCATGCCTGCCTGGTAGTGGTAGAAGCCTTCTCTTGTTCGAGGGATATCGATATTAAAATAGATAGGCTGGTCTGTGAATTGTGATGCCAGTTGCTTCCTCTTCGTGATCGACATATCGCGGTTGTTACTCGTGGTTGTCTGGTAATTGTAAATGTCCTCTTCTGACACCTCGTAAGCCTTCAATTGCTTGACCACAGCTTCGTCGCAAGTCATCAGCTTGGTATTTTTGACCCATTGTGCTTCGAATGCATCAATTTCAGCACCAGTCGCTCCGGCCATTTCCATTCCCTGTAAAGTTTCGGCCAGAGGTTCGATGCCTTCCTCCGCGACTCCAAGTATAAATTCGTGGTCTCGAACGTCGATGGCGCTGCTGAGAAGCTTTCCACTCTCAGAATCCGTCCTTGCAATGACCAAGTTCTCCGATCCCATAACGTCCCATTGAAATCGTGCAGCGACAAGACGATTGATATGTTCTCCAACGGGTACAAGAACCTTTCCGGCAAGATGCCCACACTTCTTCCCGCCATGCATCTGATCTTCGAAATGTACAGCCGCAGCTCCATTCTCTGCAAACAGCTTGGCAAGCTTCAAAACTGCTGACAGTCCACCATGTCCAGTATCTCCATCTGCAATGATGGGCCGTAGGTAGTCGATGTATGGTGTCTTTGCTCTCTCCTCTGGAGCCAACTTCCTCCGCGCATCCCAATGTTTCCTGTCGTGCATTGATTGTGCTTTAGCGAGTCTCTGAACTTGGTTTGGTACGGTATTGTAGGGGTAGTCGCCAAAGTCGGGAGAAACTTCGTTTGTGGTTGTGAGGACGGAGGAGCATGCCCAGCCGGAAATGTAGAGGACTTCTTGGTTCGGTGCTTGTTGTGTCATTTGTACAGGATCGATGGCGCCCACTGCGGAGTGTTAGGAATAGGCATTGTGGACAAGATTGCAGAGCGTACTTGTGTGGATTGGCTCTCCCTTTGCCTCCCTCTCCTTGATCAAATTGAACAGCTTCCTCGCCATGACCGAGCTTGGGTATGACTGCAGCTGGGTCCCCCGTTTCGACACAACATCTGCCGCCGAGTACGGCCTCTTTATCCCCTCATATCTTGGACTCGCCCACCATGCCTCCACATCCTTTATCTGCTGGTCGTAGAGGGCATCTTCTGCGGCCCCGGCTTTCTGCGATTCTGGGAGGAGCTGAAAGGTGTCGGACGGAAGAGCCGCAGATACGGGATTTTCGAGTGGCTTCAACACAGCCATCCTTTGAGCTGATATTGAAAAGTTCCGCACGCAAATATTCGCAGACTTCGCCGCCGCCACTCGCCGTGGGACCGTCGCCGCCGCTCTGCGAAGCATTGTGAAGAATGCAAACCTGGGAGAAGACAAAACGAGAGAAGGAAGGGTCGCCCAAGAAGATACCTACTCTTACCCACCGCTGCTAATCAATCAAGCAGCAAGTCCTTTTCCATCCGATCACGGATGTTGATCCAGATCCAAGGCTGTTCGGGTGAGGGCGACGGTTGTGCTCGGCATTGTTTTGCTTGCACCTGCCAAATCCGATGCGCCGTGAGTGGTCAATCCACTTCCTCGGCTCAGCGACGGCCCCAGCCCTGTGGACGAAGCTCCTCAAAACCTTTCGCATTCTCCAACCTTGATCAATTCTACAAATTTGACATAAGACGGCCAGATTGCTACACTGCTTTGAGAGACGCATATCATTCTTGGATTTTTGCCTCTGGAACGCCTTCCACACAGGAGCATTTTCATAGCATCAACAATTACCCCTCAGTGCCCCGCGGCAAGCTGTCAGCATGGCTATGAATGCTAGATCTGCCCCTCGGGCTATAAGAGCCCTGCGAGTAAGTCTTGCAATTGTAATACTTCTCTCGGGGTGCTCTGTTAACTTTGTGCTAGCCACTTGCTGTCCGCCAAGTCATTGTTCCTGCCTACAGAAGCTATGCGACCTCTTCCGAGCCAGATCTCAAAACGACCTTCAAAGAGTGCATTGCACCCAAGCGCGAACTACTGAAAAAGGTCAAGGCGCTGGGCGGCAAGGTTATTGGAGATGTTAAGGTTGAGAACACAATTGGCGGCATGAGGTAGGCATACTGACATATTTGAGAGGGACGGGATTGACACAAACACAGAGGATTGAAGGCTATGGTATGGGAAGGTTCAGTTCTTGACGCCAACGAGGGTATTCGATTCCACGGACGCACGATCAAGGATTGCCAAAAAGAGCTTCCGAAGGGCACAACTGGCACAGAAATGCTGCCAGAAGCCATGTTCTGGCTGCTCTTGACCGGCCAAGTCCCTTCTACATCACAAGTTCGAGTTTTCTCCCGAGAGCTGGCGGAAAAGGCAGAGTTGCCAGACTTTGTCAACAAGATACTGGACAATTTCCCCAAAGACCTTCACCCAATGACCCAATTCGCTATTGCGGTCTCTGCCCTTTCCCACACCTCGAAGTTTGCCAAGGCTTACGAGCAAGGTATTAACAAGGCTGATTATTGGGAACCAACTTTTGATGACAGCATCTCTTTGCTTGCGAAGCTCCCAGTCATTGCTGCCAAGATCTACCAAAATTCATACCAAGGTGGCGGAGCTCTTCCAGCCCAGATTGATTTGGAGCAGGATTGGTCGTACAACTTCGCCGCCATGCTCGGCAAGGGAGGAAAGAAGAACGAGAACTTCCAAGATCTGCTGAGACTTTATTTGGCCCTACACGGCGATCACGAGGGTGGCAACGTCTCGGCGCATGCTACACATTTAGTTGGTAGTGCATTGAGCGATCCATTCTTGAGTTACAGTGCCGGTCTTCAAGGTCTTGCTGGACCCTTGCATGGGTTAGTAGCAGCCATCTTCCCAGTCTTAATTGTCTGCTAAAAGTTTCTAGGCTTGCCGCCCAAGAAGTCCTGAGATGGATTCTCCAAATGCAAGAACACGTTGGGACAAAGTTCTCGGACCAAGATGTCTCCGACTATCTCTGGTCAACCCTAAAGTCCGGACGAGTCGTCCCTGGATACGGCCACGCAGTTCTCCGTAAACCAGATCCCCGATTCGAAGCTCTCATGGACTACGCATCATCCCGTCCTGAAATCGCAAGGGACCCTGTCTTCCAATTAGTGAAGAAGAACTCCGAGATTGCCCCGACGGTGCTGAAGGAGCATGGGAAGACCAAGAACCCTTATCCAAACGTCGACTCCAGCTCCGGTGTCCTGTTCCATCATTATGGTTTCCACGAGACATTATATTACACAGCTACCTTTGGTGTTAGCAGAGGTTTGGGACCTCTGGCCCAGTTGATCTGGGACCGAGCTCTGGGTTTGCCCATTGAGCGACCAAAAAGCATTAATTTGGAGGGATTGCTCAAGCTCGCTGAGAGCGCGTAAATTGTTCTTCAGAAACTTACCTCAAAATTTGTTTAGAGTTGTCTTTTCAAGGCGTTCGACGGGTGTATTTTTACTCCCGTACTTACCACACGACTCAAAAAAATCTAATTACTACTACTCGTCTCATTTATATAGGAAAACAATATCCCAAGGAAAAGCTGCTGCACAAGGTTATCTCAACATCTAGAACATCACAGAAATCGTAAGTCGGCGGTACGTTCATCCAGCAACCAATCCTGCATCCCTTTGCACCTCATTCTCGAATATTTTCCCATCACGCCACTTTCCCCCGCACCACATCCCGCGTCACCCACGCTCATGTTAATACGCGACATCATGCCACACGCAAAATATTTCTCTCCTCAAACAAGATATAAGAAGCCAGTGCATCCATTCGTTTCATTTTTCTTAAACCCATAATTAAAATCCCAACCCAAAATATTACGAAAAATTCAAAATGCCTTCATTTATCACCTCCATCACCGCCGCTCAGCGTCTCGACTCTCGGGGTAACCCAACCGTACAAGTGCGCCTTACGACGGATAAAGGTACTCATGCCATCAATAAGATCTTTGGACAAGTCTGCTAATATTTCATAGGTACGTTCACAGGTCTCGTCCCCTCGGGTGCCTCAACCGGAATCCACGAAGCTCTTGAGCTGCGCGATACTTCCTCCACCGCATACGGGGGGAAAGGAGTCAACCAGGCAGTTCTCAACGTCACGTCGACCATCGCTCCAGCTCTACTTGCAAGGAAATTCGATGTCGAAACTCAACTGAAGGAGATCGATGCGTTTATGTGTCAGCTAGATGGCACGAAGGGGAAGAAGAAGCTGGGCGCCAACGCGATCTTGGGCGTCAGTATGGCGTGTGCTAGAGCTGGTGCTGCGAGTCTTGTATGGACCCTATCTCTCTCTTCAAATTTTCAGCGAAAGAAGAGAAAATCGGTCAAGTAGTAAGAGAAGATGGACTGACACGTGACCCAGAAAATCCCCCTTTACGAGCATCTCCGCCTCGAAGCCGGGACGCTCAAAACCCCCTACATAATGCCCGTCCCCTTCTTCAACGTGCTAAACGGCGGCGTGCACTCGGGCAACACGATGGCCTTCCAGGAAATCATGCTCGCGCCCACGGGCGCCAAATCCATCACTGAGGCCGTGCAGATGGGTGCTGAGACGTATCATGCTCTCAAAGCGGTGATTACGAAGAAGTTCGGACCAGCTGCTACTGGCATTGGCGATGAGGGCGGCTTTGCGCCGCCGATTTCAAAGCCGAGTGAAGCTCTTGATCTCTTAGTCGAGGCGGTTGAGAAGGCGGGGCACACGGGGAAGATTCACTTTGCTATGGATCCTGCTTCCTCGGAATTCTTCCGTGAAGGGAACTACGATCTTGGCATCAAAGACGGATCCTCTCCAAAACTGACCCCTGACGGACTTGCGGACTTGTACAGAGAGTTGTTTGTCCAATATCCGATTGTTCTGCTGGAAGATCCATTTGCGGAAGATGATTGGGAGACGTGGAGCAAGTTCATGGAGAAGGGGAAGGAGATGAAGGGCATGCCAGAGATTGTGGGTGATGATTTGACGGTTACGAATGTGGAGCGGGTGAGGGAGGCGCAAGAGAAGGAGGCGTGTAACGGTTTACTTTTGAAGATTAATCAGATTGGAACTGTGAGTGAGGCTATCGCTGCGTACGTCTCTCTCCCTTCCAAATTTCTTTATTTACTAACAGGGGAGGTAGGGCAAACTTAGCATTCAGCTATGGCTGGGGCATCTTCGTTTCTCACCGCTCTGGAGAGACGACGGATGACTTCATTGCGGATTTGACTGTTGGTCTGAGGACGGGACACTTGAAGACTGGTGCGCCGGCTAGAGGGGAGAGAGTGGTGAAGTACAACCGCTTGATGGATATCGAAGATGAGCTTAATGCGATCGGGGAGGAAGTCGAGTATGCTGGTGTAAATTTCAGAACCGCACATGGGAAGTTGCAGGACCCGAAGATTCCGTTCAACGTGTACGGTTATTGAGAAACTTGGTCTAGAGAGTCAGAGACGGAATTGAATTTCACATATTTTTTGTACGTTGGTTTATTCCAAATATCTCTGTTTAGACTCAAAGAGCCTTAGTAGAAGTTCGAATGTAACTAGGATAAGAAATAAATAAAATAGAATAAAACTGGCTCGGGGGCCCGTAACGTTGTACCGTGCAGAACAATGCCCATTGGCAAGGACTGACGAAGGCAGACTATCACCTCATATCTTAGGCATTACGACATAACTCGGCACTGTCAACTAAGCAATCACTAAATAAAGGGGTTCTCCCTAGACCAAATACACATGTTCAAGTAAAATGAGGTGCCGGGTTATTTGCTAGAAATGGATTGTGGCATCTAAATCCTGTCTCCTGTGCTAGCGGCGATCGCCCTGTAGCTAGGCGATAAGCCCCTGGTGATTCGACTTACAAGCCTGTGAACCAAAGTCTGTGTTTTTAGGGCATTTCGCTAAGAAACGAACCCCATAACTATTTTGGATGCTTTTCTTTTATATTCAAAATTAATTATTAAGGCTTTCTAAATTCATTCTAGCTTCCTTTATTATATGCTCTTGAAGTATGTAAAGTTTTAATCTATAGTTGTTAAGAGATTGTAAAGTGAATGTGGCGAGTTTGGTTTTGCGATATCTGAAAATACCGCTAAAAATACGGACTTTGGTCCGTAGGCTCGTTGCCTCGTGACGAGCCTGATAAAAGTCATCGGCTTTAGGGCATTTTGCCAAGCAACGAACGAACCCTGTAAGTGTTTTCGACGCTTTTATTTTATATTTAAAATTGGTTTAAAAGCCCTCTAAACTTATTCTAACTGCTTTTATCGTGTGCGCTTAAATTATGTAAGATTTTTAATCTGTATTTATTATGAAACTAAGTGAAATAGGTGACTTTGTTTTGCGTCCCCTGAAAACCTCGCTAAAACCACAGACTTCTGTCAGCAGTTGCGAGGTTTAGAAGTTTGACCCTGATGAGTTGAATTTGAAGCGACAGGGCTGCGCCTCGCCGGTGTCGGCGTAGGAGACTCGATTAAGGCTCTGCACAACGACCGTTAGAAACGGAGGTGTGTCCATCTTAAGAACGGTTGAGAATCTCACGCACGGTTTGTTTTGGGGAATGTCAGCCCCTATTTGAAGTAGGACGAAGGAAGGCGGGGAATAGCTGTCCGAAGGTTTCAGCCCTAGTTTCAGCCTTCTCTCCGGTCCCACTGATCGCCCTTAAAAAGGAAGGTAACCATCGAATTGTTCTTGAAACGCGGAGAAAAGATCTCCCAAAAGCTACTAGAGAAGAACTTGTCAAACAGCTAAAGGGAATATGGGCCAATTTCCGCGGTCGCATACGAGGATGGTAAGCCACTCAACCCCGCCTTCGGCTGGTTGTCATATATTATTGTATCGACGGTCCTAATCAGAAGCGACTCACCCCAAATACGCCTGCGGAAGAGATGGACCACCTCTCCAATACCTCTGGGTGGCCTTTCCACTTCGTTGACAATAACGAGCGGGAATACATGGGTTTAATACAAAATCAAATCCGACCTCTCTTTCCCAATTTTGCCGCAGCCCTCTCAAGACAATCGCTCGTTGAACGAGAAATTGGAAGATGTGCAGTGGTAGAATTTAATGAGGGATTCAACCAGCGAACCTCTTCGTTCGGAAACTCAGCGGAGCTGCGGCATTATCTGTTAGCAACTTCAGTATCACCAGCAACTGGTTGCCAGAAGCAACCTAAACGGCGCCTCTTCATATTGGAGGATCTCCCGCGTAATTACATCTTGACACTTGGCTCACGGCTAAGGATACCACCCAGCTTCTTCGCTGGCCATTATGACGATCCAGCATCTTCCACATTCAATCATCGGAACCCATTCGAACGCCACACGAAATCGCAATTCCGTGTCAGATATGGAAACTCGCACCGCGCCGAAGTCGATGTTCCACCACACAAGAGGAGCAGCATGTACGCCTTCAATACAAACGTGTGTCGGTATCTTCATGCATACGACCCGAAAGGCCCTCTCTACGACGAAATGAGGAGTCATCATATCCTTTCATTTTGGAGCTCTCCGCTCGGAATGGATGGGTCTTGGGACGCTGTGCTGCTCGTAGACCCGCCTCTCAGAGGACACGCTAAGTGCTTGCCATCAATGCAACTGGCACCGGTTCGACACGAACTTCTAGACGAAAGTTCAATACCGAAACTCTGCTTGTATCCTGAGATGAATGCTTTGCAAGAACTTCCCGAGGAGGTATCGGAATGGGCCAGCGCCTATGAATGTCCGCAGTATATCTCCATCTTCGATGATGCGGTGAATGAGTTTGCATCCAGGAATCAGGATGTCTGTGAAATGGACAATCCGATGGCCGTAGTCAAGTTTCCCCGTAAACTCGTTATCGGGATAATGCTGGCTTTCCTACGACGTCGGTATCTGAACCTTCTCAGAATCCAAAAGACGCATGTCAAGCCCAATCAGACTTTTCGCCATAACTACCTCAGCAGTTTCTCAGAAGGCGCACTCTCGAGTTGGCACGACGAATTCTTCGACTTTATCGTCGGCAGTTGCGCGGCAATGAAGGAGCTCATCCGGGAAATGGAAGAAAACATGGTCTCACTCGGCCTACCAATGAAGAATGAAACCGCCTGGAATTCAGGCCTCGCGGGAGGGCCGCCACAATGGGAAATCGATGGATGGAGATCGGTGCTAGATCTTGTGCATGTCCTAGACGGGTTAACGAATGCGTTGGCAACGGGATATCTGCAGTACATTTCGATCCAAGAAGCGCGGATTTCGAATGGCAACGCACAAACTTTGTCGAAGATCACAGTTTTGACCATGCTCTTCATACCTTTATCGACAGTTGCGAGTATCTTTTCAATGAGTGGCGACTTTCTGCCTGGCAACCCGAAAGCCTGGGTGTTCTGGGTGGTCTCGGTTCCGGTCTTGATGATGCTTGCATATTTGTATTGGCGGCAAGAGCTTGTTGAGGCATTGATGAGGAAGAGACAGAGCTTGCTTCTACTTCTCGAACGAAGGGAAAGGAAAGCGGAGTTCCCTGCGCCCGACAACGAAAGGTGAAAGGGTAGAGCGGCAGTAGTAAATCACGACAACAGCTGATTTCCGGCAGCTGGTTTAGTATTTGTTGCCGAGACGAGATCTCCAATGGTAGCATAAATATGGCAGGTTCTCCGCTAAACCCTCTTAGACGTAAGAGTATGGGACGGCGTCTGAAGGAATGGGAAATATCCAATAACTTTCTTGTACGCAAGATCAGTGTATTCAAAATATATGCTATAGTTGTAGCAAATGTTGCGGGTATCCCGGGAGCCTGTGAGTGAATGAGAGGGGTTCGTATTTACTCAACACTACCGGCCAACAGTGAATACTCTACAGCGCCTCTTGTTGGCTGTGCCTTGTGCATTCGACCCAGGTTCAACACCGCCTTAAAGAAGGTTCTTGCCTTTCGGAGAAAGACAATGATGAAGTGCAATCGGCCTGAGCCAACCACACCTCCTATCTTGCATCGTTGTGCCCAATGTTCTTATTTCTTAAAGTAAGCATGAGCCATTGAAGCCCAAGATTAGAAACCTGTGGTTAAAGGATAGGATGTTTAACTATTATTTGCATGTTCTGAATCTATTGAAACATCACCACAGACGTCCCAAGTAAGTAAGATAACCGCAATACCTGCCTTTCTCTCTTTCTCAAGTAACCTCACTTGTAGAACTATGTATCACTTCAATTCATAGCCACCCACTGGCTGCATAACTGAACGGGGAACGAGGAATAGATGGCAAAGATGGGGTAATCAAAGGATTTATGCAGGCTTCTCGTACTAACCTCACAGAACCGGAATACGTCTCACGGCGCACCGAACAGGTCCGACTCCACGAAATGTCTTGCCGGGTTGTTCGTCCAACGGGATAACCAGCAGCTTATGGTTGTTGCGTTGGAGTGACCATCTGGCTTACGACGTGGAATCTTGATAAGCACCTCAATATATTTAAAGCCATGTGCCTTACCTCTTTTTGATGTTCAACTCTTTCTCTTGTTGTGACTGCGGAGCATACGGGATTTTCACCCCAACCGCCCCAACCGCCCCAAGTGTCTCAAGTAGGCTTACAAATCTGTTGTCGAATGGGTTTACTTACTTTATATGCAATGCATCTGCCTCTATTGAGCAATTAAAAAGTTCCAGAAATGGAGAAGATTCCGTACGCCATTCAATTTGTAGCCAAGTGGTCACCTCAATCGTGTTGCTGCAGCATTATGCTCGGGTTTTAAAATATATCTTCCATATTCTAACCACTGGAGTCCTATTGGACCAGAATATTTAGCTGCTGACATGCCGTAGATCGCCGTGAGAAGTTTCCTATCACATCCCCCCACCTTCAACGTCTAGTCATGTGAGGCGCAAGAGGAATCATATCGGCTAAACATCAGTCCGGCTTCATCCACCTCAAAAGTATCTTACCAATAAGTGAACAGAGCCTAGAATCCCTTCAGTCCTCACTTTAACTCTCTCTTCCGCCAATTTGTTGTTCTCGCGTTAGACCTCATCCCAGCAGTCTTACATCACAACAATGGCAGCAGCAAAAAAACACATCCTCGTCCTTGGCGCCGGTATATCAGGCCTGCAAACATCTCTTTCCCTCCTCCGGCGGGGCTACCGTGTGACTATAATTGCAAGTCATACACCTGGTGATTTCTCACCGTCGTACACATCTCCATGGGCCGGAGGGCACTGGCGCTCTCATGCCGGGACATCTCCTTCTGATAGCGCACTTCGGTCTTATGATTCAGGAACCTATAAAGCATGGACACAGATGCTCAACGCCGCATACACAACTCGCGATGCCAAGGGGAGGGCCGAAGTGGAAGAGGAAATGGGGATCGGTTTCCGACCGGCTCGGTATTACTGGGGGAAAGACATCGCTGAGACGGAAGGCAGAGACGGAAGAGGAATTTGGTTTCGTGATGTGGTTGCTGGGTTTGATGTTTTGGACCTTGACGAAATGAGGAAGAATGGGAGGGAGAAAGTCCCAGAGAGTGCGGTAATGGGGATTAGGTATAAGAGTATCTGCTTCAACCCGCCGAAATACCTCGATTACCTCTTCAAAAAGGTACAGGAGTTGGGAGTAAAAGTCATCAAGATATCTGTGGACACTGCTTCGGGACTTTCTGGTGTGGTGAGATCTGTTAAAGTTGTGCTTGGAAAAAATGGGTTGGATGAGGTGTTCGCGATGGTGAACTGCACTGGTCTTGCAGCACGGCATTTTCTAGAAAATGATGAAGCAAAGTCATTGTTTCCAATCAGGGGACAGACTATCTTAGTGAAAGGAGAGGCAGAAATGACGAGGACACTCGTTGGGATTCCTGACGCTCCTGAATCAGAAATGTTGTACGTGGTTCCACGTCCCGGCACAGGAACCACCATCTTAGGTGGGTGCAAACAAGTTGGAAACTGGAGTGAGGAAGTCGACAAGGAGCTCAATGAGAGGATCGTCGCGAGAATGAAGAGATTTGGTTTGTGTGATGAGCTAAGAGGACAAGGTGGGGATTTTGAGGTTTTGAGTTATCAGGTTGGCTTCCGACCGGGAAGGACAGGGGGGCCTAGAGTTGAGGTCGAAGACAAGGGGAAGATTGATGGCATTTGGGTGGTGCATAATTATGGACATTCAGGGGCTGGATATCAGAACAGCATCGGTTGTGCAGAAGAAGTGCTACGGCTTCTCGAGCCACTCAGTATAAATTGATGCGAAAGATTCCTGGATTCGGACAACCTCTAGACTGGAGACGACATGTGGATCAAGATAGCAAGTAGTTTTCAAGACCGATTTAAAGCCCATTCCCTTCAAGCACCACTTCTCAGTAGTCACTCGCCCACTCACTCAAGGCGTGCAAGGATCTCCATGCAACTCCCTGACCTGCCTTTGCAAACAAATTGCATCATTCTGTGTGGTAAACTATCCAATATTAACATTTCTTCCACACGATCTCTTCTCCTTCGCTCCCAAATATTTCAACTTACCTCATCGGCAAGAGCGACATGAATGTCAATATTCGCATTGTAATTCTACCTCATTAGCACTTCATAACCCTATCTATACCAGGTAGAAGCTATAGATAGATGGAAGAAAGTTACCTTAGTATTCATATCATTGCAAAACTTTCGAAGTTTATCACCTCCACCCTCAAATAAGTCACCACAGGCGCCGCCGAAAACGAGCTAGGAGGAGGGATATGAAATGCATTGTGAGTCAAGCAAAGTGAATGAAGATAGAAAGACGAAGCTTGAGGGATAAATTTTGACTTCGGAGAAGGATATTATTATAGTGTTTTGCGCACTGCATAAAAATGATACTTCGAAGTAGGTAGATAGAATTATATCTAACCTGAAGTCTTATGACCAGGAAATGGGCAAATCAAAAGAGATTTCGTATGCTAAAAGGGAAGAACTTGCTTATTTAATAAGGTCAATCTTTGAAGGAATCTTTCCAAGCCATTAGTGTAAGTTAATTCCTGAAAATGTTTATGATCAACAGCACAAGGCGCGTACTCTTAGTCAAAGATATGTGCGCTCAGGCCAAGGTATCAAAGAATAGTGGTAACAATGACTAATAAGAGATTCAACCACTCAGCTCATGATTCGGATCCAGAAGCTGAGCCCTACTATCTCTTCAGCTGTTCCCTACTATTAATTAGCACAAATACCCTTGTGTTTTCCATAGTAGGGATTAGCGTCTTGCATATGCTCGAACTTAAGATAAAATGAATACTTATTTTGCTAAAGGGACACTACCCCTTTCTTATTTCGCACTCCTCTATTCTCGACCTCCACCCAACGTCCCGCCAGGTATAATCCTAGTATATGCTTGACCTTTACTACTAAGAAACACAAAGAAAGTTAGACATACCTTTCTTTATCGTCGCTATTCTTAGCATGAATCAAAATCCACTGCTTCTCGTTGATCTTGGGAAAGGCTTAGAGGAGGATTGCTCATCTTTGTTCTGGGCGCTTCTTCTTCCACCGATTGATAATTGCATTTCCATGGCTGGCCACCTTTTGACGCAAGTAGGTCAGATCACCTTGGATCGATGTAGAGCAGGACTTCGAAAATTGGTTCGCCTGTCCAGAGTCAGTACAATTTAATAGAGCAGCCTTGTAAAGATGTTCCTTGCCTCGGAGATGCTCAGACCCGCCGTATACTGTAGGTAGTCCCGGGTTTGCTGGGCGTACTCGCATCGAAACTGAGCCTTGCACTCAAAACATTCCTTTACAGAGCAGGCACCCACATAAGGAAAGAAAGTACCCCTCTTCCTGTTTGGTAATTGAGAAACTGCATAGGGATTTGCTTGCAGGTGCTCATCCAGAATGTTGTGTCAGCGATCATGCTAGCTACGAAAGGTTGCGCGGTGATGGAGGGTTTGAAATGATTTTTTATTTGGGTAGCGGAAGTACTAGATCATGCGAGAAATTTAGGTGAGAAGGAAGTTCAATTACATGACCAAAGTTCAAAGCCGTTCACCTTTGCCTTGAAAGAATGCTGTACCGAGTCTGCCCAGGTCGATTCGGTCTGCTCTGTTCGCTGTGCTACTCCTTCTCATCTGATGGTCATCCGCGGAGATTTTCCCCATGTCTGGAGGGAGATTGCGTCGAAAGGTGATTTGTTGTAAGGCAAAAAAGAAATGTTGGCCCTGTTGACATCGGGGCACTGCAAAAGTAGGTGAATAGGGGTACTTTGATCATGTGACCGAAGCTTTGTTGAGTCCACCTTTGAGCCCCAGATCCTTACTTGGACAACAAAGAAGTAATATGAATATTAATCGTCGTAGACATGAAGAACTACGCAACAATTTGCTAAATCGAAGCTGTTCCTTTGGCGCTTGCAGCCTCCTCAAGTTCAGCCAACATCTCCGCAACAACAACAAATACAAACGAAGAGCAGTTACCCAGCGGTCATTCTCCCTTCCCAGAATCTCACCATGCACTACCAGAAGCATACCCACGCCCATTTAATATCTTCATTCCATTCGCCGCCCTGCTCAACATCTCCTCAATCTCGTTCGCATGCGTGGAGAAGTTATCCACCAAATTATCCCACATCTTGGGGTTATGCTCATGCTTCTTCTTGCTATTCCAAGCATAATCCGTGACAGTAAACGGTCTGCTCGACTCGAACATGAAGGCAATGGCGCCCTTCGAGATCTGCATTTCAGGCGGTGGTTGGGCAGAAGCTGCTTTGAATTCCTCGTATGCGACGCCATGGGGAACCATCCCGCACTCGAAAGAAACGCCACCTGGCTGGAAGGAATCAGATCTTCCTCCATAGCCGCCGTAGATCAGGCCCATGAGCTCGGTTGCTACGTTTCGGTGGTAGTAGGGTGGTCTGTAGGTGTGTGATGCTACATCCCAGCGAGGCGAGAAGATGAGGAAGTCTGCGAGAGGTGCAGTTGGATCTCTTGACTTGGCGGTGAGAACACAGAAGATCGATGGATCAATGTGGTCTACGGAAATTGATCCAACGTTGACGAACTTGGTGAGATCGTACTTGTATGGAATCTGAGAGAGGTCAGGAGTCTGTATCCTGGATGGGGAAGAGGAACTCACGTAGTTGCCATGCCATGCAACAACATCAAAAGGAGAATGCTCCTGAGTGCTCTTGAAGAATTTCCCACCGAGCTTGTACACGATCTCCCACCCGTCCTTGTTGATCTCGTACTTGGCCTTGGGATAGAGGAAATCACGTGAATTGGCAAGGCCATTTGCGCCCAGAGGGCCAAGTTCTGGCAACTCAAAGTATGAGCCGTAAACTTCCAGAATATAGCCACGAGATGGTCCATCTGGAAGTTCCACACGGAAGCGGACACCTCTCTGGATGACACAGATCTCGCCTGGCTGCACGAAAAGTGGGCCGAATTCAGTTTGGATGTCGAGGCTTCCTTGCTGAGGGACAATCAAGAATTCGCCATCAGAATTCACAAAAGCTTTTTGCCTCATGCTCGTGTTTGCTGTGTAGACGTGAGTAGCGATACCTTCTCGCAGTGTTGGTTCCCCTGAGCCTGCGATCGTCTTCAGGCCAGAAACGAAGTCAATACCTCCTTCTGTGGGGATATCGAATGGAAGCCATGCCAGTTGCGTAGGAGAAACGTGGACTTTAGGATTGCTGGGTATAAAGTTTGATTCCATGTCCTTGTTGTCTGGAAGATCAGTCTGGCACATGGCTGTCAGCACAACTTGCCCCTGGCACACGATGTTGAAACTCACGAAGCCTTCATGAGCCACAGCTGGTCGGACTCTGTACAACCAGGCATTCTTGTTACTTCCTTTAGGAGCGACGAAAGCAGATGCAGTCATCTGCTCTGCGTACAAGCCGAAGCGGACACATCTTGGGCTGTTTTGTCCCTGTGGGATTGTTCCCGGAACAGCTTCAGATTCGAAACTTTTCATCACCCATCAGGTCATGGTATCCAGTCAAGTTTTGCTCGAGACTCACTGATTCCCAAATCCAACTTGATACTAGACTTTGTTAACAACCCATACTGGGCCTGGTTCACTGATGCCTCAGAGATCTCACCTCATACGGATCATTCTTTCTCACAGCAAATGAAGGAATGGCCCCATCTTTTTGGGTCTCGGCCCAGTGGAAGATATTCTGGTACTCTGTGGGGTCAGATAGCTGGGCAGGCATTGTGATTAGAGAACTCCAATCGACTCCAGCGAGCTATTTGTTGGAACCTGATATCTATGTTGAAGCTCGGAGGACGGGAAGAATGAAATGGAAGCCGGATACCTACATATCTGAGCGACTCTTATAGCGGACAGGAGTGCCCCGCACAAATAGTAGTCATGTTAACGTATCAGGGCCTGAGAACTACGCCCCCTTCAAAGGCTTCATCTGAAGATTGCTGACGTTTGTGAATGCGCGACGCAATCAGGAAAACCCCCTTTCGGATAACACCCCGTCCCCCGTTCTCACTCGGCACGCTGGAACTAACCCTGTTTGGGTTTGTCTCGCCAAGCTCTTGGCGTTGCTCTGGGCCAATTGCGCCAAGATGGCGGGTACATTAAGTGGGGTAAAGGGTTATTAATTCTGATCAAATTCTCACAAAGGATTTTACCCCACCAACAGCATCCCCACAGGTCATCGGCTTAATCTTGCCGGTTTGGATCAAGGTCGGAGTGCGAGGTACATTTTAAGAAATCGTAGGAATTACCTGTGAAACGACATGGTTTCGGCACTTTAACCGACAACCTCGCCGAAAGATCTACGGAGATCGCGGCATAGATTATCGGGAATACTGGGCATTTTAACCTTTGGTATTTTATAGAGAGCGAATTTAGGATAAGAGTTCGCTACAAGCCCCTATAACTTCAGGCAGCGCTCCCTAAATCGACGTAAAGAGGCGCTATAAGACTTTCTGAGGGAATAAGTAGATCTTCTAGAGTTATAGAGCTATTAGCAGAGTAACTATGCGCTTGGACGTTAAACGAGCAACTATTATAGGCCTCCTTAGCAATGACTTCTTTGTAAGAGGCCCTAAAATGGTGTGGCAGCCCTTGTCAAAGGCGCACAGACTACTTTTTGGGAAAGGGCCTGGAATAGGGCCTTATCGGGTTCGCTACCTTGATCTGTACGCTAGAGGGTGTAAAATTCTCCCAATGCCCTATATTCCCGATAATTTATGCCGCGATCTCCGTATAGGGTGTATACCCTCTGAGAAGACCTTGTCAAGCTTCGTTCAAAACTATTCGACTTCCCTCACTACCTCACGAATCATTTCTAAGAAAGGAGATTCTCTGGGGCATGCCACACTTTCCGGGAAAAGGTAAAACGACACCCCCCCCGGAGGTGTCGACTGGGGGGTGTGGATTGGGGCAGGGGTATTAATGACTTGTAATTGGCTATTATACGTAAGTGCTTTAAAAATCTTAAGTTAGATTTTTTAATATAAGTATAAGCTAATATATTATAATCACGTGCTTTCTAACTTATAATAAAAAGATTCCTTAAAATAATATTTTAATTTAAGGAAATTTATATATTAATTAATTAAGTTCTAGTTTTTGAGCCTTATAAAGCTTTATAAACTAGGAGATTATAGGGCTCTTATATCTGGCTTTAGGGACTTATTTACTAAATTTCTAGGCTTTTTAAGCTTATCTTTGGGGTATAAAATATGAAATCATTAATTCTTTAATTTAAAGAGCTATTACTAATTTGAATTTTATTATAAAAAAATTTAAACAGTAATTAATTAGCGCTATAAGGAAATAAAAACAAGCATTAAATTATATTAATTCCTTATAAAATTAAACGAAATCAAGGAAAAAGTCAGAGTTTTAGTATTCCTGTCCGAGCGCCTCTACTTTGGGTAGTAGCGGTCTGGCCCCCAATCGACACCCGCGGGGGGGGGAAAGGTCGTTTTACATTTTCCCCACTTTCGCATGTTGACAAACCAAGTGAAGATAAAGTCCCAAATTTTGGGGAGAAATTTGAGAAAACGAGATTCATTCATATTTTTCAATATAAGACATTCTTTTCAGTCAACTCCCTACTATTGAGAGACTTAGCCCGCAGTAGTAAGGAAAGTAACCCAAGCTCCCGCCAGACTATCTAATCCGACATCCTCAGCCAGCTGATAGATCGTGTTCCGTCTCCCAGACTTTTCCCTTGCAACTCCTTCCACGTACTGCGAGGTAAAGCCCTTTCCACTCTGCCCATAAACCTGCGCACCTTCCTTGCTGCCAAAGGTTGCCCACGCGCCCTTCCCATTCATGAACTTGATGAAATCTCCAGCAAAGGCGACAGCTACCTGTCTCTGAGCCTCATCCAGAAATTCATTATAGTTCTGGAAAAGATACGCAACATCGAGACATGCCCCGCTTCACCTTTCCACTCTCCGTCCCATGGATTGGGTTCGTTGAAATGATAGACGTAGGCTTTTCCAGGCCAGCCTTTTGCAATTGCAATGGCTGGAGCGAAGAAGTTAATGTCCGTGGAAAATTTGAGGATTCTGTAAAGTCCTTCCTTGTCCGAGAGGCTTGGATTGATATCGTAAGCTTGGAGTATTTTCTCACCGACATCTCCTGGAGTCTTATGGACGATGTTGCAAAACGTCTTTGCAATACCTGCTATTCGAGGGCCAAGCATGAACCCGAAGATTGATGCCTGTTCGTGTATCTTCAGCACCTCTTCCAGGGATACGCTGCAGGAACTTACATCGAATTGACAATCTCCTATCAGGAGCTCTTCGCACCAACTCCTCCCCGGCATTGAAACAGCAGGGCCTTCCTTCGAGGAGATTTCAGCGTAGCTGAAATTGCCAGCAATGACTCCACCATCGACAATAGGAAGAAGAGGGAGATTTGGCGGGACGAGAGTTAGAAGCTCCTCGTTTGGCAAGTCCAAGAGCTTCTTGATACGCTCTTGGCTAGATAGATCTTCTGCACCCATGCTCTTGATCACATTTGAGTAAACAAATTCCGAGACGGGTGGCGGAAGTGGTTGGAGCATCAGAGCGGTACCAGACATGCTGATGTACCGTTTGAAGAGGGGTTCCTTGGTATGGAGGAGCAGGTTTCCGGCCACTAGGTAGAAATAAATCCAGAAATTCCGCTGATCGGGGATGAAATTACATACCTGATCCTGCACTCTCCCCAATGAATGACACATTCGCAGGGTCTCCACCAAAGTCGGAAATATACTTCTTCACCCAACGGAAGGCATTAATCTGATCTCTCAAACCATTGTTGCTAGGATACCCCGCATTGCGCAGTTCTTGAGAAGTCAGGAAGCCGGTTGCTCCCAATCGGTAGCTTGGGGAAATCAATGATTGCTCTATAATGTTTGGGTGCCCCTTACTTGATTCCCACTCCGATCACCGGTAATTCCATATCAGCGGACAGCTTCACAAACCTTTCTAGATCATTTTGCGGCCATGCATTTGAACCCAGGCCATATCCTCCACCATAAACAAATACAAACACCGGAAGGCTGGAAGTAGGAGTAGGAAGTTTGCTTTCAAGCAAAGGGACACTGATGTTTAGATTCAAACCTTCCAAGTCAGAAGATGTCAGCTTAGGGACTGGCAGTGATTGTTGAATGAATCCGAATTCGTTTTCGAGGCCCATGGGAGGATTAATGACCGTGGGACTATTCAGTCAGAAGGTGCTCGAGACTCGAAAAAAGTCACATACCCGAGTTGTGTTCCATCTATCACACCTTGTGTTTCACCATACTCAACCAATTCACTCCCAGCAAACTTGTCTTTCAAGGAAGCATATTTGATGCCAAGGAATTGGACGACGCCATTTCCTTGTCGGCCCTGGATCTCACCCAGCGTCTGGTGTTTGATTTGAGCTGACATGCTGCTGGCTTTGTTCTCTTGTTTCTATCGTCTGTGATAGGGGGGTGTGGCTCGAGAGAGATTCTGTTGCCTTGGTATCCCCTTTATGAACCTTTGAGCGGGTTCAGGCTCGGTTGTACGGCCGCGGGGTTGAGAGTCGCCGATCACGTGTTGTCTTGCTTTCGAACTTGCTCCCAGTCACACTTTAAATCCACTAGCCAATGCTCTAATGAGCAGATGAGGCCTCAGGATGGTTGATCTACACCTGTCCACCACTGGCCATGCGCCGGTCTGCTCAGAGCTGAATCCCGACAAGTGAGATCTTACCCCAAAATTACCCCCAATTTACCCCACCAGCCCCAAATAGCAAATGTCGGCGATTCGTGGGGCCGTTCTTGTTGGTGGGTTCCCGGGAAACCCCCTTGTGGGGCGCAATACTTCTTGCTGTGTAACCTCTCAAAACTTACCTAAGCTTACAATGTGCCAAGTGTTGGTTTTCAGTTCTGGTGTCTGTCATAAGGTTGTGAAATTTCTAGTACTCTCCATTCTTGCTTAATCAAACCTTACACAACCTTCGCGGTGGTTGCCTGAGGTGAGTTGCGTGGGCTCAGGAGTCATAAATTAGTCGAACAAACCCCCTCTTTTGATGAGTGACCTGAATATATACACAGAACCCGTATCGTGGTGGACAGTGAAGGCGGCACTTAATCTTCAATATACCAAGTCAAAGTTGAACATATTTGTGAACTTGGACGGTGAAAAGAGCTCCAAATTTTAGCCCTCCGAGATATCTGCATGAGATAGCAGTCAAATATACCACAACTCGAGGGAGGATATATTTGGAAAGTATCTGTGGTTGTCCAGCTTTGACATAGAAAGTTGGAAAGGAGAAAAGTGCCGCTTTTCCTGTCTATCGCGGTTGGCCCCCTCCGTCACTACCTTGGTAGGTATTCCTCCCCAAACTCTCATTCTCTCCTAGGGCTATTCGCTAATATTATTGTTTCAAGTAATTTAATTAATTATAACAATTACGAAATAATTAAATTATAGTAGCTTAGAAACCTAATAATTAATTTATAATTAATTAATCCATTAATTAAATTGAGTATAATTAATTAATTAGTCACGTGAGCTTAAAAGAAAAGGAGCTAAGGGCTAGGATATTATATAAGACTTAATATAAGACTTAATTAAAGTTCCATCGTCTGGCTTTCCCGCGTTCGTCTCCATTTTCCACCACCGTTTCTTGTTCCGACCCTCGTCACCCTACTTCAATTTTAACCAATTACTCGACTTCCTCCCACAACCCACGCCCACAGTGCCCACTAGAACCACAGGCACTTTCAGTCACAAAAAGGTTTCCATGATGGACTCAACAGTTTCCAAGTCTGTTCTTCTTTCCAACGTCTCCGTGACAGCTGCCAATTGCAAAACATAACAAGGTCTTTCCGGTTTATGTAACGCGTCAATTCCTCCAAGTACAAAAATCCACAAAAGGAATTTCAAAGTGTTCACCGCCGCTATCCATTCCTCGAAGTTTAATCGATTCAACTTTAACTGCTACTTTGAGCTGCCGAATTGGTGTTTGAAACACATCGTAGATGTTCGGAATCGGGAACAAAACTACTGCGCTAAAGATTATGGCGGTTAGGTGGCAGCATTCGTATAAATTAGGACCTGGCGCTGCAGATTTGAGCTCTTCAGAAGAAGGCAGTGGTAAGAGTAGTGCTGAACCCCAAATCGTGTCCCGGCTATTTCCCCAAGTGTCAATCCAGCGAGTTAGCCTCGGAGATGATGATCAATACCCGTTGTAACAGCTCTCACGGGATTCAGAAACTCAAACGTCGTGTCGGTTATTCCCTCATTAGGAGTTCGCCGGAAGTAATTATGACGTTTCCCCCATGGTTAGGAACGTTGGAAGACGATATAGCCCGCTCTTTCACCGAGGCAGTAGAGGACTCGTAGACGCGCAAGGGTGGGTGGACTTGTTTTGACGAGTTATTTAGAGCCTTGACAAGGACTCCTCTGGAGATCTCTTTGTTAATGGCTTTGTGGAAAGCTGCCTAGCAATGGACGCAGTTGCCTACCTGACAATCACCTCTGCTAATGTGGGAAGCTGAATATTTTCAATCCCGCCTCTTAAATCTATCAATCCCAGAACCACTTTCATGTACTCGGGGGACACACTCGAAGAAGCGGATAGTTAGCATCATCTGTTGGATTTTTTTTACCTTTTTTTTTTTGGATGTGCAGCAATTACAACTGTGGGAAAGAGAATCTTGAAACTTGCTTAATTAATATTGCCATAAGCTTTCATCCACTGGAGTTTTTAAGAGGTGCGTTGAAAGGCTTCCTCTTCTCCCCGGTCACATTCAAGACCTCATGATCGGCGAGGGCCAGAATTGTCAGAATAACCTCGCCTCTGCAAGTTGTACTGCCTTTTGAGATATATACTTTGTATTTTTGAATAACTATCAACTTGTAGGAGAGAGTTTATGGCCTAAACAGGGTGATGAAATGCCGACGAGTATTGATACCGCATTTACAGTCCACGACGAGGCCCCACCAATCACCTTATCCCTTACGCAGGCGCATTTCCCAGATTCCACCTGCACGCAATATTGCGACGTCTAGGTGCTCAAAGACAGAACTCGGACAAATTACAGCACTTATTAATCAGAATCCACTCGTTCTCCGAACGGTGAGACCCGGTTGATTGAATTGGCTTGGAAGAGAGGTAGGGTCCAGAGGACTTGATTTCTAAGAAGCTACGATTTCAGAGGTTCCTTAAATAATCGCTCGTTCCTAGCGCTTCGCTTGGGGCCACGCTAACCCCTCACAACGGCTAACCGAACCCCTGAATACCAGGGTGACATTACCTTATAAGCGAAACAGTTTCGCTTTCTTTTACACTCTTATCTTACCTTCGCAACTAGCATAGGCAAATATTATTCTCCTTATTGTATAAAATCACACAACCATGAATTGTGTAGGGCATTGTGGAATAATTTTTTTTCGGGGAGAGTGATTCTGTATTTTGCGTCTCTCGTCTAAGCTGTTCCACGCACCTGCGACCAAAGCAATTTGCGTCTAAAGCAATCTGTTGGGGTTGTAGAAAAGGAGATACTTCCTCTGCTGGCTCATTTAATTCTCCTATTCACTAGGATTCTTCCCGAGGAGGGTGATGACCCACTCAGGAATCTTCTGATTCGCTGCTGCTGCATCTTCACCGGCCTCAAACTCAGCTTTAGTCGCCCCCAGTGGAAGAAGACGGTCTCTGCAAAGTGGGCAACTGTCATTGGTCTCGAGCCAGCATCGGAGACATTTTCCACCAATCAAATGCCCGCCATGTGCACAAGAGGTTACGACCGGCATTTCAGTCATTTTTTATCGCTTGAGATTCCCTTCTCGTTGCCGTCGAACGGCACCATGCAGATATTGCACACTCGTTCTTCTTTCTTCAAGTATTTCGGTGACACTGTTGTCACCTCTTTATGGATCTGAAGCATTCAGTCCTTTAAGGTTGGGTTGGCGGCGTATTTTCTTCTTGCCCTGAACGCAAATCTGCTGTAGTTGAGGTAATTCTGTAGCTGCAATAGCAAAATGCGATGTTCAAGGGTGCAATTTCCACTTTTCTTGATACGAGTGAAAACCAAAAGGTGGCAGGCAGCGTTCTGTGCGCCGCCTCGAGATTTATGACAATGTCCTTACCAAGGTACGGAATGTCGGGGACAATTCCATCCTGAAAAAAGGCGTCGCCGTCGTCTGGAAGGCTTGCCTTGACGAAGTCGAACGGGTCCGAGAACTCATTTATTCCGGGCTTCTTTGCCATCTCTAGCATACCTTCTGCTATCTCGTGCTCATTCTCGAAGAATTCTCTGTATGTGCTCCAATGTACCAGTGTTGACCACGTGCTTTGAAATTCTCCGACTTTCTTGGGTCGGGTAGCAGAAAGCACTTGTTGCAGAGTACTGGATAACGATCGCCGTCTGTTTTCTTTCCATTTGTAATGGTAAAATCGCGCCTCTCCTGGTGTTGGTCAGAGTGGTCAGAGATGAATTTCCACTTTACCAGTTCCATGGTATGACCACATGCGTAATATTCATCGCCGTTTCTATCTGTGTGCTTGTTGTACCATCAAGTTTTTTGTGTTGGATGACGAAGGTCTAGAATGGAAAGTCCAGCAACTTAAATGTTATGAACAATTGGTTGCTCGTGAAACGTCTGTTCTTCTAGTCGATTGCTAAGTATTCGTTTTGCTCTCGAAACGCCGCATTAAATTTTGGATTTACACTTAACTAAGTAAACAGCAATAGAAGTTGTTGCTTACATCCGTTTGATCAATGGATGACTGTCAAAATATGACAATATCTGAAATAAATGCTCAGCATTCTCTTCGGTATGTTTACATCGTACATTTAGAAAATAGATAATCCTCCTACTCTACTCTGCTAAGAGTGTTTTCTAACGTGAATGCCTAGATTCTCCTCGCAGACCTCAAATTTTATCTCTCGATTCCTCTTTCGTTGTTCATTCTCCAGGCTCCAGCTTCCTTTGAACAATTGAAGGCAGTTTTCTCATTTAGAAACAAATTTATGAGGAACAACAAGGAAATGTTGTTTTAGGGAACAGCACCTGATACTCTGAATATACTCTTGGTCTCAATCCCTACGATTCGTGTTGTACTCGCTAGTTCAACTACACTCAACTCATCTCATAAAAGCGTCAACCATCCAATCATTCTCACTTTCAACGTTACATTACTTCAATTCTTGGAACATTCCAATAACCAAATATGTGTTACCAATTCAGAATCGAATACGAGGCTTGCGGCCATCATAGCCAGCCGGAGTACAAGCCTTGTGGATCTCCGAGCTGCACGAAGGTCACCCTAGTTGTGGCAGACGACGAGATTCTGGACTTTTGTCCTGAGTGTTTTCTAATGGATATTGTAGATTTCCGTCAATATGTGGAAAGGCCGTACACATATGAAGTATATCGGATCATGAGAATCACGTCCCGTTGGCACTCTACACGAAATCGAGCCAAGGAAATGTACGCGCGGGCAGCAAAATATTACGAAGCTACTTCTGGGGCGAATGACATCTTGGCCCTCGTGACCCCGGACGGTGCAACGTTTGACTATACGCGGAATTCGGTTGTCCTACATGTGCTCAAAATGCTCACGCGGGACTTTTGGGCAAGAATCAAGTACAATGTTTCTCCTCAGCCAACGCTGCGAGAGCGAATGTTGATCCTCCAGCTCATCAAAGTCAGAGACCAAGGGTTTATTTACTTTGCTCTGGAAGAATTTCAGCGCAGAGCAGACCAGATCAACTCTCTTACTACTGTTGTGCCTGAAGAAGATATCGCTGAGAATGATTATTGCAATATCTGCCATGAAGTTCTCGGTATCCCAAACGAAGACGGCAAAGTGGAGCATTGCGTCAAGACCATTTCATGCAACCACATGTTTGGTAATCTATGTATGGCTGCGTGGTTAACTAAGAATGAAGGTGAGTGGTCCTGCCCCATTTGCCAGGGCATCCTTACTCCTAACGCCCAACCTGAAGTCCAAGAGGAGCCTGTCACACAAAACAAACGCCAAGTAAAGTTCAAAAACTGGTGTGGGAAAATTGTGAGAATGGATAGAGCTCAAACTCCAGAGTGGATGATTGCTCTTCTTGATGCCACCGACATGGAAGAGGGGGACGAGGGCGAGGATGGCGAAGACGAAGAAGAAGAAGAATATGAGAAGGACAATGGCGGCTACGCGTCTAATAGTGAAGAGGATGCCTTTAATACTCGCCTGCGGCACACAATTGTCGATATGGAAAGAATGTTTGGTTTCCATTTCGAATTTGATTATCGACCAAGGGCTCTCCCGAGAATCTGGACGCAAGTCGTGAATCTCCTTCCCACTCGCGTTCGAGAGGCATTCAGATCGTACACGTAGCACTAGTATCGGACACTCTTTTGTAAAGTTCTTAGTAATTCAATTCACCCCTATCCTTTCGTCCATATTCAATTATCTTTAATAATAGACATTTCGGGTATGGCCATTCCATGCAATAATTCGGAGTTCGTCGAAAATAAGTCCTCGATTCACCGCCTCCTTCCAAATTAAGGTTGGATCGTTGGCCCCCTTGCATTGTGAAAAAATGAAACAAACGACAGAATCCCATCTCTGACTATCTTATGATCTCATCCACTAATTAGCAAGATCCTCTTTCCCTATATTTCTGTGTCATAGAATATCAATGAAGTGTTCGCCTAGGAAATTGGATTGTGGGTATAGTCGTCGCTACTGTCCGCCTCGCGATCTATGGAATTGTTCTCCAATTCATTATATGGGGAAGTAAAAGAAACTCATCTTCTATGACGGCTTGGTCTCGATTACAGAGATGAAGACACCGTGACAATCGTTGAAAGAAAACTACTTTATTGAAGGACAATGATATTGAGCGGTGAAAGAAAAGTGTTGGGTATAATTACGAAAGGTTTTCCTGCTGGAAGAAGGAACCTGTAATACAACGTCAACTTGAGAGAAAGAAACTGGAGACAGAGTTTCAGCTTTCACCCTAAGGTCTGATTTTCAAGCAAGACTTGCACAAAAGAAACATCAGGAGCAGAAGCGAATACTCGAATTGTGTCAACAATATGTTGTTACCAACGCCTGCAGACACTCTCGCGAAGAGACAAGACTCTGCCGCCCCGTTGCGACCTTGCGGGCCTGCTCTATAACAAAGTTCGAGATCACTATAGACCACTTCTGCCAGGGCTGCAGGGAAAATATCATGAAGGACCTCCAGCGCAACGTACCATCGTTAGACGATGCCCTTGCGCTCGAAGGCAACCACATTTGCGACAAAGTCACTAATGCACTCAAGCTCGCCAATCCAAACTGTTTCTCTATCACAATCACAGAAGGGGCCGACGGCCCATTCCACGGCAGGATCCTCCAAGCCGATCTGGACTGCCTTAAAGCAGTTGAAAGGATAGCAGAGAGAGTCACGCATAGGCTTGCCATCGAAAATGATAAACACGGACCCCTGCGTCTTCTCGTGCAACTGCATTGCTGCGTCGAGCAAGCCGAGATCAATCTCCGCGAACAAGAGATTTTGCAACATGCGTACGCGGCGAAGGTTCTCTAGTCCTTCACGTCCGTTATGGATCTCGCCAGGGAGGAGAGGGAATGCAATATATGCATGGAAGAATGCCTTTCGACCAAGACCGACGGCAGACGAGAGGAGAAACCGTGTAAGCTGCCCTATGAACACATTCTCGGACCGAGTTGCTTGTGGGAGCACTTCTTGGCGAAGGATTTCAACCTGAGGATGCAGATCTGTTGTCCTGTCTGCAAAGCCCGCTCTGGCCCTGCCGAGTGCGTGGATCTCGTAAAGCCTGAGGAGGTTGCGAGTTAGTCGTGGAGGAAGTATATTTCAGGCGGGAATACGGCGTAAAGTAGATCCGTATTCATGCACTCTCTCTTTTCCTACGGCACGTCAAAAACCACAATCTCCTACATCTCCTACCAAAGTGCTTTTTAATTGTATACCATTTTTTATAATTTATATATATTTGGGGTGGGGGGGACATGACGTGAAAGAACAATCCCAATGTTTACAATGATTTACGAGTAATGGTAATAACAAGGGATTTCACACCTCACCATCCGTTAGAATTCTGTATCTCAATCAAATTGGAACTAACCCACTCCTCCCTCTTCCTTCCTTTATCCCCATTCAACACACATTGTGGAGACTCAGACAGTACCCAAATCACCCCATTCAACAAAGAAGACTTCGCCTCCAAACCACGGTGAATGTCTCACCCGTAAACAACAGAACAATAGCTTCCTTGCATTGTATCTCATTACCATTACTATTCCCCCTTCCCTTCGCCTCTTCTTACCCATCTCATCACTCCACACAGTCCAGCCCTGCCCGATATCACCTTCACCTCCAACACCCAAATCAAAACAACACCCGAACCCTTCTCTCTTCGATCTAGAAACAAAAATCTACCAATAATGTGCCACACACTCCAAACCCTCCACAATCCATGCCGCCACACCCTCACAACCGTGCACCCCTGCACAGCATCAACAGGTTACCTCCTCCCAAGCTTCCTATCCTCTGTCTTCGCACCGCCGCGATGCATCCGCACTTCTGAAACGACGGTATCGGCCAATTTCTGTCCAAAATGCGATGAGTTTTGGAGTGATCAAGGGATCGGAGGGGAGGAAGCCAGGGAAAGGGTCGTGGGGTGGAGGAGGAGGAATGCGTGGGAGGGGGCGATGAGACCGGCTGTGGGGGAGGCGGAGGGGTTTGTTAGCTTTCTCAAAGAAGAAGAGGGTCACGGCTGGAGGCAGGACAGAACGAGCCAAGATAGTGATCGGGTTGACGATAGTCACCCACAGCAGGGCGACCTTGATACCTTCTTGGCATCCGATCTACGACCGTCTACCGACCGGGAGAACCATCGGAGTTCTGGCGAAAGATTGGAGGGGGGCAGAGAAGAGGGGTCGAGGTCGAGGAGGAGTTCGGTGTCTTCGACGTGCACGCTCTGGCCTGGCCCCGTCCCTCACAGATCGCCGTCATCTCGGTCCCAACCTCGATCACCCAGTTCCAGTTCCACGGAGACACTCTTCCGCGCTCCCAGCGCCGAAGGAGCAGATCTCGGCACTCGACGCCTCGACAGCCTTGCCCTGGTCCAGCTTGACGAGAATGCGCAAGAGATGGAACATGCTGTCCCTCCGCCGACATGGCCGGTGCAAGATGGCTTGATCCATCCTGATGCTTTTGAGTTGGACGAGTGGGAAAACGAGCTGCCTGGCCCGGGTAATGTCGAGAGTTTTGAGAGACAAGAACTCTTTAAGCTCGTGGGCGCAATTCCGGGAGAGAAGCCACAGGGCAGAAAGCTGGTGTGAGTGAGAGAAGAGAAGAACCGAGATGTTGAAGAGAGGGATGGGCTGGACCCTGCAGGATACAATGATAGATTGAAATGCAATATCATACAGATGAAAACGCAAGAGGGTGTCCTTCCAAGCAGTCCCCGTCTAAATAGTCGTCTAAATCGTGATTCGTAACCAAGAAAATCCATCTTCCACGTATGATCACAGCAGACTGGCGGTCTTGGGCTTCCAGAGCGACCAACTCACCGCAATCCCAGACTTGATCGCAGCAGCTACCCACAAACTCACCGACATCCCCGCCTGACTCCTACTAATCCACCCGCCGGCAATACCCCCGATGAGAATCGCAAGCACAGCCGCGGCCCTCCTATTCCGCTTCACATTATCCAGGGCAATAATCTTCGGGTCACTCGCCAAATCACAATAAACACTCGTCAATACCGTCGTCGGAACCTCATTAAAGCCCAGTAGCCTAGATGTCACGATCTGCCCCCCAGACTGGAAAGCAAGGAAACCTAATGGCAGGAGTTCGTAGGGATCGAAGCCCAGGTTGTTTTCCGTGACGAGGCCTTTGGGCTCGGGGACGACGTGTGCCTGTACTAACGCCGCTGCGACGATTATGCATATGCTTTGGAGGAGGAAGGATGCCGCGAGTGTGCCCCGCGCTTTCGGGTTTATGAGTCGGGTAGAAGCGAAGCAGAAGCAGCCGCATAGGAAGCAGGCGATGCTGAGGAGGGATTTGAGCCAGCCGTCGGGATGGCTGGTTGGCTGACCGGAGGCGCCGAGGGCGAGGAAGATGGTGTTACCTGGAGGAGAGGTTGTGAGTCAAGGCGAGAGTGGGGAAGGGGTGGGTGGGGAGGCGAGGACGAACCAGTTTGCATGGACACGAAGCACGACCAGGCGTTGTAGGCGCTGCTGTCGCAGAGCCCGGAGACGAGACAGCATGCTATGATGGGGATGTCTGCGTGCGAGAGGGAGATTTCGTTGCCGAGGTGGCTGCGGGCGGACTGCCATGCGGTCTGTCGAGGTTTGGCCAGAGATCTGCTGGGAGAGCGGTCCTCTGTTGTTGGCAGAGCGGGTTCGGATTGCCGTTTCACAGGAGGATTCTTCACCATTGCGATTGGCGGTGTTGGGGAAGCATCGTGAGAGAGAAGAAGAAGAAGAAGAAGAAGGAAAGCAAACAGACCTACTTTTTCCTGCGATATCGCGAACACCACTGTTCGGGAATTCGGGATGAGCTCGCCAATAATTGACAGCCCTACGAAATTTTGATGCTGCATGACGAACGAACGCGACTCAGGAAGGCTTGTCTAAAAAGGGATTAAGTGCTGGCTAGGCATGCAGTGAATTTTGATCTCGGCTGCCATTTCTGTAGTGGGGTCAAGGTAGGGTTAGAGGCCAGGTAGTGGTACAGTAGGTGGGGTCAAGGCAGGATCAAGGCGAACAGCGAGGTCAAGATGCGAGTAGAATGCAACTATTAATTCCTTTTTGAGCCAGAACTCATGTAACAGTGATCTCCTACAATTTGAAACCACGACGTCTGTACGGACAGCCTGGGCTGTCCCGCTAGGGGTCTCGCTTAGGGCATTCTGCCATGATCCACTGAAACGCAGGAAGCCCTAGGGTATTAATACCTGAAGCTATAGGGCCTCTCATAGCCCGTGTATCTCCCACGTACGTGGGTTCTAAGATCATACAAGGAGGGCGGTCACTGCTGCTAAATATGTATGTATTAAAACTTAGGCTTCTTTACTAAATTGAGAGCTTATTTCTTAACTTTTTAGCCTGAAATAATTAAACCCCGCAAAATATATACTTATAAAATAGAGATATTTATTAAAATTAACTTATTTAAAGCTTTAATTATAATAAAGTTATATTTTTTTTATAAAAAAAGAAATTAAAAGAAAAAAGGCTATTTATTACTTATAAAATAAAAGTTTTAATTAAATATCTTAAGATATAAAAGAGCTAGTTATATAAATAATTTAATTATAATAAAAATATTATAAATATAATATTTAAAAAGAAATTTAATATAAAATATAATAAAAGATTTAATTAAAAATTAAATAATTAATTATAGTTTAAAAATAATTTTATTAAAAAATACTATATAAATTAAATAAATATTATTTATATTATTATATTTTATAATTAATTTTAAATTAGTATTATAATATAAACTATTTATATTAGGAATTTTTTATAAAATATTATAACTTCTTTTATATAATAAGTAATTATATATAAATCTTTATTAAATAAATTAAACTAATTTCTTATAATATTCTTATTAATTAAAAGACTTAAAATAATATATATAAAAATAAAGTTTAAAACATTTTTAATATATAAATTAAATTATTATTATATATAAGTTATATAATAAATTTTATTAAAAAAATTAAAAATTAGTATATAATAAAAATTAAAGTTTATTACTTATATAATATTATATTAAATATAGTTATATTATAATATATTTAGATTATAAAGAGAAAAGAGATATAATATATAAGATATATTTTCAAGTAATATTAAAAGAATTTTTTTTTAAAAAAAATAGCTTAATTAAGTTAAATTAAATTAAATACTATTTAATAAAGCTTTATTTATTAGTAATTCTTTATTTTACTAAAGCTAACTTATATTAATAAATTAAGTTTAGTAATTCTAATATTATAAAAGAATTATTAAAGAAGCTATTATTAGAAGTAATAGTATTAGTATATTATATATACTAGCCCGAACCGGGTACGGAAATGCTTGCAAATATAAAGTAAATATTATAGCTTTTCTAAAAATAATTTAGTTCTTTTATAATTACTTTTAAAAAAAGAAATTAAAAAGTAATAAGTATAATTATTACTTTATAGCTCTTATATACTACTTATATCTAGCCTTGCTTTTAAGGCCTTTAAACCAGGAAAATAAACTTAATTATAATTATTTAATATTTATAATACTAGTTTATTTTTTTTAAAAATAAAATAATATCCAGAATATATATTTATTATACTATTAATAAAAACAAATTTCACTTATAATTTTTTAACTAAACTTGAACTCAAGTAATCTTTTATAAAGAAATAACAAATATAAAGATTATAATATAAAATAAAGAATTTATATTATAAGTTTATTTTTAGGCTGCTTTTTATTTATTTATTAAAGCCAATTATATTTCTAGGCTATTTTCTTATAAGTATATTATAAACTATAAATAAAAAAGTATTATATTTTTAAAAGATATATTTCTTGTATTTATAAAAATAAAGTTATTAAAAGGCCTTATAATAACTTCTTTTATAATATTCGAATATTATTATAATAGTAATATATAGAAAAGAATAAGCTTCTATAATATGGAATTATAATATATAAATAAGATATGAAATTGGGAAGTAAAAGTAAATTAATTTCTAAGAACTAAAAAAGAGAAAGAAGTAATATAAGCAAACTATAAACTACAGATATCCGGAGGTTATATAATAGAACCACGTGACTAATAAAAGTAAAATCCCTATTATATTATAATTTCTAAAGATTTTCTATCATTTTATAATATTTTATACCCTAATTTAAGTCTTTAAGCCTAGAGTTATAAGATTTATAGCAGGTATAGTATCTTAAGCCATATTCTAAAGTTTGCTAAAACCCTTATATAAATATAAATATTCTATAATTCTATTACTTTATACTATAATATTTATATAATTACTTTAATAATATATTAAATAACGTTTTATATTATAAATATAGAATTTTTGCTTCAAATTTTATTAATATATTAGAGATTAATATAAGTTAAAGAAATGGGATTTTTAATATTCCTTTATTTTAAGCAGACTTCGTTCTATTAATAGTATAATAGACAAGGTTCAAAGCGGGTTTATATTATATGAATTATAAGTATTTGAAAGGCAAAAGGGTGAGTAAAGCTTTAAAGGATTCCTAAGAGCTATTTTTAGTAATGAGTATAAAGAGGAGTCGAACCGAATCTTAGTTTGAGGAAAATAATAATGTAGTTTGAAATAAGGGGTGGAAATTATTCATTTATTAGCGAGGCTAGAGTTTGAATCAATATGCAGGACATCCATTTTGGCACTTCAACAAAAACTTCGCTAGCCCAGTGTGGGCTCCGATAAGCTCGATAAGCGATGATTAGATAATCGCGCTAATTTTTCGATAATCGATAATCGACTATCAATTACGATAATTATCGAACTAAGGCCTTGGAAATACTACAGGGCCACTATAGGGCCACTATAGGGCCAATACGCTATATTTATAGGCCTCATACCACCTTTTCTTTACTATAGCAGAATTCCGATTTAGTAAAGGCGGTATAAGGCCTATAAATATAGCGCATTAGCCCTGTAGTAGCCCTATAGTACTACTAAGGCCCTGGACCCACTATTATTAATAGATTTAGTACTATAAAGGCGGTCTAAGGCCTATAAATATAGCGTATTAGCCCTGTAGTGGCCCTGTAGTGGCCCTGCAGTATTGCCAAGGCCCTGGGACCCGCTATTATTAATGGAATTATCGATGGGCTCGCTTAATGGCTGGCTGGGCCCCCTTTTATCGATGGAATTATTGATAAAAGCGGGCCCAGCCATCAAGCGAGCCCCATTACATCAATAGTATTAGCAATAATTATATTATCTATATTATATAATAGACTATTAAATAGAAACATAATAGTATAGTAATAATAGTCTACTTTTATACTAATCTTTATACTAATCGGTTTATAATTGAACTAGAAAGCAAGATATTCATGTAATGGGGCTCGCTTAATGGCTGGGCCCACTTTTATTGACGATAATTATCGATATCGATCGACTATCGATCGCTTAGCCGATAACGATTACTAATCGATAATTACGATCGATAATTTATCGGAGCCCACACTGCGCTAGCCAGGAACCCATAATTTTGTGGTTTTGAACAATATTGAGACAAATGTCTAGAACACCTCGAAGTATAGTGCCCACAGATAACAATCAAAACCTCCTACCACAAGGATGTCCACCCGATACCCATAGCAATCAATAACAAAGAACAACATTATGTAATGCCTAGTATTTCCTTGAAGTTTCTAATATCGGTAACAAAGTAAACCTGATTCAGTATTCATAATTTCCTTCACCATGATTCCAGGTGCGAAACCCCCCATTGGAAGAATATCATCCAAGGAGGCTGACTTATTAGAATGGTGCTTTGCAGCGCCAAAGTACTGCATCTGGTGTGACGGATGGAGTTGTTGCCAACGCCACCAAGTACGGTCGAGCTGAGTATGATGAAGAAAGAATAATGGATCTTTATTTATGTCAGGAAAGTAACATTGGAATTGATGGGCCAAAACTGGAAAAAATACTCACCATAAGGCGCAATAGTGTACGAGAAATCCCCGCCAATAGCACTCGGGATAGCATTGTGGGGCCCTTCTTCCAAGCCCAAAAAGAACTTCTCATAATCGGTCTCACGAAGAAGATTTTCTATGGCCTCTGGTCGAATAAGATAACCCATTTCCGGCATTGGGCTTCCGTCACGGAAGCCACGTGATAAGCAGTGAGGGAAATCTTCTTTGCCAAACCAGTGAACTTCGAGACCGGCAAAAGGACCATTGTCAACGCAACGGTCTTCGCCGATAATGAAATCTTCACTGGGTGCACGGTTGGGATGACTGTCACCGCCGAAGCCGTGTTCAGCACTGAAAACCGGAGCGTATGGCATGGTTTCCCAGTCAAGACTCCAGTCCCAATAGCTACCTTGGAATTAGTTTTTAAATACTGTTTTAGGCAGAATTTTACTCACGCCAGGTTGCTACTGTAGCCACACTGCTCTTTGAGTGCTCTCTCGTATAAGTGAATGAAGTATCTGTGCCATGCCAAAAATGGAGCAGCCATATGAGCTGGTAGTAGTCAGAAAATGCGTCGATATGGTAAATTTCAAGCGATTTCACGTACCGTAATCCCCAATTGTGTTGTGCAAATATGGGAAGTCATCATAGAGTGACATATTCGGATTCAATGCGGAAGGAATATGTCGAAGACACTGCACAGCCTCGAGATATTCGTGCTTCTGATCCAGACTGAGACTTCGCCATTCACGACGAGTATCTGGATTATGACATAAAGTATGTGATGAATGTGTACTTGAAATTGCTTCTGTTAAGTAAAGCATTCCTCTTCTCTCCATGAAAAAGCCAGCAATAAACCCTGTGGCGAGCGTAATTGTTACTATGCTGAAATAAGCAACCGCTGTGCAATACCGCCTGCTGTATGGATCTGAAGATTGGCCCTCCTCGATTTTGTCGCTTTCGAAGCCGTTTTCTGACCCATCGACGAGGTGAAGGTATATACATTCAGACGATCGCTGCTGACTCTTGAATGGCCACATAATAAATGGCCGGAAAATAACTGCGTGCAATATAGCAGTTTTGAAGTTGCAGATTGGAACACAAATTGGAAGATGGAGTGAGGAGAAAGAATCGGAATTATAAAGGACACCAAGTCTAGGTGGCAGCGAAGAAGTGTGCTCCTAACACTCCAATAAGTTAGAGCTCTTCTATGGTCTACACTTCTTGACAGCGCCTACTTACAGTATTAATCTGTGAGGCACGTATTGCGCTTGCCATCGAGCGCCATTCTACTCTTCCCCGTGAATCCTTCGTTTCATATAAGGCCGACAGTTGGGCCGACAGTTGGACCCATAGTTGGACCGACAGTCCTGCCGAGTGGGAGAGACAAGCGCAGGTTGTACTTCACACCCAATTTAAGCTGAAAAGCGTAAGAACTGAGTTAGCCATGAGACTGTATAGACCTTGCTCTTAGAATTTTCAAGATACCCCCGAAGTTTCATGCCGCAAATTGCGTATACCTAAGTTGTTTTACTGCTCAATATATTAGGTGAATTTACTCTTGCATTGACTCTGTGGACTTTGCTTGGCACTAGAGATTTGCAGAAGACCGTTTCAAGCTAATGATTCCAGTGCGCTACATTGTTATCCTTGACGTCTCTGTAAGCGTGTTTAAAGACGAGAAGAGCCAAAGTTGCTTTTCCCAGACTTTCTTCACCTATATATTTTCTGCTACTCCCACATAAACTCATTTCCGCTCCCCACCTTTCGCTGATATTCTCATATCCTGCACCATACAAACCTCCTACAAGCCTCTTTGATACAAGCCTCGCTGCAGTATCTTCTTCCCATCATGAAGCTTCTACAACACTACGGTATTATGGTCGTGCTCTCCACATTCGCCACTGGGCTCGCAATCCCAGCCAAAATTGCTGCACGTCCAGTTCCAAGCTATGATACTCCAAAGTCGTATGATAAAATAACTTCATACGATAAGCCCACCAGTTATGAGACCAAGTCATACGACAAACCAGCCAACTACGAGGTCAAATCGTACAGCAAACCCTCTTCGTATGAGAAGCCATCTTCATATGAGAAGCCATCTTCATATGAGAAGCCATCTTCATACGACAAACCAGCCAACTACGAGGTCAAATCGTACAGCAAACCCTCTTCGTATGAGAAGCCATCTTCATATGTGAGGCCATCTTCGTATGAACAGCCATCTTCATACGAGAAACCGTCTTCATACGACAAGCCTGCTATTTACGAGAAGAGGGAGTACAGTCATCCCCACTTCGGTCACTAGACCGTTAAGTAGTTGGCAACTTCGCGGAACGATTCAGACCCAGGTTAGTGTAGATTGTCTGGACCTCGCGACCTCGAAGCAAGCAACCTAATCCGTGACCAGGGTTCAAAAGTGGAGAACTGGGACATCGCGCAGTTGTGGATCAAGTAGAACTGTAGGGGGGCTGAGGAGTCAGTTAGTGGTCAGTATTTTGTGGAGTCTCATTGGTTAAAATTTGGGAACAGTTTTTTATGAGCCGGAATTCAAGTCGTTTGGCAGCAATTACTCTCATTTCACTTGTAGACTGTGCAATTTAGCTCCTAATTCATAACCCTTCCCTTGTCCGTTGTGTGTTTAATTCCCCTTTCTGCCGTGAGAGATGGGCGATACATGGCGTTTATTCTCGGTGATGAATATCCCCTCGTGCGCCCGCCAATCCTACGCAAGCAGGCCCCCTGAATACGCGACTCTCATTCGCTCCTTAAAATTTCGAAGGATTTATATCCGCAGACAATATCTCGTCAATTAGGCGACGTTCCCACTGCAAAATCTCACCCCTGCTAGCGTAGGTTTTGGCAGCTGCACGAAGGGACGCCGAGAACGGTGTGCAACCGAGAACAAGGAGCTTGCTAAACCACGATTGGTTTGGCTCATATAAGCAATTGGCGCCGAACCTTAAATGCACGTAGAGAAAAATACCAAGGGGTTCTTCAGGAATAAGCAACACCAATTCGATATATCGTTAGTCGACTGGTGTCCTATTCTCCAATCCAATGGACATCGTCAGCGTGCAGCAATTTTTCTGTTCGCGTATGACTTTGATATGCGCTGCAACCTCACCTTCGCCGAACAAGTTAAGCAAACACCAATCGTCGAGCGCTCATCGCATAGGTTGGTTCGCTCCTAGTCTACAGAAGGAAGTGTTCCGTTTCAAATTTCATCTTGAAACACAATGGATTTTGGTACTTTTTACTTTCTTAAGTTATTGTGCTTGATGTGTGGCTATCAATAAATAAAACTCACTTTAAAGTTGATTTTCCTTGACAAATTCCAAACAGAGTATTTTTGTCAGCGAAATGGGATACTTGCTTCCGTCGACTTGGAGGGAACCGACGCATGAGATAAGCGATCGGCGACGTTCATGTTGGTGTGTGGGGGACCGTTAAGAAAACTGGCATTTTGACTGTCAAAATATGAGTAAGTCGAGTCCACGAAGTGATATCGAAACTGAACTCTCGGACCGATTCCTCTTGGGCTGTGTCTGCTGCTGACTGAAACATAAGCTATGCGGAGTACCCCTTGGACCCCAGTCCGGATCGGTGTTGGTGCCATGCGGGTGACTTCGAATAGCCTCTCGGGCCGACTTCTCTTGGGCTGTGTCTGCTCCTTCCTGGAGCACCGACAAAACTGACGTGTACCCCTCATTTGCCCCTTTGGGTAGTCACTAATCCGCAAGCGTCGAACTTGTTGAGTTGCGTGTTTAAATGCAGAGACTAGAAATCATGAGCGCAGTGTTCTGCAAGAGTGGTAACAATCCGAAGGTTGCAGTAAAACCTCGTTATAACGAACACGAGAAATTGGTATGGGCGAGAGGTTAAATTTTTTGATATACCGAGAGACTGTGATATAGAACGCCTATTCTCTTACAAACTATCCCGTAGTGTTTTGCGTATGCTCCGTTACGGTGAGGTAAATGTATGTGTTTGTTATCTCGAGGTTCGTAATATCTAGATTTTACTTTACATGTAGACTCGGCAAACGCAACTCAAGTTCTCAACACTCCGAAACTTGTTAGTGCTTTCGGGGATACGAATATTGAGGCATAACCAGCTAATTATTCTTGTCTCATTGGTTCACGACATGTAATGGGTAATCGGTAATTGAGTTACTGCTTTTGGACAATAGCTTCCATCGTTTCTGACCCTGTTTAATATGAACTACACGCTCGTTTTGATTACGCTTTTGACTCCATACCACACATCTCATCTAGTTTCCTGTTTGTCTATTGGATAATTTGAGTCAGCAATCGGTCCGGGGATGTGACAGAATAAGTAAGGGAACTCACCAAGTCTACTGCCCTATGCCCCACCACATAGGCAACTCCCAGATCTCTCCGAGTCTCGTCTGGTGGGTTGTCAATGTGTTTGCCATCCCACGATGGCGGTACCATAGTGGGGTTTGCTGCAAACATCTTATCACGTGCTTTCTGGGCTGGACCATCTGGAAGATGGAACATCTTCGCTCTACCCAGTGCTTCATTCTGTATGTAAGTGAGGCGAGGCTTGCGGATTGCTTCGAAAGCTTGAAGAAATTTCGGGATTTCAGATTTATGACCTGCTCTGGCGAGACATTCTGCCAGGGAAGCACCATCTTCTAGAGCTGTCGTGGCCCCCTGAAATTCGCATGAGAAGAATTATAAGAAGAGGGGCGCCGAAAATATTTAAACTCACCGCCATCGCATGTGGTAGCATTGCATGAGCAGCATCTCCGATGAGAACTGTTCGGCCGCTTTTGCTCACCCAGTCCAAGTCCGGGGTCGTATACGTCAACCGCCAAGTTCTTGCTTGCTCAGCAAAGTTGAGCAGCTCAATTAACGCAGGATCCCATCCCTTAAAGGCCCCCTTGATCTTGTCGATGTTGGTAATTGTGACCAAGTTTCCCTCGCTACCAGCTTCCTCGCTCAGGATGCAGAATTCCATGCAATATTCAACATCTTCACCGATTCCAGCTACACCAGCAATCACGCAACCAGTTGGCCCCCACCAGGAATTTGCAGTATCAAGGAGTGGGGCAAGTTTTGGATTTCGTCTGATCTCGGTAGTCGGAACACTTATCATGTAGTCATCGATCCCGCTGAAGAGTTGGCGTTTGTCTGGATAGAATACCCTTTTAATAGCAGAGTTGATACCTGGACGAAGTGAGATCCTTCACCACCAACACTGGGGTCACTTTTATAACGTACCATCCGCTGCCACAATAAGGTCTGCTTCTATCTCCTCTCCGTCGCGTAGTGTGACAGACGGGCCTTCATCATCGACATCGGCCACCTGGCAGTTAAACCGGATAATCGCACCTCTCTCTGTAGCTGCCTCATATAGAATATGTTGGAAATCGCCTCGTTTTCCGCTTGCTCCACTGCAGGTGCTTCTCAGCTACGTTCGCTGATAAACCCTAGTGCACATACCGAATTCCCCATAGATTCTCTCTCGTAGAGGGAATCTGTGATAACAATACGCTTCCGTCTTGCCATCTTCGATATATCATCATCATTGAACGATCTCCGCATATTTTGAACACTTTGTCTAAGACGCCATATTGCTCGAGAACACGCGTGCCGCTAGGCATGATGCCTATGACACTACCTAAGGTTTGGAGCTGCCCATGGCGCTCGAGAACCGTGACCTTGTGCCCCTTATCTGCCAAAGCGATTGCCGCTCCCAGACCGGCAATTCCTGTGATGTCGTGTGAGTTGTAGAATTGAACTAACAAATGCCATGAATGCACTTACCTGCACCGACAATAATAACGTGAAATTTGGAAGCCATTTTCAGCTGTGTGAGCCTCTAGGCTCAGCTCTGTCGGAATTCACAATTTAAACGCTGGAATTGGTCGTTGGTCGTATGGTATCAAGCGACAGCAACCGGTGCTCCGCATGAAGAGACACTTGGTGGCAATGGTGGGAGTCAGTTGATCCAACCATGTAACACGTAGAGAAAATTCGAGATCCTTTCAGTCCAGGTAAACCGTTGACTAAAGAAATCGAGAATCTTCATCGGAATATGATTCTTTCATTTCCCAAGAGGCTGGCTATACTGGACTGTGCACCGGACGCCAGACCCAGAATTTAGAAAATATATGAAAACAAGACCACGGGGCAATTTACATTGGATTGAATAGTGATTAAGACTCAAGCACGTGGGTTGGTCCGCGAGATTCTACACTAACATATTTTAGATGCTTTCATTACTACGTGAAGCTCAACGGTAGTTGAAGAGTTTCCCTTTAACGTTAGGAATCCCACGTACGTGTCCGACCGATGCCATATTTTGAAACGGGCCGAGCCCTTAATGTAAGCTTGCTGTAAGCTTGCTGTAAGCTTACTATTAACCTTAGTCCTATTCGCTATTAACTATGCGCGATTTATTTAGCGGAATACGGAGGTGTAACCGGGTTGAGAGAATGCCCAGAAACGTGGCTTATCCTACTAGAACCGGAAAAAAGTAATGAGACACCCCACCCAGATATCGAATAGGGGCTAGAGAATTAGCAACTTGTAATTAGCTACTTAAGCCCTTTAGAGACCTTAAGTTATTTCTTTAATATTAGGATAAGCTAGTATACTACAAGGCTTATAATATAAATTTAATTTAAAAGAGTTTAAATATTAATTAATAAAATTTTAGTTTAAGCCCTATAAGAGCCTATAAATTATGGGGCTATAAAGCTCTTATATCTGGTTATAGAAACCTAATTACTAAATTTCTAGGCTTTTTAAAGGCTACTTTTAGATTATAAAATATTAACTTTATAACTTCTTTAATTTAAAGTATTATTACGAATTAGTATTTTTATAAGAAGTTTAAATTCTAAGAAACCTTAATTAGTTCTATAATAGAATAAAATAATGTATTAAATTCTATTAATTCCTTATAAATCAAATTAAATTTAAAGAGAAAACCAGATTTTTGTGATTCCTATATGAGCGACTCTACTTTCGGTTAGTAAGGCTTTTAGTCGGTTAGTCTAGCTCCCAATCGATGCCCGGGGCGTTGTCGTTTTACTTTTCCCCCTAGAACCATGCAAACGCAAACTCAATTAAGCGCGACACGAATCCTCCTCGCTACACGGTACACTTCTTCGATGATCGACTCGGGAACAATGGTTTTTAACTAGCCTGGCTTGATTCTCCGCAAGGATGTCGATTTCAATGTTGAAGCCAATGGCTGACCCTTGATAGCGCTCTCCGAGAAGCACGAAACCGGTGGTATGTCGGCGGAAGTGTTTTTGTGGGCGCTTTTGACATTATCTTCGATATTCACAACGTTGTTTCCCTTCTTCGCCTAATTCATGTCGTCCACTCTCCCGTTACGGAGGCTAAGGCGGTCACTCGTGTCGCCTTACGCATCATACGTTAGAGAGATATGTGTATGTTGATGTGAACGGAACATTATACAGTTTAATTCTCACTCTGGAGACTGACAAGATCGAGGCAATCATCGAGCGCTTCATTCCAACGGCAACGTATCCTAGCAGAACACTGGGAATATCAATCTACGTCATGGCGCAAGAGACTCATATGCTGCAAAGCCCAGCTCTCAACTCACATCACGATGTTTTTCACTCAGAGAACACGCTCCATCTAAACCAGAAACGAGCGGCTACAACCACGGTACCAGGGATGGGGGAGTCATGTATTCACCAAGTCTTCGCTCAACGGGTACGGGAGAGTCCGGACTCGGAAGCTGTTTGTGGCTGGGATCAACAGTTTTCTTATTCGGAGCTGGATACGCTATCTTCGAGGCTTGCTTTTCGGCTCGTTTCATTAAACGTAGGATCGGAAGTGTTGGTGCCACTCTGCTTCGAGAAATCAGCATGGACAATTGTGGCCATGATGGCAGTGTTGAAAGCTGGAGGAGCATTTGTACCCCTGGACCCTTCATACCCCGTGAAGCGACTGGAACAAATAATCCACCAGACTGGCGCGAATTTAATCCTCACCTCAACTCAATATACCGATCTCTGCAGGCCCCTGGTCCGGAAATTGCTTCCAGTGAGCTCCTCTACATTTGATGAGCTGCCAGCGCCCAGCGATGCTGCCTCTTTCTCGTCGCAACCAAGTAGTGCAGCGTACGTGATCTTCACGTCTGGAAGTACTGGTCAGCCAAAGGGTGTGGTTGTCGAGCATCGGGCATTTTGCGCTTGTGCTGTTGCTCATGGTCCAGCTCACCGGATCGAATCGACATCTAGGGTCCTGCAATTTGCATCTTACAGTTTTGATGCCAGTCTCGTCGAAATATTAACGACTCTTATGTCAGGCGGCTGCTGTTGTGTACCAAGCGCGATAGATCGCGTCAATGATCTTGCTCGGGCAATGCACGAGTTGAGAGTAGATCTTGCAATCCTCACACCCACTGTTGCAGCTCTATTAGCTCCCAAGGCCATTCCCCTGCTGAAGACCCTCGTTATGGTCGGGGAGACAATGCAGAAGTCTCAGATTCAAGATTGGGCCGATATTCCACATCTGTTATGTGCATATGGCCCAACCGAAGCCTCAGTTTCTGCAACTGTCAACTCTCGAGTGACTGAGGCGGCTGGGCCCGCAAATCTTGGTGTTCCTGTTGGATGTCACATGTGGATAATTGATCCAGATGACCATAATCGACTTCTTCCCGAGGGCGAAATCGGAGAGGCACTAATCGAAGGGCCCAATCTTGCTCGAGGATATTTGAACGATCCAGAAAGAACGAGAGCTGCATTCATTGACAACACCACCTGGCAAAAGCCTGGACAAAGATTTTACAAAACCGGGGATTTGATGCGCCGAAATGTTGATGGCACTTTGGATTTTGTTGGTCGCAAGGACATGCAAATCAAGATTCGAGGCCAGCGAGTTGAAATTGGGGAAATTGAGCAATGCCTGGCTGGGGAAGATGGAGTCTCACAAACGGTTGTAGTGTGGCCAAATTTTGGTCCATATGCTTGCCGCTTAGTCGGAATCGTTTGTTTAGAGACATTATCGAACAAGATGGTGGATACCAAAGATCTCCGGCTTCTTCGGGGGGTAGAATCGGTGAAGGCGCAGGAGTATCTTTCTAGGCTCATGGCGAGAGCAGAAGTCAGCTTGCCCTCTTTCATGATTCCGGCTGTCATATTGCCGGTTGAGGCCATTCCACTTCTGCTTTCTGGAAAGGTCAACAGATCTCAAATGACTGAGTGGATTGGAGGCCTTGACGATGCAACCTTACTTGATATTCAAACGAGAAAGGATGACAGAGATGGACGCACAACAAGGACGAAACTGGAGCTCATGATGTCACAAATATGGGCAAAAGTTCTCAATATACCATCCGATCAGATACTCCTGGATAAGTCCTTCCTTTCCTACGGGGGAGATTCGGTATCAGCAATCCAAGTAGTGTCAAAGTGTCGAGAAAAAGGAATGAAAATAGCCGTGCAAGACATCCTCAAATGGAAAACTATCTCACGACTGCTTCCACAGGTCGTGGTCAGCGTCAAATTTGCTCCTATTCGAGAGGAGTCAATTGAGAAGCCATTCAAGTTATCGCCAATCCAACAAATGTTCTTCGAAACATCACCGAACGGAGAAACTCACTTCAACCAGAGCTTTCTTCTGCGAGCGAAACGTGTGATTAAGTCGAGCGAGATGCAGCGAGCGTTGGAAGCGGTCATAAAGCGACATTCTATGCTCCGTGCCCGCTTCGTCGTTGATAAAACTGGCTTATGGGTACAGAGAATAACGAACAATGTGTCTGGCTCCTACCGCTTTCAATATCACAAATCTGCATCCTTCGATGCAATTCTCCCCATCCTGAATTCGCGACAGGAAAGTCTGGACATCATGAATGGACCGGTCCTCGTCTGTGATTTATTTTATACAAAGCAAGGTTGTTTTGTTTCTGTTATTGCTCACCATGTTGTGGTCGATCTGGTTTCGTGGAGGATCATATTCGACGACCTAGAGCAATCGCTAGAGCCAGGAGATAGTCTCCCGGATGTCCCTGTGTCTTTTCAAAATTGGTGTATACTGCAGGCAGAATACAGCCAAGAACATCTCACTCCTGGAGCCGCATACCCATTCGCAGTCGAACCGCCAAACCCCGAATTCTGGAAGATGGACATTGCACACAATTTTCATAGGGACACCCGTGAAGAAGTCTTTGAGCTAGATGAAGAATTGACAACCTCGCTCCTGAAGGGTGAAGATTGCCATAGGGCTCTTCGAACAGAGCCGATGGATCTGTTCTTGTCAGCTCTGTTTTATTCTTTCCGAGAAGCATTTCCAGAACGCGAAACCCCATCAATACACGTGGAAGGTCATGGTCGAGAGGTGTGGGACTCTAATATCGATATTTCTCAAACAGTTGGATGGTTTACAACACTTTGCCCACTCCATATCCCAATTGGTGACAACGATACAATAATTGATGTGGTACGATTTACAAAAGATGTCCGGCAAGCGATTCCACACAAAGGATGGGGCTATTTCGCATCTCGATACCTAAATCCAGAGGGGAGGAAGACACTAGCCATAGATGGACCGATGGAGCTCGTTTTCAACTACTCTGGGTTGTACCAGCAACTGGAGCGCCCTGATGGTCTCTTGGAGCAGGTTGAGTCATCAATGCAGGAATCTGCAGCCAAGTCAATGACCCGTTTCAGTCTCTTTGAAGTCAACGCATATGTCGAGCAGGGCCGCCTCCGGTTCTCCTTCAAATTTAATTCCCGCATGGCTCATCAGGAACGCATTCAGAAGTGGAACGTATCAGTTAAACAGTGTCTCAAAGATCTGGCAGAGAATATCAGGCAGTTACCAGTCCAGTACACTCTCAGCGACTTTCCAAAAGCTCGATTGACGTATGGTTCTCTGGACACTTTAGCTGAAAAGGTATTATCACATCCGGGCATGACTGCAAATGTTGAGATTGAGGACATATATCCCTGTGCTCCAATGCAACAAGGAATTTTAATAAGTCAGGTCAAAGGTTCAGCGAGCTACAACACTCATACCTTGTGGGAAGTAGAGTCAAGCCCAGGAAGTCAAAGGGTTGACATAGAGAGACTTGAGCACGCATGGCGGCAGGTCGTTTCTCGCCACCCTTGCTTACGGACAATATTTGTGGAAAACGTCACAGCAAACGAGTCCTTCCATCAAGTAGTATTGAAGAACGTCGAAGTAAAAGTTGTTAAACGGCAATGGGTTAGCAAATCGCTTGAATTACATCAGCCATGCGGTGAATTAAATGGCCAGGCTCAACTTCCCCTCCAATTTACGATCTATGAAGCTGAGAACGGGAGGGTATTCAGCAGTTTGAATATTAGCCATTTGGTCATGGATGGCCTTTCAATCGACAACATCATCCGCGACATTCTCCTGGCGTATGACGATCGATTGCCGCCTGCTCCTGCATCATCGTACGGAGATTACATATCACTCCTCCGTGGCCTGGACCACACAAAATCTCTCCGATTCTGGAAGGTACGCCTTGCAGATCTTGAACCTTGCTTGTTTCCAACGCTCGAGGTGAGCTCAGATGTGAAAAAAGAACTACGGAGCATGGGGTCTATGATTTCCCCCGGCCAAGCCAAGAAGTTATGGGAATTTTGCGAGAAAGAAAATTATACAATGTCAACGCTCTTCCAACTCGCCTGGGCAATAGTTTTACAATCATACGTTGGCACTAATGATGTCTGTTTCGGCTATTTAGTTTCTGGTCGGGATGTTCCCCTCCCCGGTATCGAAGACCTCGTTGGCGCTTTCTCGAACATGCTAATATGCCGTGCCGATCTATCAAAGATGGATTCGGTCTCGTCCGCACTTGAATCCATGCAGGCTGATGCTCTAATGTGTCTGGAGCATGAATTTTGCTCTCTTGGAGATGTACATAACGTTCTCGGGGTCCCCGCATTGTTCAACACGATCATTTCTTATCAACGGCATGAAGCAAGCAAAGTCGCAGTGAAATCCAGCATTGAATTTGAGAAGATAGGAGAGTATGACCCAAGCGAGGTACGTGGACCATATACTTCGGCAGTAATGAATTAACGTTGTTTCAGTATGACCTAGCCGTCGGCGTACACGTGTTTGATGGGAAGATCTTTGTGAAGATGGACTTTCAATCGGAACTACTCTCGCGAGATCATGCCGAACACGTTATCGACACACTCAACGCAGTTCTGAGCGCCTTTGCGGACAACCCTTCCCAGGATATCAGAACTGTCAATCGCGTCGGCAATAAAGGGCGGGATGCAATATTATCGTTTGCGGCCCAGGAGCTTGAAAGATCAACCGAGTGCATCCACTCTGCCATTAAGCAACAAGTTGCTTATTGCCCCGAAGCTTCCGCTATCGATGCTTGGGATGCATCATTTTCATACGGCGAACTTTACAAAATATCTTTCCTGGTCGCAAAGGGCCTACTAGATATTGGACTGGGTCCCCAGGCAGTGGTTCCTCTTCTATTCGAAAAGTCGGGATGGACAACCGTGGCAATGCTTGCTGTGATGCTGGCAGGCGGCATTTTCGTCCTGTTGGATCCGTCACATCCAAAAGCCAGGCTGGAAGAGATCGTAGCTCAGATTTCTCCGACCGTTGTGATCTCATCTCGGCAGCAAACAGAACTTGCGTCGTCGTTTGTCGGGACTGTTTTCGAGGTTGGGCCAGATATAGTTGAGCGATCGAGAGAGTCAGAGAAGATTACCCTCGCAGATGGCTTGAAATCTACGGATGCTGCCTTTATCATATTCACATCTGGCTCAACCGGAAAGCCGAAAGGAGTTGTCATCGAACATGGCGCATTTGTGTCTGCCGCAAAGGCTCATAGCGGGCCGTTGGAGATGACGAACAGCTCGCGAGTCCTCCAATTTGCGTCATACAGCTTCGACGCTTGCCTTTTGGAGATCCTTACAACATTGATCTCGGGTGGCACAGTTTGCGTACCAACTGAAGCTGATAGGTCGAGCAATCTCCCAAAAACCATGCGCGATCTTGAAATAACATGGGCCAACTTGACCCCTTTGGTAGCAGATGTCCTACTGAAAGAATATCTGCCTTGCCTTCAAACACTCGTCGTTGCTGGGGAGGTAATGTCTCAAGAACAAATCCGTTCTTGGGCGAACTGCTCCACGCATCTCATCAACGGCTATGGGCCAACAGAAGCCACGGTGGCCGCGACGTTGAACTTGGATGCCATAAACTCTGTTGCATCTAACATCGGTCATCCAGTAGGATGTAGAGTTTGGATACTAGACAGTTGCCAAAACCTGGTTCCTCCAGGAGCTCTTGGACAACTCTTTATTGATGGCCCAACTCTCGCTCGTGGATACTTCGATGATCCAGAAAAGACAGCTGCGGCCTTTATTGAGCCTCCTTCGTGGCTCAAGACAAAGTATCCGCATATCTACATGACAGGTGACCTAGTACGGTATAGTCTTGACGGGAGTATGTCTTTCGTTGGTCGCAAGGATACATCACAAGTGAAGATTCGCGGTCAACGAGTAGAGGTTAGCGAAGTTGAGGATGGTGTGCGTTCTCTCTTGCCTAATCATCGTCAGGTTGCGGTTGTGTTTCGAAAACTTCTTGCGGGTCGTGGACAATTGATAGCCTTCATCGTCCTGCCTGGTCAGTCATCAGGCGACACCATCCTGGAGATGGATGAAACGACCAGATACCAGTTTTGCGAAATTCGCCAGTCGCTGCTGCTTTCACTGCCTAAATACATGGTCCCTGATATGTTCATACCTTTAACGAAGATGCCGTTGAAATTGTCAGGAAAACTAGACCGGGCGTATTTGCGCGAATTAGTGGACTGTCTGTCACACTATCAGATATCGCTATATTCACTAGCCGAGGCCGTTGCCCAAGACGTTGCGCCACAAACAGGGACGGAGAAGATGCTGCAGAGGTTGTGGTGCACAGTGCTCGGAATTGGCCCTCAACAAATCAGATCACAAAGCAACTTCTTTAAAATAGGCGGGGATTCGGTTCTTGCGATGAAGCTCACAGCAAACGCCCACAACGAAGGACTTTTCCTCACTGTTTCGGCAGTCTTCCAAGACCCTACTCTTCAAGGCATGGCGGCTTATCTCGATTCCCAAGGGTCACTGAACGAAATCCCTGTGGTTAACATCGAGCCGTTTACACTCCTTCGAGGCATCCGTGGATCCACGGAAGAAATCCGCACTTCCGTAGCATTACAGTGTGCGCTCTCACTAGATAATATCCACGACATCTATCCATGCACACCGCTTCAAGAAGGCCTCATAGCCCTGTCTATGAAACAGCCTAGATGCTACGTAGCCCAGTACGTACTTCAGCTACCGAGTGGGCTGGATGTTGAGCGCTTCAAGGCTGCTTGGGAAAACGTGGTTGCCACTACTGAAGTTTTCCGGACTAGAATTGTCGTGAATGGCCTGACCATCCTGCAAGCCGTTGTTGAGCAGAAAATACATTGGGAATACAGCCAAATTCAAGAATCTCCGACCACTGCAGTTCACAATGTGGCACCCATACAGCTTGGCATGCCACTACAACACTTCGAGATTTTGGAAGGCCCAGAAGAATGCTTCTTTCGCTTGACAGTACATCATGCAATCTATGATGGCTGGTCACTATTTCTCGTGTTCAAGCAGGTAGAAGCGCTGTATGGTGGACACTCGCCACAGCACTTGACACCTTTCAATCGATTTATTGCGCACTTGGCTGAGGCGAACGGGAATAGCAGTGAGTACTGGCACACACAATTTCTGGGTGCTAATATCCACCACTTCCCAGACCCTGTCCACGATGGGTATATTTGCCGTGGCCATGAGTCGATAACACGAAAATTGAAAGACGTGGAAGTCGTTGGAACAGGCGTAACACCGTCAACAATTCTGCGCGCTGCCTGGGCAATTACTATTGCTCGAGCAACGGTATCCAACGATGTTCTATTCGGGGTGGTCTTAAGTGGACGAAATGTTCCCATTGCTGAAGCAACGAGAATTGTTGGCCCTACAATCACGACTGTACCAATTCGTGTTAAGCTAGACTTGTCACAACCAATCTCCGACTTCCTACAAGACCTGCAAAAACATGCCACAGAAATGATTCCTCATGAACACGCTGGCTTACAAGTGATTAAGAATTATAGCAAGAATAAGGATGCCGCCGCTTTCACTAGTGTCATTGTTGTACAATCTAAGGACACTGATATCGACTCAATCAAGTTCATGGGCTCCGAGATTGTGCATGTCATGAACGCGGACTTTGATACCTATCCATTAGTATTAGAATACAGGCCAGGAGCCAAGGCTGAAAGTATCCTATGCGCTCGTTACGACAAACAAATAATCTCTTCGGAGAAAATGGATGCAGTACTGGAAGACTTCCAATTTGTTCTTCAGCAGATTAGCGGGAAAATCGATGCGAAAATTGGCGACTTGATGGTCTTTGAAGCCAGGGAAGAGGAACACCACCACACAAGTAACACCGACGCGCAGTCGCTAAAGGAGAAACTGGAGAGCAACTGGAAGGAGACAAGGCTACAAACCCCTTTTCCATCGTACAAACCCTTGGATTTTTGTTCTTTGACAGAGCCTGAGAAACAACTGCAGAAGCTTTGGAGCCGTCTCTTAGGAATATCGACGACACGAATTGGCCTAGAGGACAATTTCTTCCGTTTGGGAGGAGATTCAATTGCTGCTATCAAGCTCACTGCAGCGGCCAGGGTTCAGAATATTAGCCTGCCAGTCGCCACTATTTTTAATAATCCAACGCTCTCCGAAATGGCGAAGGAGATGGAGACGACGAATGGGAATGAGGAAACGGTAGCGCCATTCGCTTTGATTGAATCGTCCGAAACTGACGTTTTGGAATCTGTTGCTCTACAGTGCAGCATTATGGCTGGCCAGATTGAGGACTTATACCCCTGTTCGCCTTTACAAGAGGGGCTCATGGCTCTGTCAACGAAGCAACCTGGGACGTATGTGGCACAGTACATCTTCCGTATACCGCATTCCATTGACTTGGAACATTTCAAGAAGGCATGGAATTCAACCAGCCAACTCCATACTATCCTTAGGACTCGGATTATTCTGCAAGGCTCGGTGATGTTGCAAGTGGTTGTCAAGGAAGCTGCAAAATTTGAAAACCATTCAACGGCTGATCTCGACGGGTTTCTTCGCGAGAATACCCTACAAGTTGGGTTTGGAGCCAGGCTGAGTCGCTTCATGATTGTTCAGACGGCTGATGGTGGTCAATACTTTGTTCTCTTACTCCATCACACCACCTTCGACGCGTGGAGCCTTCCTAAACTCTTTGATAGTGTCACCCGATTCTATGAGCAGAGACTGGTCAGCAAACCAACACCATACAATAGCTTCATTGATTACATCCTGAATGACAACAAAGAATCAATGGCTTTATTTTGGGCAACGTATTTGAAGGACTTGGATACCTCACATTTTCCACAACTACCTACGCCAAGCTATACACCATCAGAGACAAAGACAATTCGCCGGTCCATCTCAATCTCGCGACCGAGCGAGTCTCAAATCACCACTTCTACACTGCTACGCGGTGCATGGGCCGTAACTCTAGGAAGTTACTCGAACTGTAAGGATGTGGTTTTCTGTACCACTTTGAGTGGGCGAAACACACCATTGCAAGGAATCATGGGGATCACAGGACCAACGATCGCGACGGTGCCTATTCGTATTGACGTGGATTTAAAGCAATCAGGCAAAGACTTCCTTCAAGCCATTCAATCCCAAACAGGTGCCATGATTCCTTTCGAGCAGTATGGCCTGCAAAACATTCGGCGCATAAGCACAGATGCGATGAAAGCTTGCGATGCTCCGAGCCTTCTGGTGATTCGACCAGAGGAAGACGACAATAGCGATAATCGCCTTCTTGGCCTTGACCCTGTTTTGACACCTATTGCCAACATCAGTTCATACCCACTAGCCATTGAGTGTAAGATCGACAACGGACGTGTGGATGTATTTGGCTACTATGACGACTCCATCGTTAGCGAGACCCAGATGCACAGAATACTACACCACTTTGAGCATGTTCTCAGACAGCTCGGTGAGGAGTCGTTAAATATACTTGGAGAACTATCAAAAGTTAGCCCATACGATTACAATGTACTCGATAAATGGAACAAAGACGTCCCACAGGTTATAGAGAAATGTATCCACGAGATCACTCATAACCAGGCGATTGCAACACCAGATGCACCTGCAGTCTGGGCGTGGGATGTGAAATGGTCTCACGCTGAGTTAGATAGACTTTCGTCATATCTAGCCTACGACCTGATTCAAGTTGGAGTTAAATCGGAAGATATAGTTCCTATGTGCTTCGAGAGGTCTGGCTGGGTAGTGGTTGCGATGCTTGGAATTCTCAAAGCCGGCGGCGCATTTCTCCCATGGGATCCCGCCCATCCAGAAGAACGAAGGAAGGAAATGATTCGACAAACAGGTTCTGAGGTTGTAGTGACATCAAAACAAACTGCAGTTCTCTGCTCAGGGTTGGCCAAAACTACATTCGTAGTGGACCCTGGATTATTTGACCAGCGAGACGTGGAGCTGGAACCACACGATGATCCTCACACAGCTGCATATGTCATTTATACCAGTGGCAGCACAGGAAAGCCGAAAGGGGTGGTGATTGAACACAAGGCTTACTCAACATCTGCTATCGCCCATGGCCCTGTGCACCGCATACATTCTAAATCACGAGTGGCACAATTTGCTTCTTACAGTGTGGACGCAATATGTCTGGAGATAATTACTTCAATCATGATGGGTGGTTGCACATGCATCTGCAGTGATTCTCGACGAAACAATGGGTTGGGAATTGCGTTAAATGAGATGGGTGTTACTGTGGCAGCGCTGACGCCTTCTGTCTTGTCACTTATGTCACCAGAGGAGCTTCCACAACTGGAGACTGTGATTGTGGTTGGTGAGGCGGCTCCGCCCGCGTTGGTAGAGAGATGGAGAATCTATTTCCATTTGATTAATGGATATGGGCCGACAGAGTCATCGCTTTCGGCGGTAATGAATGAGAAGATGACGGCAGCTGCGAGATCGAATATTGGACATGCTGTCGGGTGTGTGACGTGGATTGCGGACATGTACAATCATGAACGGCTGGTCCCAATTGGTTGCATTGGGGAATTAATCATAGAGGGGCCTACACTTGCTCGAGGTTATCTCCATGATGAGACGAAGACCTCTCAAGCCTTTGTTGAAAATCCCGGATGGCTTGAGAGACGTGGCTCCAAGCTATACAAGACGGGTGATCTTGTTCGGTATGATCCTGACGGGACGATAGTCTTCGTTGGTAGGAAAGACATGCAGGTGAAGATCAATGGGCATCGTATTGAGTTGGGTGAAATTGAGCACCATATCATGCGAGCTTTGCATTTCGTACAGCAAGCAGTAGTGGAGACAATTACCACGGATGACGCCCGGGTATTAGTCGCAGTCCTCATCATCAAAGACACTCAGGAATTGGATGTTCAGTCTGCAGAAGCTTGCACAATGACACCAGCTCTCAAGTTGCATCTGCAGACACTTGAAAGGTTGCTGATCTCTACTCTACCGACGTACATGGTTCCCAACCTCTGGATCCCGATAAATGAAATGCCTTTCGCGTCCTCCGGCAAGGTGGATCGGAAGCGGCTTCAGGAACTTGCTACAGTAATTTGGAACACACAAAGAACACAATACGCGCTCTCAGACGGTACCAAACGTGAGCCAATGGGATTTGCATTGGAGTTGCGGAAAATGTGGTCCACTGTGCTGAATCTGCCTGTTGAAGAGATTGGTGCTGACGACAATTTCTTCCATATTGGAGCAGACTCGATCGCTGCAATGAAATTAGCAGGATATGCTTCAAAACAGGGATGGGAGCTTTCAGTAGCGTCAATTTTCCACACTCCTATCCTTGATGGCATGGCGAAGATTCTCGTACCGGGGACACAGCTGCATGAAGAAGCACCAAAGCCCTTCTCTCTTCTCTGCAATACCAACATTGATGCATTTTTCAAGGAGATCCGTTCCAGGCTCTTTGACCCAGAGTGCCAAATTGAAGATGTAATGCCATCGACAGACTTTCAAGCGTGGGCAGTTTCTTATGGGTCAATGAATGCAGGATTCATCACCTACATGAATCTTATTCCTGCAAAGGAGCTTGACGAAGATCGATTGGAGGAGGCTTGTCGTGACGTTGTTTCATCACATTCAATCCTTAGGACGACATTTGTCCTTTATCGGAATGAAATTCTCCAAGTGGTCTTGAAGAACCCCTTGCTCCACTTTGAGCGTATCAAATGTGTTGAGAGTATCGATGTCACTTGGCACCAATGGTTTCAGAAGCAACAGCAATTGCGCTTGGGGGAAAACATCGTCAAATTTGTTTTCCTGACCCACAAGACTGACCAACGACTCGTTATGCGTATATCCCATGCTCAATATGATGGGATTTCATTTCCATCGATATGGAAGTCTCTTAGCCAAGCATACGCAGGTCAAGATATCCCATCAAGCTCCCCTTTCTCGACATTCATCAGTGCTATTGCAGACAAAACAGATGCCCGAGAATACTGGAAAGACCTGCTAGCAAACTCCAAAATGACGTCTATAGCGAGTAATTTCAGCCCCTCATACCGCAGGCCACTGGATCAAACCATCGATCAGATAATAGATCTACCTTCAATTCATCCTGATTTCACGCTCGCTACGTTTATCAAAGCCTCGTGGTCAATTGTTCTGTCTCATATCGCCAACGAAAGCGACCTCGTCTTCGGAAATCTTGTCTCTGGTCGTAGTCTTTCATTGGATAGAGTAGTTGGTCCCTGTTTGAATATCGTTCCGGTGCGAGTCCGCCTTGATCCCTCATGTACTGTTTTGGAACTCCTGCGCCAAATCCAAAACCAACAGTTGTCATCAATTCCATTCGAAACACTAGGCTTCAGAGAAATTGTCAAAGTCGCTGACTGGCACCCTTCCACGCGATACAGCTCAGTGGTACAGCACCAAAACATCCCGGAGTTGAAGAAGAAGGTTTTGATGGATGGTGTGGAGTGTGAGGCATTTGCGTACAGAGACGCTATTGATACCAGTGATATTGAGATTCTGTCCATGACGTTGGACGGAAAGCTGAAGGTTGAAATTGGATACTGTGAGGAGGTTATTTCCCAACCAGAGGCAAATATTTGGCTTGAAATATTATGCCGTCTAGTGGCACAGCTCTCTGACATCCTCGATACCAAGGTGGCGAATATTGACGTCGCGCATTTTGACGTGGCGAAGGGAAGAGAACCCAGTGTTGATTCAACTTCTACGCCTTCTGCCACAAACAACTCGACTGGACTAACTCCAGGGTCAGCTGTAGCCAGTATTCGACATTTGAGTATGTTGGAGTCAAAACTGCAATCTCTGTGGCACAGCGTATTGGATAAGGGACAATTCAAAAATAGGTGGTCGGATATACCTCCATCGACATCATTCTTCTCTCTTCCCGGCGCAGATCTCGTTTCTGCTTGCATTTTAGCGTCTCGTTTTCAGCAGGAAGGTTACGGTTTGACTGCGAGGGAAGTTATAGATAATGATACTTTGGAAGGTCAAGCTGTGTTGATTGAACAGAGGGGAGTAAGAGATCGCCAATATGGATATTTTTGATTGGATCAAAAAGTTATGTACTTCAACAAGCCCTGGGTAGGATGTAGATTTTACTTATTTGCTTGAGTTTCTTCATTTATTCGGTGGTATTCAATGGGCAATCTCTCAACCTAAATTGAATATACATAAGTAAAAGCAAAGTGAGGACCTCTCTTGAGCTGGTCTAAAAGCAGTAAAATTAGGGAACACTTATAGAAACTAATTGTATCTACATGTGTGTGCCAAGCTCGCTAACCATCACGGCGTCAAATATCAGGGTGAAGCATTACGAACCTGCGATCATGGGTCTGTGCTCTACAGGGCATTTTACATCAAAATCATCAAATTTAGGGTAAAAAGCAGGATTTAATTAGGAGTAGACCAGCCATGGCGCTGCATTAGAACTGTGACCCAATGCTCTTGCTTCAAAATTAGCTTGTTTATCCATTCCTGTGGTATCGCCTCCCATTCTTCCAAAATTGCCTGCCTCATCTCTGCCTCAGTGGTAGGTTGGTGGGATCGTCGATGGAGAGCTTGTTTGATCCAACGCCAGCACTTCTCAATAGGATTCATATCGGGAGAGGTAGAAGGATGAGGTAAGAGGATAATGCCGTGCCTTGAACGGTATCGCGTATAGCAGTTCGTGCTTGATTTGTGGCCGTAGGCTGAATTACCATCTTCCATGAATAGTGGCGTAAGCCCAAGGGCGTGTGTGACAAGAGCAAAGGCGTCGAGAATAGGTTGAAGGTGTTTGAGGACTTGTACTAGATAATCGACTTGTATAAAGGCCCCCTTCTTGCCTGTACCGTCGACAAAGATTAAGGGGCTTTTGTAGCCAAATCCAATAGCCCCCCAAGCATTGACAGGTATCGTATAACCACGGTAAAACTGGTATTGAATACAGTCTTCACAATATCTCTCCGATTGTCCCTTCTTCGTATTCCTTGTAACCCTAGCTTTTATGGATCGTCCTCCTACAAGGAAGGTAACTTCGTCTGACCACAAGACTCGTAGCTACTCCACAGTCCAGAAGAGATGTGCGATTGCCCAGAGATATCGTACTGTAACTTGTACAAGAGTTAAATAAGGCTTTTGACACGCTACGCAACGGTAATAGCCTCGTTGGTACATCCTGCGCTTGAGTGTTTATAGAGAGCATATCAAACCAAGCTCCTCCCGTACCTTCCACCAATTCATTATATGTGTCTCCCACCGCTGTAAGCAAAATACGGTAGCTTCGTCAACTTCTTGATCGGATAGGAGGAAGGTAGGGCCTGTTCGATTAGGGCGTCGTCGTTCTGGGTGAGGGTAGCCAAGGATCTTGCGAATCGAGCTCTCTTTTAGCCCCTTATATCGTAAAATAAGCATACAAATTGGTACCTTTCCAAACCAGTGCAATTGGCGTATGGCCTCCTTATGCTTAGTCGCAATTTCAAAGCCTTTCTGATACTGCCAGTCGTCAAGTGGGGGTGTAGAAGGCGCCATAATAGGGGTGGAAGAGGATGAGAAATTTTAGGTGGGTGAAGTTCGGCAAAATGCCCTGTAGAACACAGACCTATGATCGCAGGTTCGTTACAATTTGACCGGCAAACGCTGCGCGCCCCAGCACCAATTATTGACAAAAACTAATCGATGGACCCGAAACACTGGAACGCTTAACCTCCCCTGCTATAAAGCCCCACCAATACCAAGACGCCGAGCGCACATGACCAGTCGCCGTAAGAACGTCTCTCTCTCAGTGCGTTAAAGTATTCAGTTAATTATAATTATTAACTAGTAATTAAAACAAATTAAGTTAGAAGCCGAATAATTAAATAATTACTAATTAATAACTTTTTTTTTTAAAATATATTATAAGTTATTCTCTTAATTCAAATAGTATAATATTAGTCTTTTTATAAAAGAAGTAATTACTTTCTTATTAATAAAATTAAGTTTAATAAGTAAAGTAATTAAATTACTATTATACTTTCTAAAACAGGATTTTAAGTAAAGTATTAATTAGTATAATAAGATTATATTACATTAAGTAGCTAGCTAAAAAGAGAGAGAGAAAATAAAGTCTAGTAAGTAGAGAAATATAAATATAAAGCTCATATATTAATTATACAAGTAGTAAACGAAATGGTAATAAATACCTCTGGCCATTCTACTTGATTGGACTTATCCTCTCTGTGAAAGAGAGAAGTCTGATGAACTTTCATGACAGTGAAGGAGAGGAGAAGGGTTGGACATAGATAAGGAGGACCGAAAATATGGGGGGATCACACAGCACTTTGCGGATGAAGTGAAGTTTCGAAATAAAGGCGAGATCTCCTATCACTTATCGGCATTCTCGCCAATCACCGCCACCGCCGGCGCTGAGTAAGCCGATGCTCAGGCTAGCCTTGGATAGGCAGAAAAAGCGGCAATAATTATCAGCCAAACTGACCATTGAAAGGAGACAACTTATAAATGTTATTGAACTTCAAGGACAATAGCAGCAAGTAGACTTTGGACATACATAAAATCGAAGGAACTTCCGGACGTGAAGTATTGAAATAGGCCCAGGGTGACTTGGGCCATCGAAAAATTAGTACGCTTTTTCTGTCCTCTGCGAGCTAGCCTAAAACAGCTGGGCTGGATTTTAATTTTGGCTGACAATCTCGATAAAGAAAAAAACTGCGTTCGCTCAGCCCGCTTTCATATCTGCATCCCTCTTCTTGTCCTCTTCCACCCTCCCGTCTCCTGCCACCCGCGGCTGAGACTTCGAATACCTTCACTCTTCACTTCTTGACGGCGTCTGCTTGGCCAGATAGATCTTCGGATCGACAATCTCCACTCTACCAAACGTTGTTTCGGTTCTGCGATTGCGACCAGTGCCTCGGCCACGTTCCTTGGAAAAAGAACACCGTTCGCAACTTCGCGCAAATTTTCACCAACAAACATTTCCACATAGCTGGACCCGTTCGCACCGACTATCTTCTTCATCGGCCTGTGGCTATTCAACTGCGCGAATTTCAAGGGCGTTCCACGCTCAAGCATGCCCCACCAGGTTTCGCCTCCCCGCGCACTTCCCACGATGATTTCGAAAACCTCCGATGGCCCCGCGCCGACGCAAGCAGAGGTCTCCGCTCTCCTCGATACCGTCTTCAATGCGCCCAGTTCCGATGCTTCAGTCTCGGCATCCTATGCATTGTGTGATTTGATGCTGAACTCTGTCGGGTTCCGCGGGTTGATGCAATATGGGATTCTCGCGGAGATCAAGAAGGCCGCCGCCGATAAAAAGAGTGGAACAAGACGAGAAAGTGCTCAGAACTTGCTCGGTGCTCTGTTTGAGCGTATGCCACCTCAGCAACCCATCAGTGAGGTTGTGTTATTATTACAAGATGGAGGAATGGTTGCCTGGGCGCTGGATGCACTAGCAGACAAGGGACCAGTTGTTCGGGATGCTGCACAATATGGTCTTGACGAGTTATTCAAGAATTTGAGCTCCGAGGCTCTCGTTGTTGGTCTTATGCCGGTTCTCAACACTTACCTTTTGAAGAGATCAGGAAAATGGCAGGGAACAGTTGGTGGATACAAATTACTGCAAAGAATGGCAGATAAGGCCAAGATGGAAGTTGGAGTCAGCAAAGAGGAGGCTGGGAACAAGGACATCTTGCGCGAGGCTATGGGAACGAAGTTGGCAGGCCTGATTCCAGTTGTTGAGGCCGGAATGCACGATTTGAAGGCCGAGGTTGAGAAGCAGGCTGTTGCAACAATGACTTCCTTGACGACACTCCTCTCCAACGACGATGTAGCTCCGCGAATTCCACTTCTTATTGCAACCATGCAAAATCCCTCGACAGAGACCCTCCAGAAGGCAATCCACGCACTTTCACAGACAACCTTTGTTGCTATTGTCACCTCTCCCGTCCTGGCCCTTCTTACGCCGCTCCTAGAAAGATCTCTCAATACTCCCACCACAGCTCAAGAAGTTCTCAGACAAACAGTTGTTGTAGTTGAGAACTTGACTAAGCTTGTCCACGACCCGATTGAGGCTAGAACTTTCTTGCCAAAGTTGAAACCCGGTGTGAAGGCTGTGGAGGATCGTGCTTCGCTCCCAGAGGTCAGAGAAATGGCTTCCCGAGCAGTCAGCGTTATCAACAAGGCTATGGGTGACGATGATGGAAGCGTTGCAAGCGGTGCTATTGCAAGAACAACTGCTGAAGATGTTGCAAAGGTTTTGGAGGCCGAGGTCAAGAAAGCAGGTGGCCTTGGTGGAGATCTCGATGTGTTCAAGCTCGCGAGACCGTATATCTGCAGCATGGTTGCAGAGGACATCAACCACCGACAAATTTCTCGCATTTCAGCCAGAAGCGCCCCATATCTTCAGCACATCATGAAGGAACCAGGATCAGCCCAAATTGTCGGCGATGCCATTCAAAAATTCTACATTGAGGAGGATCATCGAAAATATGGTCAGCCAGTGAAAGAAGATGACGGAGAAGTTGAAATTGTCAATGCTGATTTCTCTTTGGCTTACGGTGGCATGCTCCTCTTGTCTCACACCAATCTTCGTCTCCTGAAGGGACACAGATATGGTCTTTGCGGCAGAAACGGAGCCGGGAAGTCCACTCTGATGCGCAGCATTGCCAATGGCAAGCTGGAAGGTTTTCCATCCCATGATGTTCTCCGGACATGTTTTGTCGAACACAACCAGGGAGAAGATGCCGATATCAGCATTTTGGAATTCGTTGCCAAAGATCCGGAGATTGGCAAGGAAGGAACCGAGCGTATCTCCCAGGTTTTGTCCGAGGTCGGCTTCACTGCTGGCCCTCAAGGCCGTCAATCCGAGAAGGTTGGATCTTTGTCTGGTGGATGGAAGATGAAGTTGGCTCTTGCCAGAGCTATGTTGATGAAGGCCGATGTTTTACTTCTCGACGAACCTACGAATCATTTGGATGTCGCCAACGTTAAATGGTTACAAGAATACCTCAAGTCTCACACCGAGATCACGAGTTTGATCGTCTCTCACGACTCAGGGTTCCTTGACGAAGTCTGCACGGACATCTACCATTACGAGCCAGGGAAGAAGCTGAAGTCCTACAAAGGCAACTTGGCAGCATTTGTCAAGGAGAGACCTGAAGCAAAGAGCTACTACACCCTTTCCGCCTCAAATGCACAGTTCAAGTTTCCACCTCCAGGTATACTCACCGGCGTCAAGTCACAGACCCGAGCCATCCTCCGAATGACCAACTGCTCATACACCTACCCGGGCGCTTCGAAGCCATCCCTGCACGACGTTTCCTGCCAACTGTCTCTCTCATCCCGAACCGCAATCATTGGAGGAAACGGTGCCGGAAAGTCAACCCTCATCAAACTTCTCACCGGCGAGACTATCCCAACTACCGGAAAAGTAGAGAAGCACCCCAACCTCCGAATCGGGTACATCAAACAACACGCCCTCGAGCACGTCGAAATGCATTTAGAGAAGACGCCCAACCAATACCTCCAGTGGCGTTACGCCAATGGTGATGACCGCGAAGTGTACATGAAGCAAACGCGCGTACTCTCCGAAGCTGACAAGGCACAAATGGAAAAGATGGTCGATCTCGGTGACGGCATGGGCGGCAAACGCGTCGAAGCCATCATGGGCCGCCAAAAATGGAAGAAGTCCTTCCAGTACGAGGTCAAATGGGTCGGCATGCTGCCCAAATACAACTCCCAGATCTCCCGCGAGACGCTCATCGAACTCGGCTTCGACAAACTGGTCCAAGAATTCGACGACCACGAAGCCTCTCGAGAAGGTCTCGGTTTCCGCGAACTCTCGCCAAAAGTCATCTCCAAGCACTTCGAGGATCTTGGTCTGGACCCGGAGATTGCGAACCATAATGAGATTTCTGGACTGTCGGGTGGGCAGAAGGTCAAGGTTGTGATTGCTGGAGCGATGTGGAATAATCCTCATCTGCTCGTTCTCGACGAACCGACCAATTTCTTGGATCGTGACTCCCTCGGCGGTCTTGCCGTCGCTATCCGCGATTACAAAGGAGGCGTGGTCATGATTTCCCATAACGAAGAGTTCGTGGGCGCGCTGTGCCCTGAGCAGTGGTATGTTGCCGATGGCCGGGTAACTCACAAGGGTCACTTGGCTGTGAGTGCGGATCGATTTGAGGATAGTAGTCGCCCGGGAAGTGGGATCAATAGCGGATTCAACAGCTCTGTGGCATCGAGTGCGGTGTCAAGTGCGAATGCGTCTGCTGTGAACTCAGGGGCCGAGGACAATGGAAGCGATATGGCGTTCCGCGCGAAGAAGAAGAAGAAGATGACGAAGAAGGAGTTGAAGGAGCGCGAGGTTAGGAGAAGATTGAGGCATATTGAATGGCTTGTTCCCCCACACCACGTTCCAGTATCATTTGGTTCAAAAGCTAATGTGATGACAGGCTCAACTCACCGAAAGGAACTCCCCACCCGCCAGACACGGATGACGAGTCCTAGATTCCTTTCCCACTCACGCTGGTTGAAATGGGAGGTTGAAAGTTGACGAAATCGGGAGGATGTAGATCATGTGTCATAGACTCAGACTTCCTTGGATGCATTTGCATATAGAACTGTGTTATTTTCATTGTATGGCGTTTGCGTAGACGGTTGGGATCGAGTCGGATGGTTTCATAGATTCAAGGGATGGAATCCAATCATAATCATGTTGATCTTGCATACATTTGCGCTCTATGATTGACCATTACCCCTCCTTTCTATCGCATGGGAGTAGCTCTCTCCTGCACGAATGGTCCCTTCTGTCATATATTATATCTGTGCCTAGCTAGATCCGCCGGGAAATAAGCAGACAAAGAGTACTGTTTGATTATTGCTACTTACCCCAGAACATCCTAACCAGCAGAGACGAGTGTTCCCTACTTTTCGAATGTTCTACTTTTACTCCTCTTGACAACCTGTTCTCAAATACAAAGATGAAACAGCTGTCTCAATTACTGAAAGATAAACAGCCTCGAAGAACAAGAATGATCTCCTGCACATAAATACTGTCGAAGATTGGACAAATCAATCTCAATCAATCTTTCTTGCCAATTTTCCGAGCAGGCATCAACCCAAAGGAGGACAAAACAGAGGAGCACAATGTGCCGCGAATACACAATAGGCAACTGCTGCGGGCACTTCCGCACAGAGACCCGCTACTGCCACACAACCTCACCCTGCTACTCTCAAACAAGAGCCGAGGTCGACGTCCGTCACCTCTGCCAAGAATGCAGCACCAGCCCTCTCGCCCACACCCCATCCAGGCTCTTCTCCCGGTTCTCCGACGTCAAAGTCAACCTCCTCAAAGCCAAAGCCGGAATCGAGGAGACCTGTATCCGCGCCTCTTTGCTCGTCGAAGGACACGTCCCGATTCCCGAAGGCAAGGGCGGACCGTTCATCGGCCGCATCACGAACGCAGACGATGAAGTACTGGGCGACGTGCAGGATTATGTAGAAGCCGTGATGCTGCAGCGGATTACCTCTGCTTCTGAAAGTCAAGCCGAGTTATTCCGCCTACTGCGACTGATGAAAAACCTTGGCAGGGTTCTCGAACAGGCCCACGTTGATGGCATCGAGGAAGCATTCTTTGTCTTCAATACTGCACTTGACCAACATGTCGGGTGTATTCCAGGAATCGAGTTCCCGTGGCGGGCACTTTGCATGCCTGTTGACGTTATGGATTTGGATAGGGATGAGAGGGAATGTCCGGTATGCATGGAGAGTTTTGTCGCGAAGGAGGACGAAGATAGGGAAGAGGAGAAGCCGGTCGAGTTACCGTGTGGTCATGTTTTTGGGAAGCGGTGCTTGGCAAGGCATTTTGTGCAGATGCGGGTTAGTTGTCCGCTTTGTAATAAGCTGTTTGATCCGGACAATTATCTCGCAGAAATTGAGGATGTCGTTAGTCCGTGGTGGATGACGTATATTAGAGGTGAGGCTGTGGCTTGAGGTAAGTGGGATTGCTTTGCCTTACTAAGTCTTTATCCTCTTCTCTTTAGTTCGTTATTAGTCAAGAAATATAATTCAATTATTAGAAAGTCAAGTATTTATTATTCCCCACAATGAAAGTGCGGCTAAGATCAAGTAAATATATAGCCTAAGGCATAAAACTCGTTATAAAAAGCAGTTTTCCACGTGCTATCTCGTATCTCATATATTAAGTAATTATAAAAGTTAGGGCTAAAAATCTATTACTTATTATTATATAACTAAAAGATTAGCTCTTACTATTAGTAGTTTTAAATATATATTTATAAGTATAGTTTCAGAATTTAGTTATATTTATATAAATAGCTCTCTTTTTTCTTAGTTTAAATTACTTTACTAGAGATTTAATATAAAGTATTTATTATAATTTACTAAAATATAAAAGTTCTAGAATATTAATATCTAGAACTATAAAGCCTCTTATAGCTTATATATCTAAGCTATTATAATAAAACATTATTATTGTATTATAATAATAATATATTAATAGATTTAAGGAAAGAGAGGTGTGGTATAAATAGCCAAAGCTTAAATACAGGAATGTAGTCACGTGAGCCTGCACGTGACTACTAGCACGCAGTTGCCATGCAATATAAGCTCTAAGCTATATTTCTTATATATCTAATTTTTCAAATTATAAGAAAAGACTAATTAGTTCTTTTAAATTTATATATATTAAAGGTTTATTTTTTAAATTTTAGGCCTTAAATAATTAGAACAAGTTTATAAAGTATATATTTATTAAATAAAAATATTTATAGAATAATTCAATTAGATTCTTTATTAGAATAAAGAGTTAGTATTATAAATAATAAGAAATAGTAATTTTATATAAATAGTTATCTAATTAAAAGAAGCTTTAAAGAAAGTCTCTAGATCTAGCTAAATAAAAGAGAGCCGCTAAGTAAGTAAAGCTAAGCTCTCTAGTACCCGTATATAGAATATATTTCCCAGAGGCTTCTAATTTTATATATAAAGAAAATAGCTAGTATAGTACGGCAGGCCATACTTATCGAAAATCATGTTATTTTGGCGGTTTTAAGGTTTAGGTCATATAGTAAAGGCCGCGGCCTTTTATATATAACTTGCAGAAATCATATAAGAAAGCTGGTTTTTCTATAGACTTAGAGAATAATCCTTTATAAGTATTTAATTAATTAAGCTTTTATATACTATATACTATTTATACTTTACTATTTATGCTTTTAATTTATTATTTTACTATTAAGTTATGTTTTATACTCTTATATACTTTATATAGGTTTTTGTCTTATTATAGTTTCCCTTTTATATATTTTATAGTAAATAATACAAAAAGAATAGAAACTTTATAGTTAAGGTAATACTCTTATAAAGTTCTAAAAGATGTCTATAAGGCGGATTATTAGCTTAGTAAGTTAGGAGAGAAAAAGGGCTATTATAATACCTTGAGCCTAAAGCTAAAATATTAAGGATATATAAGTATTAATCTTAGTATCTTATATTAATTTCCGATATATCTAGTAACTTGGATATGAGTTAGCTATAAGATATAATTACTAGTATAGTATATAAGAGTAATAAGAATAGAAGCTAATTATAGAAGGAAAAGAAACGGAGGAAATAAAATAAGAAATATTATACTAAGATAGTATAAGTTAGACCTTAGTTAGAATTAGACTTTAGTACTCGGAAATGAGATTATATTATTAATTTATATATTATTTTTAGTTATAATAAAAGTCGAAATTAAAATAGCTTTAATCTTAGTAATAAAGCTTACTCCTAAGTCTAAAGAGGATACCTAAAATAGGGAATGCCCTTAATTTCAAATAAAATAATAAATAGAAATTAGAAAGAATTAAAAGGAAATTAGAAATAAGAAATTATATAAATAAATTAGAGAAGTCTCTAGAGAAAGGAGAGATTACTAAGTAGAGATAATAAGGAGAATTTAGAGAAATCAGGAAAAATAACGGAATTAAAAAAATCGTTTTTATTATTATTATTTTTTATTATATTTATTAATAATACTATAGAATATATCTAGTTTAGTAAAAACAAGAAGAAATACTATAGGTATTAAGCTAATAGAGCAGAAAAGAAAGTATAAGTAATAGAAATAAGACTAGAAAAGCTATTACCTTATTATTACTAATACTAAAGCTTAAACCTTAACTATATTTGTTATTATTAACTAGTTTCTCCTAAATCCCGGTTCCTAAACTAAAAGATATACTTAAGTAGGAAATTAGTTTTTTAGGAACCTTATTAGTAGAAGTTTTAGGTATGGAAACTCTATAATTAATTATAAAAGAAATTATTAAGATTAATATAGCTAAGAATAAGTATATACTAGTACTAGGTTTAAACCTGCTATTTATAAGAGCTCCTGAAATATTATAGTTTTAGGAAAATAATATCTCTATATTCTTGAAATAGTATATAAATATATATAAAAACTATTATATTTCTAATAATATTAAAAGAGAGAGAATTATCTATTATATCTCTCCTATTTATAAGAATTAGATTAAGGCTATACCGGAGTATTATACTAATAATCCAGGAAATTACTAGGAAACCAAGTTCTTTAAGGCCTTACTAAAGAAATTCCGAGAGTATAACTAGGAAATACTTAAAATCAGCTATAACTTTCTTAATTAGATTATTATATAAGCCTAGAATAAAGGAATTTCTTTTAAGTCTTATATTAATATATTTAATAAAGTATTAAAGAAATTACTAAAGAGAAAAGAGATAGAGAAAATTACTTAGTATTAAGAGTTTATAAGAGAATTATCTATTCTAGTAAGGAATTATATTCTTAAGAATACGAATTTCGAGCCTATAAATATTTTTATTTATAAATATAGTAAGATATATAAGAAAGTAGTAATATCCTATTAGTATAAAGAGAAGAAATATTATTTTAATATTACTAATAACCCAGATATATTTAGACTTAAATAAGAATATTTAAATATAATAGTTTATAATATAGTTCTTAAACTAGAAAATAATTATTCTTTACTAGTTCTTCCTATTATATTTCCTGAAGCTATTATAGATATAGATAAGAGAAGAACCTAGCCTATAACTAATTATATAAAACCTACTAAAAGTAGTAAACCTAAAAGAAATAATATTAACTAGCTAATAAGAAATCTAGAAAAACTATTTATTATTACTATAACTTAAGAGAACCTATAGAAATAATTTAATATAGCTGCTATTATAATTCGGGAGAATATCTATAGCCTATTTATATAATCTAGCTAACTATAGTAAATATAATAGTATTAATAGCCTAGTAAGTATAATTCGGGTTTTTAAAGAGGATATACTAGAAGTTATAGTAAAGAATATAGAGAATACTATAGTAGCTATAGTAATTAAGCTAGAATAAGTAAAGAGTCTAGATAATTATATTCTAGAGGAAGTTAGTCTTAAGTATAATTAGAAAATACTATTTAAATTAATATAGCCTATAATATAAATCTAGAACTAAGAAAATGAATTTACTATAAGTATTATAGTAGAAATAAGAATAATAATATTAACTCAAAATATATTTATATTTCTTAGTTCTATTACTTATTAATAGAAGAACTTATAAATTATAAATATATTTACTAATTTAATAAAAGATAATATAAAAGGCTATTTAAGCCTAGATAAGAAAGTATTTCCTTTTTCTTTACTAGTAAGTACTAGTAGTTTAACTAAATTATTTCCTAAGTCTAAAGAAAAGAATTTAATTATAACTTAAATATTTAACCTAAAAATATTTAGAGATTAATAGGAAATACCTAGTTTATTAGGCAAGAAAGAAAAAAGGGAACTAGCTAACCGGGATCTATATATAGAAGTAAGTAAGTTATATCTAGGGAATCTAAATAGCCGCTTTGCCTTAAAGGAAATTATATTAGAATTACTAATACTTTAGGTTCTGGAATTAATAAATAATACTAAGATTTGGCTATAAATAGTATTTCTATTAATATTATAATAGGTTTCTTATTAAGAAGAAAGGGAAAAGAGGTAGAAATAGCTAAAAAGGTTTTCTAAAAACAAGCCAGAATAGAAGAAAAGCTATCTTATATAAAAGGCCAGAAGAATACTATTTTAAGAAATAATAAATAAGGAAATAGTCTAGCTAAGGATATAGATATTAATACTTCCGGAAATAAACTAAATAAATTAGGAACTTAGTATATTCTTAATTATAATAAGTATAGGACTCCTAAAGTTAATAATATTCTAATAAGGCTACTAAAAAAAGTAACTATTTTATTTCTAAAAACTTAGAAAGAAATGAAAATACTTATTAATATTTTAAAAATACCGGATCTAGCTACTATATTTTAGAACTAATAAATTAAGAATAATACTTTCTATTTTACTATTTTATAAATAGGAAATACTATTATATTAAATATAATTAGATATATTAGGAGATTTGCAAAACTAGCGGCTATAGCTTATATAATAAATAGAATATTTAAGGAATTAGAAATACTAGCTTAGGTATCTAATACTAATAAGATTATTTAATTTAAAAATAATAATATTAATATTCGAATATTACTAGCTTATAAATATATTATATAATTACTATATCTCTAATTCATATTTTAAGAATCTTAAGAAAGTATTAAATATAAAAAAATAATTAATACTAGAGCTAAAGTTAATATTTTCCCCGAAAAGATTTCTAGAAATATTAGTAAAGTAATATATAATACTATAAATTATTAAATATTTACTATTACTAGGGCTAAATTTGGATTTATAGAAATAATAAAGCTTAGAGCTAAGGTTATAAATAGAATAGGATATAAAAAAATATTTTTCCTAATTAAAAAAGCTCTAAAGATCCTGCTTAGTTAATTATTCTTAGTAAAAATAAAGATAAATATTATATATTAGAGTAATAATTTATAGAATAAAAGATTTACTAACCCTAAAAATAACTAGAA